AGTCGGCTATGTTTATAGTCGACAGCACCTATGAATCGTTCTGTGTGGGCTTTGCAACGGTCAAGTTAGGTGGTTCAGCCAAGTAACGGGCGCTCACATGCGTGCGGTGCATCACTGCAAGATGCATTCCCAACATGGGCCGATCTGAATGCTCAGATGAACCGGCAGTATGTATCGCCAAAACAAGCACACCGTAATCGTTCGCGGTTTTTGGCGTGTTGCGAAGGCAAGCGTGAGCTTGCAGCATATGTGGAAGAGTTGAGAACTCTTATTGCTGCCATATTCATCGAACCTATGACTGAGGCAGTGACCATCACGGTCTTTATGGAGGGCCTCCGAGTTGGCGCTGAAAGAACGGAAGTCTTCCGGGTAAACCCGTCCTCATTCAAGGAAGCTGTTGGAGTGGCATGGAATGCCGAGACCAACTTCAAAGCCGCTATGCCTGCCACTTATAACTACTCATCTGATGGGTCTGTCTGTACCCATGGACTGTAGTCAAGTGGAGGATGAAGAAGCTGACCTAAAAGATGCGGAGCAGCAATTGTGCGCAGATGTTATATCTGCAAGAGCACAGGCCATTTGATGGCAAAATGTCCTGCAAGAAAGGCATGTTTGGCCTCGAAGGGCCAACGCCCCATGTAAAAACCCTCTGGTTTGCCGCGGGGAAACGGCGGAGCCCAGTAGGCACGGGGCGTCCTACTGGGGAAGAACTGAATCTGTTGAACCTTGAAGAGGTAGAAGTAAACAGGGCCCAGCCCCAAAGAGATTCGAACTTCAAAAAACGGAACGCGAAAGCAAGTCAGGCTTGCTACTAGTCAAAGGGACGATCAAGGGCTATGATAAGCCATGTATCATTTTGATCGATTCGGGGGCATCGGGCAATTATGTGCACCGTGCCACCGTGGAAGATAGTCAGCAGTATGCTGAAGCGCTTAGAGCACGTGAGAGTGACCCAGTCACAGTTCGCTTACCGACGGGTACGCGGTTACGATACCCAAAGTCCCGATGGACTTAAATGTAAAGTTCTTGGACTTTAACAGCATGCAACGCTGTTTGGTCTTAAACCTGGATGCGAGGTATGACCTCATCCTATGCATGGCATGGCTATAACGCCATAAGCCATGGATTGATTGGAGGCCGAAGACTCTAGGCGCAACGCGCAATGCTCCTGGTGGGGCTATGGAGAGTCATGAACCCACCTCTGCTAGGAAGCAAAAGCGCTTTTGGCGTGAATATTGGACCGAGTCAGTCAATATGTTGGACGTTGGGTTATCCGAATTTGTAAACACTGAGGACATTAGTCCTGGGTGAGGCCCAAAGACTGTCGATAGTGTGTTTGAGAACCCACTAGATGGCACATACGTTATGTGTCATGAGAATGATGTTACATCATTAAACACCGTGTGATGGTGTTGGTGGCTGTATGCCAAGATGTCATGACACCAGTCCGAGCGACATGGGGACGAGGTACTGACCCTGGAGGGTCGGGTGAAGTCACGAATGACAGTTGTCTTTGAAGACAACAAGTTGCAAGCACCTAGTGACATCGATTTTGGATGAAGCAGTTCTTGAAGATACCAAGAATACACTGAATGCGCGCAGTGGATTGCAGATACTGAAAGACCCTTCGAAGCCTTACTTTCCTTTGCTGAAGGAATATGGCAGTGTTGTCTCCAGAGAACCTCCTACGAGGTTACCTCCGGATAGAGGTGTACGTCATGAAATTGGCTTGGTTCCAGGAACCAAATACTGTGTGACGCGACAGTAGCCGCTGCCACGAGAACAATGTGACGTTATTGACGAGTTCTTTCGTGCGAAGCATGCGGCTGGAATGGTGCGTGAGAGTAAGTCTCCTCACTCTATTCCCACGTTTTGTGTGAGGAAGCCTAATGGGAAGTGGCGAATATTGCATGCTTACAATAAGCTGAATGCAGCCACTATCCCGGCTCAAACACCAATTCGTCGCAAGGATGTTGTTCAGAACAATATGGTGGGATGTACGATGTACAGTGCCCTCGACTTAGTCGATGGATATTACCATTTGCTTATGCGAGCTAGTGATATCCCGATGACAGCGGTCAGCACTCCGAGCGGTATACTTTGGGAGTGACTAGAGATGCCCGAAGGGATGTATAACGCACCTGCAACGTTCAATAGTCTGGTGACACAGTTGGTTCGGCCCCATAAGGCGTATGCACAGACATACTCTGACGATATATCGTGCATAGTCGAGCCGAAAATGGCAAGACTGATGTGGAGAACCGCATCGAGCACCTGCGAGCTGTGCTCGGTTGCATGAGGATGCATAAGTTATATGCCAATATTGACAAATGCGTCTTTGAGGCGGAAGAGACTCTCTTTTTGGGATGCTGAAGCGAGGAATCCGAGCAGACCCTGTTAAGGTCAAAGCCATAGTGGATTGACCGGTTCCGAGGAATCAGAAGAACCTCCGCAAGTGGTTGGGTTTGGCTAATTACTTGCATAAGTATAGCCACAACTACGCGGAAGTGGCAAGGCCATTGTCGAATCTCCTTCAAAAGGATGTGAAATAATGTTGGAACAGCGAGCACCAAGAGGCTTTCGAAGCCATTAGGAGAGTCACCTTCACACTGTCGGAACCAAGCGTAAAGTTATTACCTTCTTTGCCGTCGAACTTGTAGACTTCCATTAGTATGGGTTTTGGTCTGCGGACCACTTCTTGCGCCATAGTCGCCATGGGCGAAGGCGCAGAAGAAAGCATCTGTGCCTTTACATGCTCGAACAGAGCTTTGTTATATTCATCAAGCATATGAATACGCTTGTTAACCTCTTCTTCGCCCTGGGCGATGAGGCACTCTACGCCCTTAGGCCAAGGATAGGAAGCAGCTTCTGCAACCCTTCCTGTTGTGCCTGTGACAGGTCTAGCGCCGACATCTCTTCAATGTCCATTTTCTCACAGAGAAGTAGTCGCAAACCCAGGTGCGGGATTGACTACAAGTGCTACCAGTTGTAGCCGAGCTACTGTAGCCAAGCTACTTATGCACTATGTGCAGAAGAAGACAAGCTCAGAGAGCTTCTACGTCTTAGGGTGCTTAACCCTCCTAGGCTAGCTCGTAAGATTGTGCCCATCGGTTGTTACAACCGGGTCTACAGGAGACCAGTATTAAAGATACAATTTCTTAGGAGGAATAGAAAGCTCAAGCAATGATGCTTATAGAGCAAATTTGAAACTGATTTATATTTATGTTTATCTTCTAGCACTAAATATAGAACCACCTACTCTATACTTAGTGCTAGTCACTATTTACTGTCTCTGTAGCCTGCAAACATGTATAGTCACTATACTTTAAATGAGTATAGTGACCACGTACCCTTCGTACCTTAGGTACGGTCTTCATGGCTTACTTTTGTACCCAAGGTACAGCCACACCACATTGGTGTGGCAGGTGTGTATGTAAAATACACATCTTCGTGTAACCCCGTTCCACCAACGATTTCTGCAGGGGATCTAGTTCTTTATGGAATTAAGGCTCGCACATTGCTGCTCGGTGCTGAGATTATAATAATCGTGGGGCACTTGTACCTGACGAGATTATTCTAGACATGATGGAGAAACGATTTGCAATGAAAGAGGCTCAAAAAGACTTTAGTTTGGGCGGATTTTCACGTAATGTGCCTCAGCTAAAGCTTGTATGTAGTAATCAAAACTGGACCTGGTAGTAAACATTGATTCATCTGTGTGGATCCTTACGGACAAGATTAGTGGGAGAAGGTAGGTTATCATTGAATGAAATGATGGATATAATTGTATGAATTTTAATTTGTAGTTGTTTGGTTGATTTCTATTTAAAGGTATGTGACACCAAGGGCAGTCATTGCTACGATCTGACATTTATCAATCTAGAAGAATACTACATGTCTCCTTTATCGCCTGCTAGAGAGGATATGTAACGTCTGTCTTTGACACGTTTTCGCTCAACAATGTTCGGATGACTTGCCTAAGACTCTTAAACACAGGTAAGAGGAGATTTGGACATGTGGGTGCGTTAAGTGTACAGATTGGTTGTTTTTTATAGGTTGGAGGTGTACAATCAAGAGACGTCGCCATTGATTGATTTTTATACGAAAAGAAGGCATTTTGAAGATATTTAAGGCAAAGAGGGGACTTGGAGACTTTGGCAAGCTTGTGACTCTGATTAATAGAGAGCCGCACGTGTGGAACAAGACTGAAGAGGAAAGTCTTCAAGTCAGTGTGATTTTTATGACTGCTGCGTCTTCATATGAACCGCAGTCACACAATAAAATGTTACGACATGTATGCGCTCTTGCCTTAGTTATGCGTCTGTGTCCGTTAATTAGCAGGTTTCCAGCGCCTAACGCAACGGGGCTAGCGTATTGCTCGTTAGTATCAATGTAAAGTTACTGGACTTAGTCAAATGCTTTATGGACGTGAATACTGACGTCCGATTTATTGTCTTAGACACAAGCTATTTCTCCTTTATAATGCTGTCACGACTTACAAGTAGCTTTTGTAAGTAATTTCTCGAACGCATTTGTGCGGGACGTTTGAAGTAATTGTCTAGTTGAAGCGTCCTATCCGATCGCACTTCAACATGATGCCTGCCTATTATATATATGGCAAACTTCGTTATCGACACAAACAAACACCAGTGATCAATATTGCAATCCAATAACTCAACCACAAATCATGTTTAGCTCCTGGGATCTCGTACGGCAGCGCTTCTTGTACCCCATGTCATCTCTGAAACAGTCCATGATAGATCTCGAGATGGAAGATATTATGATGCGACCACATTCCTTGCTTGACATGCCTCGCAACGTCTTTGCCACTCCAAAGTACGCTCAAGAAGAAGATGGACCGGTTGATGACGACTTCTTTGTTGACCTACCAGTAGTGTCGCACATGTATAAGCGGAAACCGTTTGACATGGGACACAAAAAATCATAAAGAACAAAGAATCTACAGATAATGTTAGCTTGGACACGACGCAAGAACCGACATGGAAGTTGATGATGGAGGCGCTGAAAAGGTCAACCCGGAGGAAGACTCAGCAACCAAGTCAGTAAAGCCATCAAAGAAGCTTAACGACAATGATGACAAGACTAAAGACAACAAGAACAAGCAGCTTTGTCGTGAGTCATATCATATCACCCCTACTACTGAGCACAAGGTTGTTCCCAAGAAGGATGACGAGTATCGCAACTTCTCGTCTTATTCGCTCAGTAGTTCGTCCGTTGCACGAGCACACGTCGCCGCTACGAAGACTCAGCTGATTGACTGAAAGCTGATATCTTATAGTTCATCATTCAAGAATCGTAAGGCCAAAATCCGCTTGCGATGTACATCCCGCAGAAAACACCGCTAGGCGAAATTCCTGCCACCAGTCCCCTCCATCTGGTGCGTTCTCCCTTTCGTTGAGGGACATATCGCACAAACTGAAGTTCTTTTACCATCGTAGCTTTCAACGGTCGATAAACATTGCTGCAGTTAGCACGAATTCGTTGGATCAGTTTATCGCACCATTTTCTACGACGCGGAATTTCATACAGGCAATACAGACATTTCTGGCCCTCGATGCTGTTCCAGTGCTCGTGTATGAAATCTGTCGGGTTGTACCCGTATCTTGTTGTATACTTGTGAACGAATCGGTCGCCAGCTTTTTTACATACGCGGTTCATCGCTTTCTTGACAGCTGCGTCGTTGGAAAGCCTCTTGCCATCGGTTGGGAGCAAACACAAAACGGGAACAAACATTCCTGTGCCGTGCGAGTTATTTGCACAATAGGGTAGTAAAACCCTCTGTGCCAGTGCTACTGCACTCAACAACACTGAGGCACCATTTGGGACTTGAAGACTTGGCATAGCCCTGTTCACCGTAAAAGGTGCGGCGTCAAAACATCTTTCCCGATACCTTTGAAAATCAATGCTTCGCATCCAGTCACAGTAGCATTGACGTCCCAGGTGGGTCTTCTGTTCGTCGGCAAAATCGTCAAGTGCACTCAGCGCCATTTTGACAGTAAAAGTTGTTGACAAGACACTACCACACGCTTGAATCAAGTTAGCAACTTCTTCGCTAGATAAAAACGCCCACACTTGTCCAGCGTCAAGCTGCAAAACAAAACCAAGACGATAAGCAGTAGAATCAGATTCACCCTTTGCACAATGTTGTTGCTTCTTTTTCTTGCGGACGGGAATACTGGTCCGACTACTTTGCTTCATCTTGCTCTCTCTTTTCCTTTTTCTCTCTCTCTTTTCCTTTTTCTCTATCTCTTTGAATTGACCGTGATGGATACGGACTTGGTTTGAATTGAGTGTAATTGTGTAAGAAGTTAGAGCATCAAGTTACTTATTCGGAGCAAGTAATTTTCGGGTGACTCCTTCTCGGATTTCTAGTTGAGATCATGTGTGATAGGTTCCGGTTGATTCCATTCTTCGTTCTGGCTTTCTAGAATCAGGATAAACGAATATAGGTTGTCGTGACTAAGAACCCATTGCTGTTTGCATTAGAAGTAATAGCTTAAAGCTTTCTTGTGACCATTAACCAAATCAAATTGCTCTATTACAGTTATCGACAACACCAAAGCGTTTGATACTCGATAGAACCTAAAAACAACGTCTAGTTTTGGCATTGGTGTGATCATCTACAATCCCATTGCAGCGATGCCTATGCCGTTGATAGGTGCAACCAGAGAAATGAAGCATGCATTGCCATTGGTGACTGGGTGAACAGGATTCTTCGTTTGAGCCTCATGTGTCATGATGTCTTTAAAATGAAATAGCGTTAAATCTGGTAACATTTGATCGGTCGGTAAGACTATCGCAAGCATTTCTTGATAAACTGACACTGAAGGTCGTCGACCAAGTGTCGTTAAACACCAAGTGCACTTTGGACGGCCGTGGCTGGATGCAAAAGCACATTTCTTCCTCGCTTGTTCAAGCGACTCAGTGTTCCAACGGCCTAACTCACATTGTAGTTTTGAACTGCGTAGTTTGTCAGCGACTAGTAGAGCATTCGAGAGGTCTTTGCGCCACTATCAAACGGAAGGCTCTTACGTTTTAAGCAGGTAGAGTGTGAGCTGTGATTGCTCTATGGTCTACCCTTCATGGTGAAAGCCGATTGAATCCAAGCATGTGCACCGAAGATATGGAAATGCAGGCGACTAATCGCAGTCACAAATCGACTGGAGATCGATTTTCGATACATGTTTAGTTGAAAAAAAGTAGACAAGACCAGATTACTTGGACCACCTGTACTGACCGAAAACGATGCACATGTGAAAATGTTCTGCTTTGTATATCTCGTGCTTCATACAAGTTCATTATCTTTTCGCACATATGAAGGTATAATGGCAGGCACGTTGGAACGTAAAATGCAACGCGGCTTCTATCTTACAAAACCACAAAACGCTAAGCGCTCACTATTGTAACTACACCGCAAGTATTTACAATGAGATTGGCCTGTGTCACAAGAACTTGCGGTTATCACTCGTACGAGGAGTCCGCGTGAACTCTGAAGTTAATCTGATGAAACCAAAGATAACGTCGAAAGTACTTCACGGAAACGGTTGCACATGTATCCACCGTAAACGAGCGTTGCTGCTTTAATCAAACGCTTCATGATGTACAAGAATATTACAGCTATTCGTTAAAGGAGCTACTAGAATATCATTTTCGATCCGAGTTAGATTAACAACATCAAAGACTGATGAATGCCTCCTTATTTTGTGAACTAGTCGACACTTTCATATGGAGAGATGGTCGTAATATTAAGCTGAAAAATAACAATATGGTCGCTTCACTTTGTATTTGTGTTGTTCAAAAGTCGGCAGGTACACGGGCTTTTGTCAGTTGAGCCACAGACACAATCGTCATTTACCAACGCATGCCCTATGTGAGGTGCCGTCCGATCCTGGACAAAGTACACACCAAGGGTGGCATGTCAGTAAAGCAGACGCATACGTATGAGCATAAGTAAATAATGCTAAAAGACTGTCCAAGATCGCACCTCCGTTTTCCTGTGTCTCGGATAAATACTGATTTTTTGCATAGCCCGTAGTGAAGACTCCAACAAACAACAAAATCATGTGACGACCGTTTCAGCTATTGCGAATAGATACAGTAAATTGTCGCTGGTAATTTCGGAAATGACATCGACTTGCATCCTTGTGGTCCATCAACTCCATTTCCCAGGGTGAAAAGAGCTAAATATGTCATTACAATGCAGACAGTTGGCATCAAAATAAACCTTGACGGAGACACTTGAGAATGCAGCATCTTGACAGCAAAGATACGAACAATGTCGACTGATCCATGCAGCGATTTCTATTAATCTCTGCTCGACTGCTACGGATAAATCCTGCCTAGCACATACAACACGACCATTACCACATAAAGGCTTGCTGCATTATCTTGTCACAAGATACAGTCATCAAGTCAAGTCCAACTGGTAAAATAAACTGCATCGCCTCGCCGTGGAAAGCGCGAAAAAGAAGCTGGGCGTCGCGTCGTGCAGCCACAAAGCGTCGATCAATGTGTCTAACCAGCACAGTGCTTTGGTCGATAAAGATTGAAGCATATTATATCTGCGTGATGAACTCAAACCTATAATGGAAAGGGTAGCAAACGCCCACCCAACCCTGGATATGCATGTTGTCCTATGCAGAAATACTCCAGATACTTTTTGCCGTATCGACAACTACGAAAATTTTCAATTCGAAAATGTGCATGAGTAAGCAGAGATTTTCAAGTATACTGTGAACACTGTCAAATTCACAAGTACTGTGCACCGAACGACATGCTTCCTCCGTGGGAAAAATGAATACACGTCATTCAAATCACAGCCTTAGCGCTGTAAATTAATGCGTTAGGTCAAGACGTATACGACTTTGCAAGCAAGTCGATACCTCATCACCGAGCGTGCGTTCCAAAATACAAGCCGATGCAACCCAGGGAGCAGACCCCCACGTGACGTGTCTGCCTACAAACTAACCGTAATCTGTCGTGCATGCCACTGTAATTCCCACTTCAAGTAATCGTTCAGTGAACTGACTCCTCCACTGTTTACCACTCCCCGACTGACAAGTATTTGCAGTACATTTGCACATCAAGTTCAAGAAATTTGCCCTACACTGATATCCAGTTCTACTTGCATTGACCGATCATTGACCTTGTAAGGGATGATTGGTAGTAGCGCATAAAAAAGGTTGTGTTGAATCGGATGAGTGAAATGGAAGATAAGTGGACTGCGCTATTTCGACTAACAACGGGTACAGTTTCCATCATAGAACATGAAACGTTATTTTGCATACAAAACGTAAGTCCAAAGCAAAAGTACATGTCTGAAAACAAAGGACTGACTAGTAGTTACAAAGCTCATGAAAAACTAGTGGATTAGTCACTAGCATTCGATGTTACTTCCTTTTTAATAACAGTCGGCAGTTAATCTTTGCTCGACTCGTGCGAATCAGCTCAAGAAAGAGTCTTATTAAGCTCTATAGGTTGAGGTTTCTAAAGTGTCCTTTGGCCGCAGATACGTGGTGGATGAAGAGACAATATCAGGACAGGATTATGAAGGCATTGAATAGACCAAAACAGCACGATTTCTGATGGATGAATGAAATTGCTGGTTCATGTGCTTGAAGTTTGGATTGTAGTGGTAGCAATGATACCATCACTTGGGCTAGTTCAACCGACACAAGTCATTGAATGGTATCTTCAGTAGGACAACAGTTCGTTGACTTTCTTGCCTTTGGAGCCCATTAGTTTTACAGGACTGAACTGACATACCAGACTGTGTGTATGGCATGCAGTTTATTTTACCAGTTGGACTTGACTTGATGACTGTATCTTGTGACAAGATAATGCAGCAAGCCTTTATGTGGTAATGGTCGTGTTGTATGTGCTAGGCAGGATTTATCCGTAGCAGTCGAGCAGAGATTAATAGAAATCGCTGCATGGATCAGTCGACATTGTTCGTATCTTTGCTGTCAAGATGCTGCATTCTCAAGTGTCTCCGTCAAGGTTTATTTTGATGCCAACTGTCTGCATTGTAATGACATATTTAGCTCTTTTCACCCTGGGAAATGGAGTTGATGGACCACAAGGATGCAAGTCGATGTCATTTCCGAAATTACCAGCGACAATTTACTGTATCTATTCGCAATAGCTGAAACGGTCGTCACATGATTTTGTTGTTTGTTGGAGTCTTCACTACGGGCTATGCAAAAAATCAGTATTTATCCGAGACACAGGAAAACGGAGGTGCGATCTTGGACAGTCTTTTAGCATTATTTACTTATGCTCATACGTATGCGTCTGCTTTACTGACATGCCACCCTTGGTGTGTACTTTGTCCAGGATCGGACGGCACCTCACATAGGGCATGCGTTGGTAAATGACGATTGTGTCTGTGGCTCAACTGACAAAAGCCCGTGTACCTGCCGACTTTTGAACAACACAAATACAAAGTGAAGCGACCATATTGTTATTTTTCAGCTTAATATTACGACCATCTCTCCATATGAAAGTGTCGACTAGTTCACAAAATAAGGAGGCATTCATCAGTCTTTGATGTTGTTAATCTAACTCGGATCGAAAATGATATTCTAGTAGCTCCTTTAACGAATAGCTGTAATATTCTTGTACATCATGAAGCGTTTGATTAAAGCAGCAACGCTCGTTTACGGTGGATACATGTGCAACCGTTTCCGTGAAGTACTTTCGACGTTATCTTTGGTTTCATCAGATTAACTTCAGAGTTCACGCGGACTCCTCGTACGAGTGATAACCGCAAGTTCTTGTGACACAGGCCAATCTCATTGTAAATACTTGCGGTGTAGTTACAATAGTGAGCGCTTAGCGTTTTGTGGTTTTGTAAGATAGAAGCCGCGTTGCATTTTACGTTCCAACGTGCCTGCCATTATACCTTCATATGTGCGAAAAGATAATGAACTTGTATGAAGCACGAGATATACAAAGCAGAACATTTTCACATGTGCATCGTTTTCGGTCAGTACAGGTAGTCCAAGCAATCTTGTATCGAAAATCGATCTCCAGTCGATTTGTGACTGCGACACAAGTGTGATCATCTTGTCACCGTAACAGCGGGATGTAATGAGAAATGATGCTTTACCTGATCCGTTATAGTTCAGTATCGTAGAAGCATGATCTGACAAAAACTGTCATCAGGTTTTCGTTTGTTTGATGATGGCTGTGATAACAAAACGAGCTCTTAGGCGCTTCGTAAAAAAATACCAGCTATATGTCCAAGTATGTATCATGAAATGTACCGACCAACGCGAATATTCTTTTCTAACGTTTTCCTCTGTTTGAGAGTGACATAGGAGGCTTGAGTACTTCAATTCGACCCGAATCGTTTGTTCTTCGGTAACAATATGCTAAAAAGATAAGAGGTTCGTGATCAAAGAACAGACCTACAGCTGTGCTAGCTTGCACTATCATGTCAATGACAGCAAAACGCTTCGTGAGCGCAATATCTTGGAGGTAGTGCATCAATTCACAAAGTATCTTAACTCTGTTAATTGAATCGCGCAAATGACAGATCGCTTAAGTTGTCGTAGATCTGAATGTACTTTTTCTCTAGCTTAGTGGTCGATTTGAAAATTGCTGCGATCGTAGACATTTTCTTAGCACAAACGTCTGCCTCAGAAGTATAGTTTACTTGTTACAAAGGTGCTTGTGCGAGCACCAAAGACGTTGGTAACAGGCTATTGCATTGTGAATCTTAACATAGACAAATACACCACAAAGTCACATGAAACAGGAAGAGCCACAACGGGCTGAATCTGTATTGAAAGAATTGTCAATTCCTGGTTCAAGGGAGCTGCACGTAGTTGATAGTACCTGGACCACCACCGGTGTCGACGCTAAATGAGCCGCACAAGTTGTTCGTGATGTTGACGTAGACATCGCACTGCGTCTCTGGCTTGATGGCTACAACATACTCGGTGTTCTCGAACGCTCGCAGCAGACCCTTGCCAATCTGTGGGACGTACACGCTCAAATCATCAACTGTCAGCGTGAATGAAACTTCCATGGACTCGCCGGCCTGCAACTCAATCTTCTTGAATTTCTTCAGTTTCTTTACTTCGGGAACCGAGATTAAGCGATACGGCTGAATCACAAACAGCATGACTGTCTCCTTGCCGGCACGAGCACCCACATTGGTGACGGTCACCGTTGCAGTGACTGTACCAGCCGCATGGGTAATATTGGTGGTATCCAGGGTTACAGCGGAGTAATTGAACTGCGTGTAGCTGAGACCCGTCCCAAAATTCCATTGCATCTCGCAGTTGTCATAGGCACAACGAGTCGAGACACGGTGGTTATATGGAATGGCAATGTTTGCAGGGTCCTTCGGGTACGTGATTGGCATTCTGCCGCTCGGGTTTACATCACCGTAGAGAATCTCAGCCATCGCCTGACCAGCGGTTTCGCAGGACAGCAAGCCGTTAATGATGGCCATTGAGTGATCAGGGATCGATCCAAGCAGACGCGGACGGCCTTGGAACAAAACGACAATTACCTTCGTGCCGGTTTCAGAAAGAGCTTTAACGTAGTTTATCTGACCTTCAGGCAGCGCCAAGTTGTTAAGGTCTCCGGGCTTTTCAGCGTAAGGTAATTCACCGATAACAACAATCGTGTACTGATGCTGTTTGGCAAGCTCTACGGCTCTCTCCAGAGCTCCGTCCGGCAGCGAGCCGTTCGCAAAAATTTCGTTATGGTAAGTTAGGGAGCTGTTGCCAACCATGGTTTCCAAACCCTGGCGAACACTGACACCGTTAGGAAACACCTTGTTACTGGAATATCCTTGCCAACTCTTTGTCCATCCACCGCACTGGTTACCAATATTGTCAGCAGAGTGGCCAGTAAGGAAGATGGAAGCATCTTTAGCCAGCGGGAGAACATTCTCATCATTCTGCAAGAGGACGATGGATTCGCGAGCCATGTTCAGTGCAACATTTCTATCATCGTTATTGCCCACCTTTGAGACGAGGTCCATACCAGGAACAGGGTTTTCATACAACCCGAGTTTCAACTTCGTCTTCACAATACGCTTAGCCGATTCACGCAAACGAGGTTCAAGGTCAGGATTCTTCTTCAGAATACTCAGAACAAATTCGATAAAGGCTGTATCCAACGCCACCATGCTCATGTCAAGCGATGTCTGATTCAACGTCATGGCCACAGCATTCTCAAAGTCGTTAGTGGTCCGATGCCAAAAATTCTGGCTGTAAATCTCGCCGTAATCAGAAACGAGCAGACCAGTAAATTTAAGGTCATTTCGAAGCAAGTCCTTCAGTATGCGAGAGTTTGCAATCACTGGGTTACCGTTGATTGAAATGTAGTTTTCCATCACTGACAAGGCACCAGCATCTATGGCTGCCTTGAACGGAGGCATGAAGTAGTTGAGAAGATCAAAGTCGCCTATGTTGACGTTTTGGCGATCATGACCCGTGGCGGTTTTGGAGTATGCGATGAAGTGTTTTATGCAGGCAGCGGTTTGATTGTTGCTTTGGAGCCCTCGCACGATAGCGTCTCCCATCACCGACGTCAAGTGGGGATCCTCACCAAACGTCTCGTAGTTACGAGCCCAAAGCGGATTTTGCGCGATGTCTAGAATTGGTGCAAAAATCCATGGAATTCCAGCAGCTAGGGTGTCCTGAGCTGTAATTTGTCCTACTTTGTAGACTAGGTCGGGGTTGAAACTCGCGCCATTGTTGATCTGTTGAGGAAAAAGGACAGCTCCTTCGACGTAGTTGGCACCGTGAACCGAGTCAAGAGCGTAGATCATAGGATTACCATCGTTCTCTTCCATAGTAATTTCTTGGATACGAGAGACGATGGCACGGAACTCGGAGGCGTTCCAGCCAACATACTCGTCTACATTTTCATCCCAAATAGTGTTGAAGTACGAGCCAACGAATTGCTTGGCATAGAAACGCACATATCCCTCGTTCAAGGTGTTATTTTCTGCATTGATGACGGTCGAAATATCAAGCTGCGTCATTTGACCGATTACTTGAGCCACGGTGAAATTATCGACAATAAATTGAGCCCTTGCATCCAGCGCTATCTCCTCAGGAGAAAGAGAAATACTTGTAGCCACGACTGTGCTGAGCGACAGAACAGCGGCTGCCGCGCGTAGAAACAGTTTGACCATTGCTTGTCGTTAGCGTTCGCGTTGAGACTATCTTTTCGGATGTAGTGCGGGGTGGTGCGAAGATTGAGAAGTGAGCTATGAATAACTTGTGCCTTGTCGGGAGGCGGGAACGCATGATGTCAATCGTACGTGGTCGATAGAATCCCATCCAATCTTGTAAAGCAAATACTCTGGATAGACTAGATCCCATCATGATAACATCATAGGAACTGCTCATGTCTAATCCTGCTGATCGTGGAATGGCACATAGCTGTTGCAATGCGGATAGGACCCTATCCAACGTGCTTTTCAGACCACAATCTAGCACATCATGTGCAATTACATCCTTAGGCAAGTGGGTTGCACAAAAAATTACAAAAAAAGAAAGAGCTTAGTTCAAACAAATTAAATGCATTATCAATAGGCACAATACGTGTCTGAATATCCTGGTATGGTGGAATATGAAGCTGGTGCTTTATCTGACTATTTGACCCGTATCTTGCCTGTTTCTGCAAACCGCATAAATCGTCACGACGTCTATTTGTCGCTAGCTGTACGTATTGCATTAAGTAGGCAGTAGATGTGACATGTCATTAACAGCTGTTGAAACTGCTGTTATTTCAGATGCACCAAGCCATAAGTAACCCTCAGAATTAATATTAGAGATGCATTAGAATAAAATATTATTACAAAAGACAGGTTCCAAACTCTGTCTATCTGTACAGATCACAATCTGATTTCAAAATCGTCAGTACGCACGTGGTGTTGTTTAGGATACAGTATCGAAGCTCAGTACGCACGTGGTGAAGTCTGGGACAGTTTTCCCAGCTTGCTGCCTGAGCAATTCCTGGTCCTTTTTTTGCCGTGCTGAGATCACTGATGGAGTCATCAACAACGGGATGGGCCGTGGCAGCAACATTTGGATGAGAAAGAACAAATTGTCACGTATGGTATCAATCTTGAACACCAAACAAAGCTGCTGTGCTACTTGTATTGTCTCTTTTCGAGTGAGGCAGTACACGATACCAGTATTACTTGGCGAAAAAGACTTGATAAGACGAACAAGGCAATCCATCGCTATAGCTTTTTTTGCTGGTTTTACCAAAACCTGTGATCGTGACATGCAAAACCCATTTCTATATCGTTGACTCAATACTTTGCATGCATATTCCTCCCCACAGTGTACCTCATAGTGCAGGTTGTTTCGAAGAAAAGAGGTTCAAAATGATACACAACTTTGAATTCCGAGAATGGCCTTAGCATCCATCGCTCAGCGTGGCGTTGCTGTAGCTGTAAGTGCCAACACGGGAACTGTGGGAAACTGTCGCTTTAAGATTTCCAGCTTTGAGTAATCCTGCATAATAATCATTTCAAGTCGGTTGTATGAGCGCCGTTTACTTCATTAAGCACTAAGCGAACCACACCTTACACTTCGGAAGTCGTGCCCCCACTGACTACGCAGTGGGCTTTGTCAATGACAAATCGCTTCAGTCACCCAGTCTGGTACGCCTTCTCAAACCCCGACATGAGGAGCTTGCTTTTGATGAGCTTTTCAGGAGTAATTAACAAAATCCTTAGCTTGCTATCCACAGTCAACAAAAGCTTATAAATGGCAGATGCTTCTGCACGTGACTGCTCGCCGGACAACTGACACGCTGCACCTTCTCCAGCAATATCATTAAACAGCATCACCTACAAATACATATTAATATTATCGCGTCATTAGGAGTACAAAAGAAACGCTAAATTGCTCGGTATGATACCATACTTGGTCCTGGATGAGCGAGATTAGCGGCGAGATGACAACCGTAAAACCAATATTCTACAACGTCACCAGAACAAATACACCTATTCTTTACGCTATCTGGATAGCAACATAACCTTATAACAAAACTATACCCCATGAAGCAGTGCAGGAAACTGATAACAAAGGCTCTTGCCACAACAAGATCTCATGACTACAAACACGTCTCTATTTGACAGCGCTGCATTGATGACCTCTTGCTGGACGGATCGGAAACCAGGCAAGTGAAACTATCGAGTATCATCTGTTAGTTAGCATGACATAACATTTCTCTAAAATACAATAAATATCGTTCCTACAGTGTCCGTAAGCAACGTATCGACGTGGTCCGACCACTGAAACTGCGTCTTCCAGTCTGGCGCAGCTTTTCCAGCATTTTTTGCGGCATTCTTCTTGCCTTCAATCTGCTCACACTCTAACTTCTCTTAAAGCTCCTTTATGTTGGTAGCCTTCTTGCTAATAATTTACGTTGGTGCAGCACCAACATAGTCAAATCCTCCTCCACCCTTGCAACAACTCCTGCTCAACTTGCGCCAACTCCAACTTATGTTCGATCATGGGGAAGAAAAAGAAGGAGAGTGATGGTAGGTCCGTTGCACAAAGAGGGGTTCGTTTCCCTCTTAAATCGCAACCGACCATTGCGCATTGCAAGATCAAGTCAAAAAAAATCTGGAAAACAAAGTATAAAGCGACGTCAGGCGCTACGCAGAGACGAGAAGAAAAATGTCGTTGCTCAAGACTTCGATGGTAGGAATTGTATAGTAATGAATAAATTGTATTCTACTGAAAGGTGTAGAAGCAATAATGCATGTTTCTAGCGTCTACTCGCTGAAAATCCTTATTTCTCGGCTGACCTTGTGCAGGTAAATTTCGAGAGCGAATGGAAAGAAATGCAGCCATCGCTGGCATCATTGGTCACGGGAATGCCACAGACACTGACGAATGAAAAGTGGCTCAAGATGTACTCGTATGTAACATGACGTGATCCTACATTGATGCTAACGTTAAAAGTGCATACGTTTTGGTACTAAATATATATATATATATCTTGTCAAAATCTATGACAGTGGCATTTACAAAATCTGTACAAATCCTGGAGCTCCACAAGCAGAAATGTTATTTTTTCGATTGCGAGAGATGCTGATACATCATGTCGAATCAATCTTGAAGGAGCTGGAATCAATTGATGGCGAATCCGAGTTCCTGCATCACTACTGCTCATCATTTGAGTCGTTTGCAACAGGAACAAACTACATTTCAGAGCTTTTTCGCTATCTGGTTGGTTATTACGTTGAACAAATCATTTTTCTGGTTTTTCTTCTTCTTTTCTAAATTTGGTGTGAGATAGAATCGCTATTGGATCTCGTATTCCCACTGTGAGACTGGACACGCTCCTGTTCCAGGAGTGTATCCTATCACGGAAGTAAGTATGTCGTTGCGTGTGGTAATTCATTGCCTAAAGATGTTGATTTCTGCTTGCGTAAAACAGCTTTCGCTTCATATTTGGCACGACATTGCATTTTCTGAACTCAAGAAGCGCCTCGTGAAAGCAATTATTCATATCTTTCATGCGGCACGACGTGGTGGAAGCGAATGTTTTGACGATGGTGACTGTGTTGCCAAAACGGTTCAGGTTTGTTTGTGGCTCTTTGACTTTGTACTGTGTACCAGCGTATCATTTGAGTTTGACTGAAGTGTTATTTTCTAGACATACTTTAGTATAGGCCTCTGCAAACAGGATCAGATGAGTCTTTATCGAGACGAATTGGAGCAGCCTTTTTTAAAGGTACGACTTATATCTTCAAGAAATATAAGTGTATTCTTACAGAGAAAATTTTGCGTATAGGATACTGCTAGCTATTACTCAGTAAAGGCAATGGAGCTGTTGTCTCGGGTAACAGTTTCAGAATACTTGCAAGATACCGAGCATTTTTGTGCCCAAGAGCAGAAGCGTTGTGAAGAAAGATTGCATCGGACGTATGTTGTGTTTGTTTGTCGTGCGGAAGCTCACTCACGGTAATTTAAAGCACTATGGTTCTATTTTCTACAGCACTGTTATTCAACTTCGACAAGTATGCTGTCATGTCTTGGTTGGCAAGCATGCTGATCAGATTTGTGAAGATGCGGCGACCTTTTTGGTCAATAACCAGAAGGAAGATTTGCGTCGCCTATTTTCTCTATTCTCAGAGTTGACCAACGAAAATGCACTTATGTCTTTTAAGGTACTTGTCTCCCGAGTCCAAGTCATATTTTTGTTTGTGGTCTTTATCTGGATTGCCGAACTGACTACGTGTCAATACAGAATATCCTGAAGAAGTACATTGAGCGGAGCGGTCTTGAGGTCGTGCAAAAATTCCAGCAGGAAGATGCGACTAAGAATCCAGAGAGATACATTGAAGCTCTGATGAAAGTTCGCAACAAGTACTTTGACCTGATCAAAGATGCATTTGGCTTTCACCCGCTGATGCGGACCGCGCTTGATCAGGTTTTTTCTTGTCGTTGGTGACGTTCATCTTGTCATCGTTACGTTCACTACTTATGACGGAATGAAAAACCGCTTTCCCTTTCAGGCATGCCGGACATTTGCAAATTCCCACCCGCGACTTCCTGAATTATTAGCAAAGTACACTCACTATCTGATGTCACATGAGAATAAATGCGGAGCTAGTCGAGCACTGCTTTTGCCAGGATTACCACGATCGACGCTTAGTTTGGATGATATGTTGGAGCAGAAAATTGAAAACATCAGTGTGGTATTTTGTCTCATCGATGACAAAGACGTTTTCAAGAAATACTACTCGAAGTTTTTGGCAAAGCGGCTTATCAAAGGTGAATTAAGACCTACGTTATTGGTAGTTTATCCTATATGGCGCACTGGGAGTTTGTTGTTGATTTAGTAATTCTCTGGTTGTCCTCCACTGTTTTGTGCAGGCACTTCTGTGTCAAGTGATATGGAAGTGTTGCTGATTCTCAAGCTGCGCGATATTTGCGGGTGTGATTTTGTTTCAAAATTGCAGAAGATGCTAAAGGACAAAATGCTAAGCAAGGTGCTATTGTTTTCATGCTTGCTTGCCTAGCTGTGGTGTAACGCTAATGTATAATAACAATGGCAGGAGTTATTGCATTCGTTCTCTGCTTGGCTGGAAGAGAAAGATACCGAGCTGCGCTCTGAGGACGCGTCTAACGCTTCTGCTATTGAGCTCCACCACACGGTAACGTATTATTGCGACGTTCTTACGGCTGGAGCTTGGCCTATATCAAGTGCAGCTGCAGAGCACAAGATTATTCTGCCGCCTGCCTTTGAAGCTCATACCCGCCTGTTCACAAAGTTTTACACCGGAAGGAGCACCGGTCGGAAACTGCTATGGGTTCACAATCTTTCGTTTGGGATGATACAAAGTCACTGCTTTGAAAAGCGCTACGAGTTTTTGCTGAGCTTTTACCAGATATTGGTTCTCCTGCAGGTAATAAGTATTTTTCTTGTTTAACTATATCGATGAAATGATAATCAGGTTAACGTAAGCTAATCGCCGCTGCTTAGTTCAATACAGCAACGGAAATTGCACGATCCGACATGGTCCGATTAACCAATATCCCAGAAAAAGATTGTACACACCACATGGCTAGCCTCGTTAAGGTCTGTTCATACTCGTAATAAGCTATACATCATATTTGCTAACGGTTATATGTTACATTGCAGTTGAAATTGCTTACTTCAAACGGAGCTATTGAGAACCCGACGTATGCAATCAATTTCGGATTTACCAGTCGTAAACTTCGACTTTCCGTAAGGCGTCAACATTTTGTTTGTTTTTTCAACGTGTACTTATACTTCAATGACTGTAACCAGGCTGTTCCAAACACTCCAGTCGAATCGCCGAAGACTGTTAAGGTTACACCCCGTGAGGTTGCAGAAGACCGCAAGATGTCGCTGCAAGCAGCAATCGTGCGTGTTCTTAAGACACGTCGGGACATTCATCAAGCACAACTGGTTAATGAAGTAATTCAGATGCTTGTCAATCAGTTTGTACCTACAGCCACGGCCATTAAGCAAAACGTAGAAATTCTTATCCAGAAAGAGTACTTGCGCCGCCACGATGACGACCAAGCAAGGTTTCTTTACGTGGCGTAAGCTATGAAATTTAAAAAGCGTGAAAATGATATATTTCGGCCAATTTTAGCAACCAAAAGATTCAAAACCTATACACAAGTGCATTCGTCTAGCACACATGCAGCGTACACTTTCCGTAGTTGCTACAAACGAATATTGACCTAGAAGAAGTCGACGTCTCGCTTGCCACTTTCGACAGTCCAGTCCGATGCCATTCGGTCACTACCGCATCAAGATGAAGTGTAATTAAGAATGACTAAAACCTCGAACGTCTGTGCGTCCTCTCGAATATTGCTTGAGTTTTTAAGTGACGCCCGAATCTTCAAATCATTTATTTGTATAGAAAGTAAAACTCTGGCTCCACGTCCCGTCAGAGCTGTTTCTTCTGTGACTTCCTGCTCTCCAGTACATTCCATGCAGCTTGTACTACACATTGCACTGTTCATACACTAAACAAAATATCAGTTTCAACACGATGCTGATTGCTGAGGCAAAAAGCTTCAGTTGTAAAAAGGTCAGCCTTAGTTTTTCGTTCCAATCAACTGACCGGCTTGATACGCGTCACTTCCTAATCTCGTCTCTAACCCCTTTTATTTTAGCTTATTTGATGATACATACATGCATAAACACTAATAGTTGTATGAGAATGAGCTTTTTGTCCCTCCCGCACCTGACTGACTGATTTAAACGTACGATAATGTACCGTATCATACCCAGCGGTTGGAGATATGTATCCCTTTGATGCCATTGCCTTATTCGCATTTGCCTTCTACCACTACAGCAGTCCAAGCACAATCACGCGCCTTCAGCCCGCCATTATGTGTGGGTCTCTTGCTATCTGCCTATCGGGTACTAGTTCTCGTGCCAGGCCATCAGACGTCGTCAGGTCGACTGGCTTGCCCCCATCTGGCCGATATGAAGCGTCCGCCAAGAGGCGGTTAAAAGGATCCAAGCACGCTAACGACGGCGAAGATGAAAGGGGGGTTGTGGCTACTGCGCTCAAATCGATCGCAGCGGTTGGCATGAGCTCTCAGACTGAAGCTGAACTCCAGGCGGCCAATGCGGTACGTGTGACCCATGGACTCAAATCCATACCAGACGATATTCCTCTAGACGAGAATTTCATGAAGCTGGATTATTGCATTAAGACAAAGGTTTATTAAGGAACCTGATTTGAAGAAGTGGACTGAGCTCAAGACTTGGGAAACGTTCCATAAGAGCGAAACTTCTCTCTCTCAGTTTCTTGTTACTAACTAAACAACTTTGAAGAGCTGCAAATGTTCATTACTGCTGCGAAGAATCTCCGTCGTGGTAATGCTTCAGAACTCAAAGAAATTGCAAAAACTGCAGAAATCGCAGAAACCAAGGCAGTCGCCGGAGGCGTAAAGTCTTGGCTAATGGAACACCATTCATTTTATTTTTATGAAAAAGTTGATTCACAATTACAATATGTTGCAGCTTACAAAGAACTCAAATTTGCTCAATTGGATCGTCTACATGACCCACTACAACAAGATGTACCCTGAAAAGCAATTTACGGTCTTGGACACAACTAATAATTTCTACAATGACGAAGATCTGGCAAAGCACTTTGAAATGATAAGTCAAAAGTGGACGACCGATCAAAAACTACCTGAAGACATAGAGAATGGCTACGTACGGCAACACCTCCTGACGACGTCTTTACCAAGCTTGGCCTTGATATATAAGATTATCCTTTTTTCTATACGGGTGGGCTACTTGATGCAATTAAGAAGATGGATAACTTTTTCGAACGCAACACCAATTTGCAGATACCTTTTCTCAAGCTTTTTCCGTACGATGGTAAAAAACTAGTCGATATGGTGCTTTTTGGGTCGGTCCGGCAGCCACAAGAAAATACCGTCCGAAATCGAGTGCTCGCGGAGCTATATCAGGTATGGATTGTTAAAGAATATTCTCCAGCCACAGTTTATCCACTTTTTGGCCTTGACAAAGACGCAGGTCAATTTGTTCTGGGCCGTTCCTATGAAGAGCTGGGAAGGTTATGTGGACGCTTACAATGACGCACTAAAACCGAGCCCACCAGTAACAGCTCTATCGGAACTAAGGAAGATACATGGCAGCAAGACCATTGATGCTATGTATAAGATGGCATCGAAGAATGACATGAGTATCCGCCGCATATCAAAAGCGATGCAGAAGAGACGTAAGACCAACTAACTAGATCCAAAAAATGATAAAGATGCAGGCTAAGGAGTTTATTTTCGAGCACAGACAAGTTCCCTTCGACATGCCGCAATCTTTGGGCACATGAAAAAAAGTTCCGTGGACGCCATACAACTGCTTTGATTGAAACGGCAATAAGGCAGTATCTACAATGCAAGCTGAGGCTAGATACTGCAAACCTATGTGTTAATAGCAACAACCTTATCGTTTGCCATGTATAAGCGTGTATAGTCATCAAGAGGTATCTTCAGTAATATGCAGTTCTTGTCTTTGACAGTATCTTCCAGCTCACGGTGACGTTGAAGCTTTTAGTAAACAAATGCTCAGTTAGGAAAATGAAGCATGACGCTTTCTCTTGATTTAGAACAATCAGCTTTCTTAACTCCGTCCGTCGCTAATCGAAACAAGTTACCATCATAATTGCATCAGTCGTACACATATTGTGCACATATGTAAAAGGGTGTAGCACCTCTCACTCGATGATTCACCTCCTACAGCCAGCTTCTTTCGGCTTTCTGTACGGTTTCTGCTTCACTTCTGTATGCAAGAATAGTTTTCAAAAACACAACTATAATACTTTGTCCTATCATCACTGCAAGCATGCAAACCATATTGGTGCTAAAAGCTAGCTCAAGAGATACGCACAACATAAGAAAAAATGCATCCACCATGTGAGCTTCTCCAGATGAAGACAGATTTTAGTATGTAAGATCAAAATTTAAGGTCATGACAGTTGCCAGAATTCGTTGTATTCTCCGGCATGAGTTGCTTGTACTTGCACCATTGCTGCCTTCTTGACCTGCTTTCTATACAAGCCGCACCATAAGTTTTTGTCGCTTGGACTTACTATACTTACTATTAGCAATCACGACAAATCTGTGTGCTAATACTAATAAGCCAAAAATGTGCATGAATTGTATTCATATAAAATTGTTCTGCTACAATTATGAATTATTGTATAAATACTACTCCAATAAACCTTGAAATCAAATTCATTCGACTTTTTTTAGAAATACATCATCATCACAAACGTTTCTATCATAAGAGTCTCCATCCTCAACGACGCAATTATTGCCCCATGCAACGTACAACAAGCTTCAGAGCTCTTTCAAATGCTGTTGCACTGCTGTGGGTCGAAACAGTGGGTAAAAGTAATGCTCACGAAGTTGTCTGTACGAAGTTTCGAGGAGCTTTGTTAAGCGGCGGCTGCAGTAGACGACACCATGACGCCACTAGATTGGCCTGAAGCGTTTGTAGCACACCTAATGGATTTTGCTGCTATTGAGATTCCAGTGTTTTTCAATGCACCGAATACTTATAGTAGTGATATAAATACGAGTTTTTTTTGTTGAAAAGTTTTGATTGGAAGAGCGGAAAAGCACATCGAAGTGGGAAGCTCAGGAACAAAAGGTATGGTGGATGAAAATAAACAGGATGAGGCTGTGAAAAGATAGGGTCAATGAATCGTGTAGGCGACGAAAGCTGCGTGTTGAGGATGTACTGGATCGCCTCGAGGCACTCATTGTTGCTGATTACAACAAGTTTGGGTATGTGCTTTGGTCATGCATGATACAATGTTTTGTGGGTATTTTTATTGGGATAGTCACCAATTTTGTCCCAGATACATTTACATTGTATGTGCGACCGGAAAGTCTGCTCCCGAGATGATTTGTATTCTGGAATTCCGCATGAGACAATAACCCTGACAATGAGCTTTCTGGGGCTGCAAGCGAGGAGAGCAAAATTACGACGCTCCGGTTGGAATGCTTGGTTCAAGAGTAAGTTTGCACCGATTGCTCGCCTACGGTTGGTTACTCGAGGTGCAGAATTATGGATTCTTAGATGTAAAGTGCAAAGTGTCGAAGCGGAAGAGGAAGAGAAAACCTGACTTGGCGTTATGCTCAACGTAGCTGATGAGTGAACACAAAATCAGCTTCATGATGGAAGATTAAACAGCTTTATGAATAAAACGATCCGGTCATCCACTGTCACTTTCCACAATTAATGGTATATGTAAAAATGAACCAGTAACCTCGTAAGTCATCAATATGAAGCATCGCCTGATTGATTGACAATGAATGATGATTGCTTACAGACAGCAACAAAATTATGGGCCAACTATTTTTATCCAATGTACTACTTACTCTTTTTTTAATGACTTGACCTTGTATTTATCCATTTTGAATAAAGTAACAATAATTCAACTCTGCCGGGAAAAGTATGGCCACGAAGTCGCTCAAGATCATGTTTCTAGGTGCACCAGGTGCTGGAAAAGGCACGTACGCGTCTCGTATTGCGCCCGTGCTTCAGATCCCTACGATTTCTACAGGGGATCTAGTTCGTTATGAAATTAAGACTCACACAATGCTCGGTGCTAAGATTAAAGAATATAATAATCGTGGGGCACTTGTACCTGACGAGATTATTCTAGACATGATGGAGAAACGACTTGCAATGAAAGATGCTCAAAGAGGTTTTATTTTGGATGGATTTCCGCGTAATGTGCCTCAGGCTGAAGCTTTCCAAATGGTGACCAGACTGGACCTGGTAGTAAACATTGATTTACCCGTGTGGATCCTTACGGACAAGATTAGTGGGAGAAGGTAGGTTATCATTGAATGAAAATGATGGATAGAATTGTATGGATTTTACTTTGTAGTTGTTTGGTTGATTTCTGTTGAAGGGTATGCACCAAGTGTGGTCAAGGCTACAATCTAACATTTATCAATCAAGGAGAATATTACATGCCTCCTTTATTGCCAAAAGTAGAAGGAATATGTGACGTGTGTGGCACTTCATCGCTCATTCAACGTTTGGATGACTTGCCAGAGACTTTTAAACAAAGGTAAGAGGAGATTTGGACATGCGGGTGGGAAGTAGGATGATGACGTTAAGTGGACAAATTGGTTGTTTTTCTATAGATTGGAGGTGTACAATCAGGAGACAGCGCCATTGATTGATTTTTATACGAACAAAGGCAGTTTGATAACATTTAAGGCAAAGAAGGGACTTGCGGACCTAGGCAAGCTTGTGACTCTCATTAACAAAGAGCTGCACGTGTAGAACAAGACTGAAGAGGAAAGTCTTCAAATCAGTGTTGTTGTTATGACTGCTGCGTCTTCATATGAACAGCAGTCGCACAATAAATATCCACTACAGGTATGCGCTCTTGCCTTGATTGTGCGTCCATGTCCGTTACGTAGCAGGTCTCCAGCGCCTGACGCAACTGGGATAGAGCATTGCTCGAGGCGTTCGGAAGACCAGCAGGCAAATTTGGCGCAAATGCTGGTTCAATCGGACAGCGGTATATCCATCACTTAGGGTTGAGCAGCCAAAGCCGAAGTAGCGGATGATTTGGTTCATCTCGTGTGGTGAAAAGCAACTAGTTTTCCGGTCTGTGGTGCAATTTCATCACCATGCGGCTAGTGCAGTTGCCTTTTCTTTCAGGCACATATCATCATCGGTATTTACCAGGCGTATAACGAAACTACCGACACTAGCTAACCTCATGCGGCTCCACGCGGCTCTATAATCGGTAGCTTTACTTTCTAACGATGTGGCCAAAGAAATCGCAGTGCCGTACCGCAGGCTCTACTGTAATATGTATAGTTGAGATTGACTGTAGCGGTAACCTCTCGAAAACAAGTGATCTGTCAGTGAATATCATCGAACATGCAATTTGTAGCAACTCAACATCTTTCTCACCAAGATGGTGCAAATTGGTTAAACTCGGGGCACAATTAAGACTTCCTTACGAGCGACCCACTCGGAAAAAGTCGGTACTAATTGTATTCACTTGCAGACGCAAACATTCAGATGATCTTCGGTATTTATCCGTTGCACAGTTCGACATGCCGTCTACTATCGTTGTCACGTAACAGAAATCGTCGTTTTGACATTGCATTGATATTCCTACAAGTGGTAATCAATGCCTGTGTATTCCTCAGTATCTTGGCCGACAGACTGTGAATTTTCCGTGCTACGCTGTCGCAAGTTCGAAGACGAACGGCTACTCGCGTAATGCGAGTCCAGAGGGTTAATCGCAACGAGTTCCGATGATGTCAGTGATCGAATGGACTGAATGTTGAATTGCTGGTCCGTTTGCTGTGTGTCCACATCCATGTGTGAGTTTTGCTGTACAAATAAATTCTGATTGGCGTTGTCACCATTTATGAGGTCTTCGACTCCAAGAATATCAGCCATCTTTAGCTGGAAGCGTGCCTGATACACCTTCGGTGCGATCGCAGACAGTCCGTCTCCGTCAACGCCTCTGAAAACAATCTTAAAAATGCGCTCCATACGCTTCTTGAATGTCCATGTCTGCAAAATGTCAATCACGCCAAGGTGATAATAAGCTGGGCCGACAACTGTGTTTGCCATGCGCATTCCTGATCGAGGAAGCCGTCTTCCAGACGAAGACGTATTACTTCCAGCACGCCCATGGCGGCTCGCGTTCTGTAGATATTCATGCGGCTTTGATGATCCCTTTTGCTGCACCACTGACTCGCCGCGCACTGAGCGGCTGTTGCAAGATCCAGCGGCTGAAGACAAACTTGCCTGGGGTCGAAACTTCGAAGATGATGCTTGGACTGTAGATGGCCCCTTCGATCTTGCAAAATTCTGCATGCCCCCACTGCGTGAGTCCATCATCGACTTTTCACCAAACGGGTTGTATACTGAAGACCGTTGCAAATTCCTTCCAGATTTTGTGCCTTGGGCACTAGATGAGGGCGGTGTGTTGGTCACATCAGATTCAACATCTGTGTCATTGCCCTCATCCACCACGTACTCGACTTCGTTGATGCCCATAAGCAGCGAATAGTCCATAATACCGAACGAGCACAGTAGCTGTGAGTCAGCGCAGAGTTGTTGATATAATTCCAGTGCCACATCACGATCAAGATTAAGTTTCTGAGTAAGATCCGAGTCCTTTAACACAACGTTCGGCTCGTGGCCGCCTAGCCGAACCGTGCAATTCGCGTTCTCAGGGGCTGAATTCTGATACATGTACTTACAATTGCAGTGACGGCATGTAACTTTTTTACCGCGCTTCGGCAGGTCGCCGTGGCGATTAACCCATGATCCTTTGATATCGTAACGAGAATGGATCACCTGGTCCGTATCAAAAAGATTCGCCATAACGACGAAGGAAAACTGTTTGCCGTACAACTCGAGACAATGGCAGCCGTAGAAACGTAGTAGCAGGGAGCGAGGGTTAGCGCACAGGTAGTCGGCATAGTCTTGAGCAATGCTGCGCAGAAACGAACATTCTTCCTTACTCGTACTCTTCACGATAAGAGAACCATCGGCGGAGTAAAACATAAAGGCTCCACTAGCACCTTCACTCAGACGCTCTTTCGCCGTGGCTGAAAGCGCTTGCAAGTAGGCATCATTGTTAACCCCAAATCGCTCACGAATCTTTTTAAAAGCATGAGGTTCATAGTCATGGAATGTTTTAGTACGAGGCGAGTTCTTAGCCACACGCATGGTCTCGGCAAAAGCGCTTGCACCGTTCGTTCCGTCACGCTCGGCATCAACCGCCATATACTGGCGATAGGCTGCATTAGCTGCCGAAGAATGTGTACCCGTCCTACTCTCACCAACAGGCACTGCAGTGAACGCCGCAGCGGATGCAACGTTAGTGGCCTTTGTCTGTGGCAGCAAAGCCAAGTGCTGGATGCGCTGTGACGCTGGTAAACGCTCTGCAGCCTGCACAGCCTGAATTATACCCGATGTGGTGTAGAAGAGCACTTCTCGACGCAACGCCGCATTCACTTGCGGGTTCAGGTCCACATCAACCTCGCCTGTGTTTTCCCCAAGACAACGCGTAAAGTGCGCGATGTGAAAATCATTCAACGCAAACCAAATAACCAGATCAAGGTATCCCTTTCCTGCAATGAGAAAATTCAAGAGCTCGCTGGACTTGTCCGGTTTAGAACGGTCACGGGACAAGAACTTGATATAGACAATGACCACAATAATCCAGTAAAACGTCACTGCAAACACATTAAACCTCGCACGATTGATGCTCTGCACTCGAACCGCGTATGTCTCGGGCATACCTTCACTCAGTCGTTTCCAGGCCCAAACCCAGACGGCAATGCCAAAGATAATGAAAAGTCCCATCCAGATGTAGAAAAAGAGCCAACTAATCATGTTGGCGTTCACAGCCTTGTAATCGTCGGAAAAGTTGTCCGTGACTTCGTATCCAGCAGGACAAAATGCCATGTTGTCGGCTTCCAAGTTCTTTAACGCATTTGTCCAGCACACGCCAAGATCCGAGTATCCTGCCCAATCGTCTGTGGTCATGAGCATAAGTCCAAGAACAAGCGGTACAAGCCACGAGCCGAGATGAAACATCCTTGTGTTCCGTTTAAAGTCCGTAAAGGGATTCGTGAGACTCATGAGGAGATTAGCTGTCATGCAGAAGAACCAGCACTCGGAAGCAAGCAGCGTAAACTCAAAGAGACCAGCAAATACGTCGCACGTGGGGCTAGCAACGCTATCAGTGCTGCAACCACATTGCAAATTGGTACTGTTACAAAGTGGCACACAATCAAAGAAAATACAGCGCGCAAACTGTTGTGCCATGAGCTGCATAACAAAGACGGCATCTGCAATAGTACGCCAAAAAACAAGTGGGTTCGGGTGCTGACGGTAACTAGGTACACTAACGTACGACAAGATAACGAAGAAGACAGAGAAAGTCGAGAGTAACCCGCCCCAAATGAGCCCCGGGCTTAAATTGTCATAGGAACTGCCCATGGCTAATACAAGCGCAACGACAAAAGCAAAAAACATGACGAGCTGAAACCATCGCGTTGTCGACTGTAGACACGTACTTAAAGCAGCAGGAGGTGGTTGTTCTTGTAACGTATTGACATCTGGATCATTAGACGGTGATGCAGACGTAGGAGGACCATGATGGTGTGTGTGGTTATGTAATACTTCTTGTTCGTCATACATTATAGCACGAGGAGATTAAAGCAGTGTGAAAAAGATATAGCTACTTGTACTACTATTACTTGTAGTATAATTCGAGAATGATGTCGTCCTTCCTTACAACGTCTTTAGTAGAGACGTTCCTATTAAATAATCGGGTTTATTTACTATTATTATTATTGATAGTATTATTGGTAGTATTGGTAATATTGGTATCGTTGTTTTGAGGCTGGTGAGAATTTATTTATTGTATGAAGAAGAAAGACAGTGCGGAAGTTAAAAAGTAGGTACGGACGACTATTTATTGTCTGACTATTAGGGATTGGGGGAAATCAGGTTTCTATTTAACGAAATTTCGTACTACAAACGTAAATGGCTACATAAAGCAGCGCGAATTGATATTAGGAATGAGGCAATCCTTATTGAGTTTATATTGTCGAGCTGGCTGAATTGGAGCTTTCTGCACTCTGTGCCGCATCTTCTTGCTTCCAAGAGTCTGTGGATGATGGTTATGAGCTATGTGTCAGTTGGAAATACTGTCATAACGATGACAAACGACTAGCGTCATAGTGGGTGTGCTCAAACTAGAGCCATGATATGAGCCTTATCGAGACGATGACCCCAACACGATTGCTGCAGGGTGTTGTTTGCTTTTGGCGACAATGCGCAATTCTCACGATAGCTCGTGTTCGAGCTTGTTACAAAATCTGGAAGAATAATGTATAGTAGTAACAAGCTGCTGGCATTTGCTTAGCTTTGGTCTATATTATTTGCTTACACGTTGATGTCGGGTGCAGGATAGCCATGCAGAATCTTTCAAGGCAGTCTTGCTCTATTACAGTAACTGTTATTGGAACGGTAGCATTCAATAGAAGCGCTAAAAGTGAGTATTTAAGGACAATTCTTGGTATAACGTATCGACGAAACATTAAAAAGCTTGAAGATGGGATTGATTGTCTCATAAAAAAATGTAGCCATACAACATTGTAGCCATACAAAAATATTACGTGCAAACTTTACAGAGCTGAGGTAATCATGAATTTTTCATTTTAACTTGTTGCGTAAACATTTATGTCATTTTCTTGAGGGAAAATAGCAAGTAGCACATTAAACACTGTAGCCATTTTGTGATTAATGGTAAAAGTACCGGTAACAACAACAACAACAAGTACTGCTGCTGCTTCGTCCTGCAGTCCATTGACCGCGACTGAACTTGAACGCAATTACGTGCATAAGGTTTATGATCTGATTGCTCTTCATTTTAATCATACACGACATCATCCATGGCCTCAAGTGATTGAATTTCTAGACAAGTTACCACCTGGTGCATTCGTAGCTGATGTGGGCTGTGGCAATGGCAAATACTTGAATGTAAAGCCTTCATTATGTATAATTGGAGTTGATAGAAGTATTCCATTGATGTATGCAGGAGCAACAGTCAAGAGGTTCTTTTGTAACATAGCATTATTGTATATTGTTATGATTATGGTTGATATTTTCATTGTAAATGAATGGACGACGTCAAACTAATGGAAACCTTTGTTCACACATGTAGTAATATGGTGGGATGTGACGCATTAAAGGTGCCATTACGCAGTGAAGTCTTTGATGCAGCCATATCAATTGCTGTATTGCATCATATCTCGACAGACGAACGCCGAGTTGCACTCATCAGGTACGTGTTTTAAAACGATAGTATGGGCTTGTCGAAAACGACTGACATGAGCAGCTCTTTGGATCTACTTTAGTGAGTTAGCACGCTTGGTACGAGTTGGTGGTCAAGTGTTGATTGTGGCCTGGTCGTTTGAACAGGATGAGCACTCAAAGCGCCGCTTTGAACAACAGGATGTCATGGTGGAATGGAAACTCCAGCAGAAATACGCAAAGGACGACGAGCAGATAGAAACTAAATCACACGGGCAAGTTATTCGCGAAAAACAATGGATAGTCTATGAGCGCTACTGTCATGTTTATCGTAGTGGCGAGCTTGAGGCACTGGTGGCGCAAGTGTCAGGCCTTGAGTTGGTATCGGTGGCGTATAGTCGGTCTAATTGGTGCCTTCGTCTACAACGCGTTGCTTCCTAGCTGGTAATAAACAGCACGGCTATAGCTGATACTATAGGTAGCGCAGTCGTTATGCTGGGGATGCGATCGATGATAGGATTGAAGGCCGGAAAATCAGCTCAGAACAAGCCGAATTCATAGTGATAAGGATGATATGATGACACTTTTTTCCGTGTCGTGGAAGTGCGGCAAGCTATGCGAGATTGGATCACTTTGTACGAGAACTCGTGTGTTCATCTGTCTGGGTGCATTTTATGATTAATGCTTCCGATCACTATAGTTCAAACGCATATCGCGAGGGCTGAACGTGCAAAGTTCATCACACAACAAAGCAAAGCAAAACAATCTCAAACTGTTCCATTCTCGTCGCGAGCATGACTTGATAACGTGGTTTAGCATTTGAACACTTGCGCTAATATGACGAAGCATTACAAACACGGCACATACATACACGACTGAATCGCAACATTTTGTAGCATAGGGGTTGTTCAAGCCTCCTCTGGCTGCCTGTAATTGAAGGTGTTGGCCATACCGATTGGGCCCAAACGACCCAGATTGATTCCTACTCACCATCGCTGACGGCGTCTGCCGTAGTAGCTTTCATTGCCTCGTTACCGATGGTGACTGTGGCCGCTGTTCGTGCAGCCTCTACACCTGCCAAATTCTTGCTGCGGAGAATGGCCACGTGGGCTAGTCTGCATGAGCGTTCCCAGGTCGTGTCGTTGAGATGCGATCAAAATCTACCATTGAAAAAGCTGCACTTGCACCGAGGGTGTCGGTAGGAGACATGAAGCTTGCTGTATTACGCGAAGCTCGGGATGTAGCAGATGTGCGGTTGCCGTCGCTAGCTTCTGCTCGAAGGGCAGAATATGAAGGGTACGCAAAACCATTTGTCACTGGAGTTGCGTGGCTGCCATGTGGAGACCCCACTGAATCTCGATAGTATCCCTTACGCGTTCCAGTAGCATTGACACTTGTAGCGTCAGCCGAGATTTGCGAATTGGGTCGACGAATGTAGCGCAATTCACCACGAATGCGATTGCAACAACGCTCTTCGAGATGACAGTCTGATGCAAACGTGTCGTCTGGTTCGCGCCATTCAGGCGTGTTAAAAAAGCGGTGAGAATATTCAGCAGGTTCTGCACGACCAGGCATCGGTTCAACACCGGACCAATTCGAAGAAAACGGGTTTTCCAGGGTCAAATCACGACCAGATGCGCCTCGGTATCCTCTTAACCTAGGAGAAGCTTGCATGCGAGCCTCGTTTGTGGCTTCGCCTTCAAAAAAACGGTCACTTGACATACGAATGCGTCCGCCCATTTCTTGCCTATGATAGGTCGGAAAGCGGTTTGCAGGTTCTGCACGACGATCGGTATTATCGTGTCGGTAATGCATGACATCACTGCCTCGTACCGCAGCTGCATGCATCGGAACGACAACTCCAGAAGCTTCATCGCACATTTGCCGTGTTCGCTTGCCATCATAACGTCCAGCGTCTGGAGAGTCTAAGATGGTGCGTTTCCGTAATGTACTCCCAGTGAGTTCGTGGCTATTGCCAGTGTCTGCAAAAGACGTGGAGTCGACAGCAGCTTCACAAGGTAGTAACGACAGGATGGCTGAGTGCACATTGGCTGGAAAGCACGAGGTCAAAAGCTCATTATTCAAAGCAATATGTCCAACGACATCCAGTGCGGATTGGAAAATCTCCCCACGAGCGGAGATAAAGCATGTTTCACCCCTTCCAGAGTTACTAGTCTGCACGCGCCAACCTTGTCGCACAAGAGTAGGAAGTGCATGATTCTCAAACAAACTGATTACGAATTGTGCCTCGCGTTCGCTGACCTGAATGCTTTGAGCGTGACGTTGTAAAACGCTGGGATGGCGCTGAGGAGTTGCTGCTGGCGAAGTCACGAAGTCTTCAGTGTCTGGACTGGCCGGTAACGATCCATCTTTTTTCGACAGCAACGAGATAGCAGGTGGTACCTGGGATGGATCAGCTCGTTCAATCTCGTCCTGGATTAAAATCTGCAACGTATTATCCACCGTCAAATCCTCAGCGTCGCCATCAGCGTATACGACCGTATAAAGCGCCATACTCTTGTCAAATTTAACTACTTGTCCCAAAAAGCGTCCATTCCCAGGAAAAGTCTTGGCCACACGAAGTCCAATCAGATCTTCCGCAATAATCTCGCGTCCATGGAACATGATGCGTACATGTTGTTGATCAGTGGATGATAATAATGGCGACGGATCTTCATTCTCTACTTCCTCACCGATATCCTCTTTTTCTTCACTCATGTCTTGATTCAACGTACATGAATTTCTTCCTTCTTCCCAGCGATCAAATGATGATAAAGAGGTCGAACTTGATTCATTAGCACCAGTACTGTTGCTCTCAAATGATGCTTGTTCTTGCAAAATCACCTTATCGACTGTCAAAGCAGATACTCAATCACTGTTCTTAGTACTAGAAGGAGATAATGAGATGGTCACATGACTGTCTTTACCTTGATTCTCTTTCAATTGAAGCAACGCTGCACTGCCAGAGGATAGCGAAAACAATGACTGGGTTGGATTCTTCAGTCTATGTCGATCATGATTATCATCCTTACTCTTGGTTTCATCTTCTGAATTAGATGATAAAAAAGAAGAAGAAGAAGAAGATTGGGAGTTCATACTACACGACTTCTGCTTCTTTATCCGCGTGCTTTTATTGTTATTGTTATTGTGTAATATCTGTAGCTTACGAGTATAATTTAGAACCATAGAAGCTATAAAAGTCAAACTACAACAAATACGATCATTCGAGGAAAATATGAAAATAACTGGATTTGTATGATAGAGACGGACGATAAAATCTGTGGATTTAGTTTTGATGTCGTAAGGTAAGTTTTAATGTCCCGAAAAGAAAGTTAAATTTAGGGTCTGATTTTAGATAGGTTCACACGTAAGGGTCTTTTTAATGACCAATCACCTTTATTAAGTCTACATGTAGTGTCTGCTTCGTTTTACTGTCTAAACGTACTCTTTTTTTATATCTGAGCCTACTCCTATATCACTCCTTTATCTCTCTATCTGAATATCCATACTGACAATACTTTGTAGAAATACGGCCAGTATGTTTGTATCGCGTTCTTTCTCCTCTCCTCTCTTGTCTCTTATTATCGGTTCCAGTCTCGTCTACTTTTGGTTATTTACAAAAGTCAATCAACTTGTGCCCGATCCTTATATGGTAAGCTACAAAAAACATCTCGTCACTTGTGTCATGATCAACTTTTGTCAAAATCAATAATAAAAAACACTTTTATTTTGTGCCAATAGGATGAAATTTTCCACCTTCCACAAGCTCAGAACTACTGTCAAGCATATTTTGGTCCGTTTGTACAACTAGCTGTGAATCTGTTGATCACTGTGTGTGTGTGTTTTTCTATGAATTCATTTTTGATTGTATCAACTTTTGTCAATATTGTTGTCTAGACAAGTGGAACCCCAAGATCACGACGTTTCCAGGTCTTTACCTAGTATCAACACTTTATACAAAAGCGCTTTCATGTCTCAATGTCGTGGATGATTTCTGCTCCGTGTCAAGATTACGTAGTGTGAATGTGCTATTTGCAGTGGGTAATATGGTATTGTGTGTACTGTTACGACATCACGTGGCTCCAGAAGATCCCAATGCTTTGCTGCATGCACTACGCATTGCAGCATTTCCACCGCTGTTCTTTTTTACTTTTTTATTCTATACGGATAGTGGAGCAACTTTTTTCGTGCTATTGATGGTATTCCTGGCGGAAAAAGTGGATTTATTGCACTACTCGCCTGCAAAAGGCAGCTTTGTGCTCAGTGCTATTGTGAGTCAGTCAATTCAGGCAGTTATTGGTGGGATGTGGAGCAAGTGTGATTGACACGTGGTGGTTCGTGTGGACAGAGTGGTGCTTTTGCGGTGCTTTTTCGCCAAACAAATATAGTCTGGGTAGTGTTTGTGGCTGGTACAGTTGTCGTTCGATATGTGGAACTCACCCACTCAAAATTCATTTACGGGTAAAACATACGAGCTGCTATTGCTACGCAAATGTGCTTTGACGCTGCTGAATTTGATTATATATCAGGTTGTTATTGAAAAAGGAGGCAAGCTACTGTGGTGCTCCGTCTGTCACGCACAGGTAACTTACAGAAATACGCCATCTTGATAACAACTTTCACCGTAAGTGTACTAACCGCAATTCTTTGTGATCTTGATGGCTCTTCTATTCAGCTCTTTCAGGGTCTTGCTCAACTTCGTCAGCGTCGTTATCTCAAATTTGCCGTCCATTCTTCAAATTGTCTGGCCGTTCGTCGTGATTGTCGCTGGTTTTATCGTTTTTGTCCTGGTGAATGGCGGCATCGTTGTCGGTAAGCCTGGAAACGAAAGTCATGACGACTGGTCGGCAAAGCTAGTTTGGGTTTTCACTATGACATCTTTTATACTGATGACCAGGAGACAGATCGAATCATGAAATGACTTTCCACGGAGCACAGGTGCTATACTTCGTTGTCGTGGCAGCCTCCGGCTTCGGACTCTGTCTTGTTGCGCCTACCCAGCTGTTGACGTTTACAAAACTGGTGCGCAGGAACGCTAGTTCGTTCCACGGCTTGCTGTTGATGATCTTCCTGGTTGCAGTGACTGTTGGAGTCATTTTCCGCTTCAGTCCCGTTCACAAGTTTATGCTGGCAGACAACAGGCATTACACGTTCTATGTGTGGAGGAAGTTCTTCCTCAAGCACGACTTGGCAAAGCTTTTGCCTGCTCCATTGTACCTTTTTTTGGGATGGTGCTGCTGGAATGAACTAGGCATGGACATTTGTGGATTTCTTATTTAAACCGGTGCTTACTAACGTCGGTTTGATTTTAGGAAGAAGGCGCTCACCACTGTGGAAACTCGTTTACACGCTTGCAGTGTGCTTGGTCCTCATTCCATCCCCGCTTGTCGAGTACGTGTATTAGTGCGCAACACATACTGTATTGATGACGCTGATGGATACTCACATGTATTGATTGTGTTACCAGACCACGGTATTATTGCGTTCCTTTCGCAATCCTTCACTTAAACACCAGCAACGTAAGTACCCGAACGCATTGGTTGATTGTAATTTGACAATTTTAACAATATGATCGTCATTGCAGCAATCTGCCTTCCATCTATGGGTAGTGTTTGCTGTGTACATGGCTGTCAACGCGCTGACGCTGTACATTTTTCTATACCATCCGTATCAATGGGTTGATGGATCGACTGCACGATTCATGTGGTAATGACTTCCGCAAGGGTGTAACTGGCTAATGGCCTCTTGATGGTGAGCGTATTCAGAGTGACATTCCCATCGATTTTTACCAAGTATGCAGCTTTTGCTTACGTCGATAACATTGATAGTACCACCAGCATTGTCTGATTGTTCAGCACACCACAGCAAGCATATCAGCGCTTTCATCGTACAACCCCTTATTAGCAGCGAGTTGGGTGAATCACAAGTACATACAAACGAATGTTGCATTACTCTGTTGCGAAAGTACCTTCATCTTCAGGCTCCAGGAACACGATCAGAGACTCGCAAAGAAAACCAAGCATTTGTACGGCGAGATGACAAGCACTTTCCTGACAAAAGAGTAAATACAGCATTCAGGTTAAAGCTGGGAACACATTTCTTTCCTAATCGTTTCACGTCCGAGCGTTGGAATGACCACACGATGCGTTCCAGATACAACAAAGTACCGGCAGTTTACGAGTATTGTACTCCATATGCTCATTGATACAACTACAGGGTTCAGCCTCAGACTCCTTTGACCGAGACCTCCAAGGAGAGAGCTCTTGTCTTTGTGGAAACGCTGCGATAGCTTTTGTGAGAACTCTTCACGATCTTCATTTCTATGACTGGATATCGATCATCAAGATGAATGACGGATGACCTCTCAACACACATGGTGATGCTTGAATGCCACTTCTCTCATCAACTTTGTGGTCTTACGAAAGCAGCGCCGTCACGTTGCTTGCATTGAGGTCGTATTTCAGCATGAGGTCATTAGCGTTACCTATACGTAAGGGGTAAACAGTTCTCGTATTTTCTTCTTCGAGAGCAGCAAATCCAACCGACACAGCTAAACGGCAGCAAGCAACTCGAATGAGATCCACACGGTGATCAGTCGAAACACAACGATCGCTTGGCAGTCCAGTATAAAGTAAGAAACCTCACGCCGGTTTCTTTCTCGTACTCAATGAAAAAAACGGACATCTATGCGATGGACAATAAGAGCTCTCGTCCCAGCGGTAAATGCATTAAGTGTAAGTAACGGTTGCCACTCATTACTCTATAAACCATTTGTTCTTTTCTCAGTCCCATTTATCCTTTGCACGAAAGAAAACATGAAGCTGGAAGCTTTGGCTTGGTTGTTTTGTCCGACGTCAATTGCTGTGTCTTGTATTGCAGTGATCCTTGTGTATTTATTGATCCCTTCACCTCGCGACCGTGCCGTACAGCATCTGCCGAGCCCCGAGCCGAATTATCCAATCCTGCGGAATTCCCTTGAGCTTTACAAGGTACAAAAGTCTGGCAAGTTTCTCGACTGGGTTTTTAAGTATTGCCACAAGTACCAAGGCAAGCCGTGGTGTATTCATGCCATGGGCAAGGAACCGTGTGTTGTGCTCTGCTGTCCCGAAGCGTTTGAGGATGTCGTGAAGACGCAATTTGACGCATTCGACAAAAGCCCCAATGTTGCAGAAGCAATGTTGGATGTGTTGGGTCATGGAATCTTTGCTGTCAGTGGACCTCTATGGCTACGTCAACGCAAGATTGCGAGTCATCTGTTCACAGCACAAATGATACAGTATGCCATGGAAGTGGTGGTTCCTGCAAAGGGCGAGGAGCTGGTGAAGCGCCTCGACGAGATATGTCAAAAGGAGAACGAAGATGAGCGCGTCGTGAACATAAAGCGACTGCTGGAGTTGTACACGATGGACATATTTGCAAAAGTCGGGTTTGGTGTCGATTTGCATGGTGTGCAGTTCAACCAGAACGCTGAGCCACTCGATGCGTTTCAGCGAATGTCTGTGCGGATTTTAAAACGGATTCAGCAACCGATGTGGATTTGGAAGTTCCTGCGCTGGCTGAACGCCGGACCGGAGAAACAATTTGCCGAAGACATTAAGATAATGGATGAGTTTGTGTATAGTGTCATCTGCCGCTCGATCGAAGAGAAGAAGAAGCCAAAGGGATCGATTGCGAATTGTCGAAAAGACCTTATTTCACTCTTTATCGAGAAATGGGAGATGGAGTTTACTAATGGCGTGCACACGACGAACGACCTGAAATTAATGCGAGATTTTGCAGTAAGTCTTTTAGCAGCTGGACGAGAGACAACAGCGACCACAATATCGTGGGTGATTTTAATGCTGAACAGATATCCAAAGGTTCTAGAGCAAGTCCGTCACGAGCTGAAAAACAAGCTACCAGACCTTGCAAGTGGAAAAATGTGTACTCCAAGTCTAGAAGACATTCAGCCTCTTGTCTATCTCGAAGCTACTATTCGAGAAACCTTGCGATTGTTTCCTGTTGTAACGGTTACTGGACGCTCTGCGACTCGGGATGTTTGGCTCTACGATGGCACATTTATCAAAGCAGGAACGCGAGTAATTTTACCCCATTATTCAATGGGCCGCATGACGACCGTATGGGGTCCGGACGCGAATGAATTTAAACCAGAACGTTGGCTCGATTCGACTATGAACCGAACCAAAGCGGCGTCACCATTCAAGTTCAGTGTTTTTCTTGGTGGACCTCGTATTTGTTTGGGGATGAAATTTGCTCTCTTGGAGATGAAAATCACTCTTGCCAAGCTATTGAGTCATTTTGACTTGAAGACAGTCAACGATCCGTTTGAGTTGACATATGGTTCATCCATAACACTGCAGATCAAAGGACCATTGGACGTGATGGTGTCGCACTTGACAAAGTAATTTCCAAAAGCACATGGGCTATATTTGTAATTTTCCATGAAAGTCTCACCAGTTAATTAATGGACCATCATTCTGGTTCGATTTCAACATTTTTGTCCACCACTAAAACTGAAGCCATTCATTCCACAATGTTATGGACATCAAGACGTCTAACATTGCGCTGCCTTTCAACTGCAACAGCTTATGCCTCTCTTTCTCCTCTTTCTCCTTCTCCTTCTCCTTCTCGTCTTCGTCAGTTAAAGTTTGTAACATCAGATGAAATTGATCATTGTCTATTGCATGGTTTAACCTCTCCAGACGATGATACCCAACCTGTAAATCTCATTCAAGACGAAGAGAGTGCACGTCGCGTACTTGAGAAAATCAACGAGCTAGGTCCTACTCACTTTCATGCATGTGACACTGAAGTGGCACAAATTGATCTTAAGGCGGTGGGTCCAGTCGGTCATGGGATTGTCACGTGTCTCTCACTTTATAGTGGACCTGATGTGGACTATGGCAATGGTCCATATGTTTGGATAGACAATCTAGATAGTGCGGAAGGCACGTTGCACTATTTTAAGGAATTTCTTGAGAGTACAATGTATCGGAAAGTCTGGCACAATTACAGTTTTGATCGACACGTGCTCTTTAATCACGGTATTAACGTCCAGGGTCTTGGTGGGGATACGATGCATATGGCGAGATTATGGAACACTGCTAGATTTCAGAATAGAGGCTATTCTTTGGAAGCTTTAACGGCGGATATGTTATTACAAAGGAAAAAGCCGATGAAAGAATTGTTTGGAATCCCAAAGCTTAAGAAGGATGGATCAAAGGGTAAAGAGAAAATCATGCCAACAGTCGAGGAGCTGCAGCGACTGCCAGCGTTCAGGAAAAGGTGGATTAGGTACAGTGTATACGATGCAGAAAGCACGTGGTTTTTGCATCGTGTTTTGCAGCACAAGTTAGATCAGACGTTCTGGTTTGAGAATTCTTCTCACGCAGAGGACGAGAAAGCACAAATTGGATCCATGTACGACTTTTATCTCCAATACTTTGTTCCGTTCGGCGAGTGTCTGACGGATATTGAACGCAACGGCATGCACGTAGATCTTAATTACCTCGCTGGTGTCGAAAAACAGGCGCTGGAGGACCGTGCGCGTCTCGAACGACTTGTGCTGACATGGGCGTCGCGCTATTGCGGGGAAAGCGAACGTATCAACTTATACAGCGCTGCGCAGAAGCAGCAATTGCTGTTCGCGCCGTATTTCGATGCGAAGAAGGAGAAACTTGTGCTACCTGCTGAACGCGAGTTTGAAGTGGAAAACACGGAAGGGTATATCGAAGAAGGTAAACAAAAGGCGAAGAAGAAGCGCAGTATCACTATTCGTGGTCTGGGTATCCCTTCGACGCATTTTACGGCGAGTGGACTCCCCGCAGTCAGCGCTGAAGTGCTGAAGGATCTTGCAGGCTATGTAAGTACTTTGAAGAGTTATGATGCATGAACTTCAATTTAGTTATTGTTTCTTTGTTGCATGCGCAGCCTGAGGCGAATCCTCCAACGTACGGTCGGGCATATGACCATTTTAAGGATAAGGAGGAGGGAGCAGCAGCTTGTGTGGCACTAAAGGCGCTGTATGACATCAGCAGTATTAACACCATGCTTAACAACTTTATTTTACCGCTCCAGGATCTTGCAGATAGCAATAGCCGTGTCCACTGCTCGTTGAATCTGAACACAGACACAGGTCGCTTGTCTTCACGAAAGCCAAACCTGCAGAACCAACCAGCAATGGCCAAAGATCGCTACAAAATTCGGGATGCGTTCACGGCGCCGACCGGCAAGAAGCTTATTGTAGCCGATTATTCGCAGTTGGAACTACGGCTCATGGCCCACATTACTCAGTGCAAGGCTATGATTGAGGCGTTTAAGGCCGGCGGAGACTTCCATTCACGCACGGCCATGGGAATGTATCCTTACGTGGCAAAAGCTGTGGAAGATGGTGAGGCGCTTTTGGAATGGGATAGTTCTTGTGGCAAGGAGCCCCCCGCTCCGTTACTTAAAGACAAGTTTGGCAACGAACGAAAAAATGCGAAGGTGCTTAACTTTTCGATTGCTTACGGCAAAACTGCCTTTGGCTTGTCGAAGGACTTCAAAGTTTCTCGTAAAGAGGCAGCGAAGACTCTGGAAAAATGGTATGCTGATCGAGCAGAGGTGCGCGATTGGCAAAATAGAGCCATTGATATAGCCCGAACATACGGCTACACCCGCACGCTTCTGGGACGGTATCGCCGGCTTCCCGACGCTATGCTAACTGATAACAGTATCACATCAAAGCAGTCAAGAGGGCATGCAGAACGTGCTGCTATTAATACACCTATCCAAGGTGCTGCTGCCGATGTTGTTATGCAGGCCATGCTCCTTGTGCATCAGAATCCGAGATTACGCGAGCTTGGTTGGAAGTTGGTGTCTCAAATTCATGATGAAATTATCGTTGAGGGACCTGAAGAGTCAGTAGATGAGGCGATGAAGCTTGTTGTGCATTTGATGGAGAACCCGTTCCAGAAGCCTTTGTCTGTAGCCCTTGAGGTGGATGCTAAGGTTGACGATTCCTGGTTTAAGGCAAAATAGGCATATGCACGAAGTTGTAGCTGAAGCTGTACGTACCAACTATCGTATTATCAAAAGCATTGTCCGTGCCACAAACGTATTACCAGCGGCGCCTACCAATTGAGAAATCGAGCCAAATAACGTCGGTAGTATAATGGCTAGAAACGAGAGGGAGACAAATGAGAGGGTCTCCAAGTTTTGATATTTAGTGGGTATTTCTATGTCAAACTTGGTGTTTCCTCATCAGGCTGTAATTTTGTTGCATCATTTACAGCTACAGAAGAAGGAACCTTTCCATTGCTAGCACGACCGCAACATATCTTGTTTGTGCTGGGAGTAGGATATTTACTACTGCAAGTCTGTTATACAAGTGGTCATTTAGTCGTCAAGACATGACACTGTTCCTAATAGCTTCAGTATGACTGAGGTTCATAGTGGTAGATGTTTTGTTTTACCACAATGGAAGCAAAAATAACAATACTATTTTATTGTCAAAAAACTACATTAGCGAATGTGCTTTTCTGGTGAAGTAACAGTAGTAACAAAGTACAAAATAACAAATCTGCATTTAGAAATGAACAACAGATAAAGACAAAGCTTTTGTCAAGTATACAAACGAATAGAAAGAAGACGTGTGGTTAGAAATACTGGTTTTTTTCTCAAATACACTACCATACATATCCGGATAATTGAAACGCTTTGTCCAATGTCATTTAACTGTAGTAGCAATTTCTATACAAAATTCCAAGACGGTTTTCAAGTTTTACACTGATTAACTAACACCCCCAACTAATTATTCACTCAGAGTTGAAAATAAAGAGACAAAATAGTGCGTCTTTGTATTATGACTGACTTGTTTCATGGTATACGTATACTACTTGGCTCCACGTGCTTGTTTGCCCTACTCTTTTACATTGTCAACCGTCTATCTGACCGCTTCATCAAAGTCTATCGGGACTTTTCAATCCCTGAACAGGGTGATTGGTGTTCACGGTGACCTATTTCTATCTATTATAGCCGTCGTCATCATCAATAACTTGCTTAGGTGTATACAATCTGTATAGCTAACATTTTGATATGTATACATACATACACTGTCTATCTGTTTATTTAGTGTAAATTCCACAATTCATGCCCTAGTGATTACTACCGGAATGTTCTATAGCTTTATGCACCAGGACTGGGACGCGAATTTAATGCCGACAAAGGAGACACCCATCTACTTGGCTTCGACGCTCTTTTCTTTCTGTACGTTATGTATATGTATCTATCAAATACAGTGAGATAGCATCATTCTCTCTATTTCTATGCTCACTAGGCTTGTTTGTGTTTTGTTGTGTGTGTGTGTGTTTGTTTGTGTTTTGGTTTTAGCATGTGGATACTTTCTATTTGACTTGTTTGTACTCGTGCTATGGCAAGTGCCACTCTGGCGAGTCTTTGTTATCCATCACATTGTAGCGGTGTATGTCGGTACTAGTACTTATTTTTTCTATTTCGAGCTTCTTGTGGTATTGATAATGCTCTTGAATTCTTTGTGATCCTTATTCTAGACTGCCATACTTGATCTATACGATGCACTCGGGCTGTGGGATGGACCTGTATTTGCTACAATTATTCCTCATGGTCGAGTTTGCCGTCATTCCGCTCAACATTACTACTTTTATGGAACAACTTGGCTATGGCAAAAGTAAGACGCACGAGTTCTTCTTCTACATGACGTATACTTGCTGGTTTGGAGCCCGTGTCCTGCTGCCGATCTACAATGTCTATGTGTTGTGGACAAGGATTATCCCGAATGCGGGAACTGCACCACTCTGCACGGTGCCAGCAGCTTTCTGCGGTCATATCATATGCGCTTTCTGCGTTGGTGTATTTGTGTTTGTTTGGACTCCAGATGTCTTAGCTAAGTGGCGTATGCTGATGTTGCAAATGGAAGAATATCCCGACTACAAGCTGACAATGCGCCAGTCCATGACGCCACGTTCGAACCCACTCCAGACGCCTTCTGATGGTCACGACAAATGGGGAGCGAGCTACGGTACCGCGTCGGGTAGTGCTCGAGAACCTCAGTGGGCTTCAGTGTCTATCGTTTGAGGAGAAGGACGGATGATGTGCTCGTCAAATGTGCATCATCACGCTTGTCTTCTTCCTTGCGCGATAGACAAACACCGATATTAGGTATTGTAATTTTATTGAATGCTCTGCGTGTTACTACCAGAGAAATGATAAGTGCGATGAGCGTTGAATGTTCTGGTTGCTGCTCGCGCTGCGCTTTGCACGCTAAAAGCATTCAGTTTTGTCATTGAAACAACATACTTCGGTGAAGCATAACTTGTTACTAGATACATGCTTTATAGTACAGCTAAGCAAGCATCAATGAAGACAACAGAAACCATGTTTGTGTCTCAAGTGTGATTTGCGTAGAAGAAGCGCGGGCAATCCTAGTTCCTACATGTTGTCGCTGAATATCATCTCATCAAGTCGGTTGGTATCGCTGAATGAGCTACCATTGGAGTGAAAAGTTGCTCACAAGGTTTTCGCCATGCAATATGAATCCCAAATACAGACAGTGCACCAGGCAAATGCAATTGCTGCGCTCACACATTGCTAGCGCGCCGACTTGATGCGGAAGGAATAAGATCTGCGCAGCACGTTGAATGAAGCATGTCACTGTGATCACATCTGACGATGCTCAGCAGAAGAGTTTAGCTTCCGATTTGACCCGATCCAGCTGATCTACAATTAATGAATGTCTTCATTTACTCTGACGCGTCTATAGTCTCGAAGATTGACACCGGCTGTGACGCAATCAAAACTACAAACAACATCGAGCAAACGAAAGTGCTATTGTCTCGGAGTCCTTCCTGGAAGTACCTATCATGTAGTGTTGAAAGACAGATATTACTGAGACCATAAGCGTCTCAGTCATGAAAAATTGGCAGTAATGTGAGCGTCCGGATTCACTAAATTCTGCTTCCCGCTACTGGTTTCCACGCCAGCGCACGTAAGCAGGTAGTTCAAGTAAGGCAACAAACCTAAAGGTCACAAAAAGTGCAATTCCAGCAATCCTTTGTTAGACAAATGCTGTACACTCCAAAAGTTTTGTGGACATTGCAGAAATACGATGTGCCTGCTCCATTAAAAATCAGCAAAATACTTTGCATTTTCTTCAGAACCAATGCTCTCTGCACTAGACAGACCGTCATTTCGCGTAGGATGTATGTAGATTCGGTCTGCGTTATAGTCAGCTTGGGCGTCATACGGTACAGCAATTGATGCATCTTTCGTCTGCAAATGTTTCCAGTCGACATCACAGAGCCATGCATGGCGCATAACCTACATACCATATGAAGATATTTAGTGGGGACAAGCACATTGTGTTAGAAAATGGCTTGTACCTCGGTTACTCCATGTGCCCCAAGTCGCTTATGAAAATCAAGTGTCAGTAGACCACTAACGTTTTCAGTTCGCAAAAGAAGTGTCAGATTTTTTGCCGTAAACAAAAACAAAAGTGGGCAAAATCGTACCTTATCAGCGACTGCAGATCATTACTCAGTCCCTGGGCATCAGCAGACTGGAACGGAGATCTAGCTATGTGCATAATATTCCGAAAGTATTCGTCGATGGTACTATTTTGTGGGCAATGATATTCCCAGGGTGGGTGACCCATCACCATTTCGTAGATAACGACACCTAAACTCCTGTACATACAAAACTCTCATGTAGTATCAGGTTTTGAGAAACAACATCCATATAGCCCCAATGACAACTCAACATACCACCAGTCAACAGTAACTCCATAAGGCTGCTGGTTCATAATTTCAGGTGCCATGATGTAGTGCGTGCTACATATGGATTGTGTGCGTTCATCCTCCTTTACTTCATCCCCAGCCACCTTTTTGGCAAGTCCAAAGTCAATTACCTTGACAAATCCATCTTCCCCAATCAACACGTTGCCACTCTTTAGATCACGATGAATGTATCCATGAGCATGCAGATCACCCAGTGCAAGCACCAGTTGTGCCGTAAAAAACCTGGCAACATTTTCCGGTAATCTGCCCGTGTCTCTATATTTCCACACACACTCATGCAAAGTACGACCTTGGATAAATTCTAGTACAATGGCCATTTCCTCCTTTGTTTCAAACGTCTCGAAACCTCGACATAGAAATGGACTCGTAATTCCTTCCAGAATGAATTTTTCAGCTTCAAACCGAGTTTTCTGCTCCTTCGTCACGATTTTGGACTTGGAAATTCTCTTTAACGCTATATAAACATCAAGATGTATCAGCTGTAATTAGCCAAAGCAAAACTACTAAATGTTGTAAATTTTTCAAAAATTTACAATCAGCATTAGGTGAGCAAGAACGTACCGTAAAGGTGAGGGAAGTGGAAAGATTGAACGAGGTAGACACTGAGAGGAGGAATCCGAAATGACATGATGTAGAGAGATAGAAATCAATATATTTATTAGACATTTCCAATGTCGTCATAATAATAAAGCTGGCATGGTATTGAATAGTATCCTAGTTGCACCTTGCGTACCCACCACGTCCTAGTAACTTGAGCTGTTCAAAGTTGTTCATAATTTTGGAAACTTTATAGTCTATTTTTTTAAGCAAAAACCCAAGAAAAGACCCAAAAATGAAGTGAATCCAAAAATAGTAAAAAGGCCCAAGCCATCAATTGACAAATATGACTACAATGCGAGGACGAATGCGAAAGGAGATTGCTATGTTAGCAAGTGACCCGCCCTTTGGTGCGTTATATAACGTATTGTATGAAAATATGCGCTTAGACTGTCAACAAATTGTGTGTCCATAGGTGTCAGTGCGTGGCCCAAGGACGAGAAGATCGACCACCTCGAAGCGCGTGCGTGTTTTATATTGATTATGAAATGTTCGGTGGATTATAGTATGAAAATTGAACTTCTCTTGTTATATTGACAGAAATTATGGGCCCAGACGGATCGCCGTACGAGAAGGGCGTATTCCAGTTGGAGATTGACATTCCGGAACGGTACTGTACTTACGTTATCGCTCCATTTTGTATTTGTGAATAGGAGGTTCTGCATCTTATCATGTCTTTTTTTCTATGAGCAGATATCCTTTCGAGCCGCCAAAAGTACGCTTTGTGACGCCAATCTATCATCCGAACATTGACGACGCCGGCCGAATCTGTCTTGATACGCTCAAAATGCAGCCCACGGTGGGCGAAAAGTCTGTGTTGATGTCTGTTGATCGACATTAGTTTTTTTGACGGCAACCTGTTTTCTTTGTTAGGGTTCTTGGTTGCCGTCAGTCAACATCAGTACGCTGCTAACGACGATTCGCTTGCTGATGGCGGAACCCAATGCAGATGACGGCTTGATGCCGGAAATTGTACGACTGCAATGAAATTGTTGTCAATACAACTGACAAAGCTGTTGACAAATGTTGTGTGAACTGATTAGGCTGACATATTCAAGAACAACCGCAAAATGTTCAACAAGAAAGCAACGGAGTTGACTGTGCTGCACGCTCGCACTAGACGAGTCCACCAACCAAAACCCTCACTCGATGCAACTTCTTATCCATCTGAAGGTGGCAACTTGGTAGATGATGAAGTGGACCTTGCGACCCAGGATACGCAGGTAGCAGACATTTTGTTCCAGACCAGAGAGTCAGTATCTTCAATCGATTCGCTTAGTGACGGCGCTTCATCTAGTGAAGGAGAGGCTGACTTATCGACAGCTGATGAAGGCATCGACGACAAGAAAGAAGACGCCAAACTGCCCACAAAACGAAGACGTCACGAGTAGATCTAGTGCTTGTTAACAGGAAGTATGGTGCTATATACTGATCATATTACTCATTGACTCACTCTTTTCGACTTTACTCGAATTGTATAGTATTCAGCTACCCTGAGTGAACATACGAGAATGTTTTTAGATTGTAAAGACCGGAGGATCACGATTCAAGTTCTTCTACAAGGATTGTATCTCCGTACATTTGAGTAGCTCTCATGGTCTCAGTGCTGCTTTTTTTCACACGTAGCACTGTTACCATAAGAGCTACTCAAATGTTGATACGACTGTATTTCTTACAATGCCAAGGCGATCCTGTTGGCGACATTCTGACGGAGCTTCTATCCAAAGCTTTGCAGTATGTCGAATGTTTCTGCACGGGACCATCGACGCCTTGACAGACATGTTCACGATACGGTGTGCATCTTCAAATCAAGGTCTTCTTTCTTTCTAGTTCTTGGCTCCGTTGCTTTCTAATTATTTCATCATTCCTATCATCCATTTCCTTGTCGGTTTTGCCCCTTCGTTCTTTGATGCTGCATTTGAACCGACAATGCTCGCCTATTCACTGCTTCTAACGTCGATTATATCACTCAATACCGATATAGGCAAGACTGGATACATGTAATCTGATCTATTGATATTAAATAACGGATGGAAAGCGCATGGTCGTGTCAGTAGTGTGCTATATACCACATGATGCTGTAGTGGCAGGAGGCAAATGCGAATGGCGTCAAAGCGATGAATTTTCGAGCCACTGGATATGATACGATACATAATTGTAAGTCAGTCAGTTGCTGAATGGACTAATAAATACTAGATTCCAATATCGCATCTTAGTGTTTGTGGCACGTATGTACACATCATACAATTTGTATAAAGGGATGGACTTGTTTGGTGGTGTAATGTACTCGAAATAGCAGTGGTCTTTACTTAAGTAGCATAGGGTCGTCCGATTTCTTCAGCTCAAAATCGGAAAAAGTATCGTATTCTCTAGTATCACGATCTGTAATCTCTCCATCTCCTTTGCGCCATTCTTACTATCTTTTCCTCTCTACCAACCTGTGCAATCTATTCTTTGTCGTCTAATCTTTCCATAGGTATCATATATTTGATTATTTTTGCCATGGATGAGTCGCTACTTGCTACCAAAGATGACCATCTCATTCATGCAGAAGAGGAAGATGAATTGCTCTGGAATGAGCTCAAAGACAATCACCGCGCGTCTCAATTTGATAGAGAAAGCTACCAAGTGTCATCAGTAAGTGGTCAAGCAAGTACTTCGTACCAGGAAGCCACACCGCTGCCGTCGCTGCGAGTTGACGTGCACCTTCCTGCTATCTCGACACTGTTCCGCGAGGTACTGGACACAGCCAAGGCAGCGCTTCCAGGTGCACGAAATCCACATACTAGACATGTAGAAGCTCGTGCTAGTGTTCGGGTGTCTCCTGTACCCGACCGCTATGGAAACGTGGCCAATCTGGACGCATTCCTCATCACTTTGTACAATTACTACTACCACAAAGGATTTTGGAGTATCGTGGTTGTAGAGCTAGTGAGTCTGCTGACAGGAATATTTAGTGTTGTACTCTCGAGCTTCTTGCTGGGATGTGTGCAGTGGGGGCCATTGCTGGAGTGCCATAGACACTCAGATAGAGAAGGCTGTGCTCAGGAAATGGAGCATTACATCACGTGCAAAGCAATTAATAACGGAATATTGGGACTTATTGGTGCCTTTTACTCTACCATGTTCTTCGTGTATTGGATCTCGAGAGCTTTCCAGTTAGTGGGAACGTTGAGAGATACCAAAGAAATGGAGGTGTTTTACAAAGAGCGATTGCATATTGGAGAACGACAAGTGCAGACAATTGCGTGGGATGAAGTGGTGACGAGAGTGCTGGATCTGGTAAATGGAGCAAATACGCCCGTGAATTTGAGACAGCTTTCGTCGTACAAGCTGCAGATCGACCCAGCATTACTGTCGTCGCCACATGACTTTGCCAAGCGAATTATGCGCCGTGACAACTACCTCATTGCTTTCATGAACCACTCGCTGTTTCAAAGCAAAAACTTGTTGCCCACGTCACTGCAATTTCTTTCAACGTCACACATTATGTGCTCAAAGAACATGGAGGCCAATCTAAATATCTGTTTGCTTGATCAAATGTTTGATGCCGAGCTGAACTTAGCTCCATCGGTGATCCACAACGTGGAGATGCTCAAGAAACGCTTCATGGTTGCGGGTGTGCTAAACTTCGTGTTGTCGCCTTTTATTTTGCTATACCGCCTTTCACGATTCTTTTTCTTGGCGGCTCAGGAGTGGCAAACGAATCGCGTATACTACTTTGGCACACGTCGCTGGTCAGCGTATGCTATTTGGCGATTTCGAGAGTACAATGAACTCCCGCATGTCCTAGATGCTCGCATGGCGCGTTCATATTCGCTGGCAGACCATTATCTAAGCATGTTCCCTGCCGGATCGTTGGCTATCATTGCTGGAGGTGTCTCCTTTTGTGCGAGCTCGTTAATGGCTGTTCTAGTTTTGGTGAGTCTACTGGAGGAGTCTGTGCTACTGCAAACGACACTGTTTGGCCATGAACTGTTGTGGTACCTGACCGTCTCGACGGGTGTGTTTGCGTTGTCACGATCGTTTACGTCTTCTACCTCACCTTTTCTGGTTAATGGTGACTGCGAAAAGACTATGATGGAAGTCGCTGCGGAGACGCATTACTTTCCTAAAGAATGGAGAGGCCAGTGTCACTCATTTGAGGTCCGGGATGCATTTGCAGTGTTGTTTCCATACAAGGCTGTGCTCTTCACTGAAGAGTGCGTTTCCGTCTTGGTGGCTCCGTATGTCTTGTGTGTATCACTACCTCGGCTTGCTCGCGAGATCTTGTTGTTCCTGCGCTCTCATTCTATAACACACCCTAGTACAGGAGCTATGTGCCGATTTGCAGAATTCGACTTTAAAGAATATGGTAACGATGCCAAGATGGAGAGCTCGTTCATCAACTTCAAGCAGAATCATCCAAATTGGGTCGGCGCACGTGAAGGTGAGGTGCTTATGCAACGTCTTGGCAAGCTGAAGGAGGAAGAGATGGAGAAATCAATGCGGATGGGTGATACCATGATGTACAGTAGTCACATGTCGATGTCGCAGCAGCTTATGCAATCGCAGGCTATCCAGAACGCGATGGGTGGTGGGCGTCTGAGCGGCTACATGCCTCAGGAAAATGAGTTTTACTGGTTGGAAAAGGTAAGCCGTATATGCAAATGATTTTGTGGCCACTGGAAAAGCATTCTTACATTTTTGTATTCTTGTTGTGCTTAGCTCTACCAACAAGGCCAGTTAGGCGAACCGAGTCTGAAGGAAATGAAGGGCAACCCTGCTGATAGTATTTCCATTTCAAGTCTTGGCTCACCATGAAGTAAATGAGGGAAGTAATATTCATTTGTTGCATTCTAATAACAGCATGCTACATCAAGCAACCTTGTTTTCAGTTGTATCATATCTCCATCGCCACGACTTGCATACTACAAGAGTTGAAGCATTGTGTCGAACAAGCGGTATCGAACCGCGGTTACTTGACCATCAGAATGTCCAGTAGCTGATGGCAACGACACTGTATAGGACTTGATGCACCAATGGAAGGTGTTGGGAGCGTCCAGTAGCGCAGCGAGATAGTACTTTAATAATTCCTTGGAGTTGGTGCTTTTGCTGAGATCACATGGGGGAATACCGTGAAGAAAGTGTTCCTGTGAAGACAATGTTAGCCATGAATGTTCGTTTAGCTTAGAATGAACCGCTCACCTTACCGCATCTTTGCCATACACAATTAGGTTCAGAGAATCATCACCGTCTTCGACTGTTAAAGCGAAGGCATAAACGAACTCGCCACTATTTCCAGGCTTGGGCTTGCAGACCCTTTCAACGTCAGATGGCCACATGCTGCGGACACGAGCACAGCAATGGAACTTATGAGGAGTTTGTGGGTTGCCGATGATCTCTCGCATTGGAGTCACCGGAATGTTGTTTGCGATATACGAAGGGATGACGGTAGTAACCTTGACGGAACTCTCCCAGTCGGACCTTTGACTTTGATTGAGAAAACGTGGCTCAGCTATGGCAAGCAAACGAGGTTGGTCTTTCTTCACAGCAGTGTCGGAGTTAACCTTGTTCGTTAACAAGAGACGGTGTTGCACTTCAGGAACGAATTCAGGCATTAGCAAAAGCGATGTCACCTCCCGAAACCGAAGAATCTCGTTTCTTTCTAGAGCACAACTAGCCCCGGGCTCATTTTTTCCCACTGCTAGATTGCGGAAGCGACACCAGTGTGTGAGCATTCCGTCAACGAATCTCATATCACGCAGAACAGACCAGCAGGACGATATGATCACTTCCTTTAGGATACCATTTGCTGGCACAACAAAGCCTTTGTCTTGTAATGCACACACGAGAGTCCGATCTGACTCAGCCTCGTTTCCTGAACCGTCCCAAACAATGAGTCGAGTTGGTTCGTTGCTGTCGTCCAGATGCAGGACGCGCACTACGAGGTCAATGAAGCCTTTTGCAGCCTTCAATTCGGTTAGCAGCTTCGGTGTCTCTGGGCATCCTTGAGACAGAGTTGTATCCATGGCCAAACTCTGCTTAGCCCACCTCCTTTGAGCGTAGTACTACGTGTTAATAAACTGGATGAAAACTTTGAGTGCAAACAATGCGAAAAGGAACTTACTGAAGCTGGCGAGTACGCTCTTCGTCAGATGGTTCAAAAGTCCATGATTCAGAACATGTTAGCTGCTCGAGTTTTCCATCATCGCGTTCCCTAAGAACAAGATGCCGTGTGACACGTGGTCTGTTGGCCCACGCACATAGTCAATGACAGATTGGTTAGTTGACCAACTTTATGATGTACTCACAAACCGAGGCCCTGAATGTTTCCTTGATACTCTTGGATTTTGACTTTATGAAAACGGATAATGTCTCCAGCGTACTACGTTCAAGAACATACTGTCACGCGCAGCTATGAAAGCAACGATGCTTTGCGTACCTTGATCTTAGGCATTTGAGCAATTGTAGGGTAGAAAACATTAATCGAGATTGCTTCAGCGCGTGTCGAGCAACTCTCATCCGTCACACTTACAGTCATCTAGCAAACATCCCAGTTAGTAGTGAGACTTGAACGTATTTCAGCATCTTGGCTTCTGAATGATACGAGCAGCTACTCACGACAAAGTCACGCCCACTCGTTTTCTTTGGCAGCGTTGCGTTAACAACGACGCCGTAAATGTCAGCATATCCGGATACTAACTCGGCCAAAGATGAATACCGATACGCTGATGGTATCGCTTTTGCGTTATCAAGCGTACGTTTTCCACGGTTAGGCTTCTATTGCACACAAACATATGATGCAGTGAATCTTCCTTGCCCTCAAACGTCTTTAATTTCCATCACAGTATACCTTTGTTGGTAAAGCCTGAACTTGCATCACAGTCTGCTGGATGGGTGTCACTACATGATAAGCGCATTCCATTAGCCAACTCGATCATACCTAGCCACCAGACTAATGTTACAATATTTCTTCTACTTTATACCAGACTGAAGGTCCCGAGTGGTAATTGTTTTGGCTGGAAGGTAGCGCAGCTGATCGGAATTAGGTAGTTGCTGAGGTTCTTCGTACGTCACTTCAATGTTTAAACTATGTGGATATGTAAATAACCGTGGATTTCGATCCAACGTCTTCTTCAAAACATTTCTCTCTGCCAAAACAACACAATGGACACGTTCTTCCGTTTCAGCTCCAGCTTCCCACTGCAAAGCTACAAGTCCATGGCCATGAATCCGAGTGCGATACTACAGCATGACAATGTATTGAAGATGTTTATATATATCCATTCTTCCCATTCGATATGTCGTAATCAGACTAAAACAACATGCAATGATCAAACTTGCATGACGTTTCAAAAACTGCATCTTGATTGCCCACTTGTCATAGAGAAATACCAAACATGTTTCAAATGTTGTCCGTGCTTGATCATCAACCGCATCAATAGAAAGCAAGCGAGTTAAGGAAAATGTCTAGATAATTGATCAGATATAAATGTCCATGTAATATATACAAGAGGTCATTAACTTGTAAATAATATAGATATAAGGATATGATTCTTTAGTATGACAGCCATCAATTGTGATGCGTCCATTCCACAGGGACCGAAGCCAGGACCAAAAGTACTCAATTCGTTGCCATGGATAGACACGTCTTGAGATATCGAATGCAATGATTGCAATGGATATGAACGTATTACTGTGCCACTAACGACAGGTTGATTATTGATCAGCTCCATTTGTCAATAGTATGGAGGTACGTCGATCGAGAGATGAGGCGATTATACCGGTACAAGGATCAGTAAGTATAACATGGACATTCTTTTTACAAAACAAGACAATTAATGGACCCTTTTTTATAAAAAATGGACATTTTTTTATTTGAAGATGGACATTTTTAATGTCCAAAAATGTTACATACCAAATGACCCTAACGATGACGACGTTCCTCGTATTCTGCCTGGATCTCCTCGTTCGTTTTGCCCGCCGTCTCTGGCACGAGCTTGAGCGATAGAAGGTAAAAGATGAAGAGTAACACCGTGAATGGTGCATAACTCCAATCCTTAAGCGCATCAGCCAGGTATGGATAACCAGTTCCGACGAGGAGATTGCACAACCAGTTGATACCAATACAAATGGATGAGGCGCTGGCACGCACCGAGTCCGGAAACATATCAGCCGTCATAACCCACACGAGCGGCCCAAGTGTGACGCCAAAGACGATAACGTAGAGCGCCGTGAAGACAATGGAAAGCACAGATACGTCCACAAGGAACGCCACAGTCATGCCAATGGACATAACAATCATGCCAATGGTACCCCACAGAATCATTTTGCGGTTGCCAAAACGCGATACCAGGACACCAGTGAATAAGGCCGGCCAAATGTTAATAAAGTCAATGACAAGCGTGCCAACACGTGAGTCCGAGATGCCGGCGTCCGCAAAGATACTGCCCGAGTAGTAGAAGACGGCGTTGATACCTGAGAGCTGCTGCGTGCAAGACAGCAGGAGCGCACCAAGGAACTGCATGCGGTACTTGGACGACCAGACCGACTCGGCGGGTTCCACGCTCGTAGACAATCCGGCTTCCGAAGCGTTTGGCTGCTTCTTGGGCTCGAGCCAGTTGAGCGCCGTCTGCATGTGCTCCTCGCCATACAAACGCGTGATGACCTGTCTGGCCTCTTCACGACGGCCTTTCATGAGAAGCCAGGAAGGGCTCTCTACAGCCAGCGAAGGCGACAGTAGCATAAAGATACCGCCCAGCACAACGGGGAAACCGGCCATGAAGCGCCATCCTTCTCCACTGTCAACGAAAAAGAAACAAATGGCCGGCACCAAGATACCAAAGGTGGCGGAGATCTGTAGTCCCAGACCAAGGTGGCTACGAAGATGGGGCGGCGACAGTTCATTCACGTAAGCACCGATGGTGCCCGTAGCAGCACCTGAGGCAATTCCCGCAATCGCACGGCCGACGGAAAATACCAAGATGCTGGAGGAAACGGCCTGAATGACGGCACCACCAATCATAACAAAACAGTTGAAGAATAGCAGCTTCTTGCGGCCCAGCACGTCGCTGAAGTGACCGCATAGTAAACTACCAATCATAGCACCAAAGATCCACGCATTTACTGCTAAAGTCCACTCGAGCTTGGAATGCCCGCTAAACAGCGTACACGTGCCAGGTACGACGGGACGTGCATTGCATTCATCAGTATCGTTGTAAGAAGAGAGATTGAGCTGTGATGTGGACCATCCACTTTGAAACGGTTGCAACAACGCAAGCAACACACTTGTATAAAGGATGCGGTTGGGCTTGATCCGGAGCGCCGTGGACTTGTTGGCGTCATCGAAGACAACGTCGGCATTAGGCGTAGAAGTATTGTTGTAAATGTCGACAGAATGACGTGCCATGGTTGCTTGGATCGAGTGATTGATTCAGCTGCAGTAAATTCACTTGTGTGGTGCTTGATCAAAGCGAAACTGAGCTCAAAAATATTTCGAGGATGAATGGATTTGCTTCAGTATTGAACTTGCTGGCGTTGATACTGGAATGATTGGGCACTCTTTTTTCAGGTACGTTGGTGCTTAGGTTCTGCAGTTTAGGAACAGACATGATCCAGATGTCTCGCTGCATTCTAACAAGTCTGCAAAGGGTGACTCGTCTGAGCCGTTTTCTGTGCTGAATGTTGCAGTTTCTTGTCTCTTTGTATGATCTTGTACACAAACGAAGTCGTTTGCGGTAAGAAAGCAGCAGTGCGTTCTGCGGTTGTATCACCGGTCTCGTCCATTTGATTTATTGTCACATAAAGAAGACAAATTTGGTGATGGTGGACTGGTCTGAAGCCTGAACCAGAGTCCTAGTGGACTCTTGATCAAATTTTGGATACAAAGCAATGCACGAAGCACAATCATACAGTTTGCATCCGTTCTGTGATGTCCATCTTCAACATAGTGCAGTACCAGACCTCTTGGTTCTGCTTAGTCTCTTTTGCGTTGCTGGCAAAGCCACACACAGTATATTCAGAATTTAGTACTGCATTTTTCTACAAGTTCACTGTATAGCTTGAATGCATTAAACTCTCAAGTGCACAACCTAAGTGGGGGTTTGCTTGTGCGGTGTTAGCGATAAGCTGACAATCATGTCATCACCTCATCGTATCTGATTCCTGGCCGTTTTCTTGTCGGCAAGTATTTAGTTAAACACGAAAGCTTGTTTTGCACTAAGGCAATGCTTTGCACTACCAGAGAGAGGCTTTACACTACCAAGGCAACCAAGAAGACTACAAAGAGTTAAACGTGCCCTTTTCTCATGTGGACAAATCACACCGCTCTTTTGAAAATTGTTTAGTCGTGTTCACGAATTTAGATTCTACTCAACTTCTTCAAACAAAAGCTCAACGCCAATAAACAAAAGCTTGTCCCAAGCCATATAGACCAACAGTCTGAAATCAGGCATGGAAGCGATCACTGGAGCGATTGTCCCGAACTCGCAAACAAAAAGCAAACACATTTGTTTGATCGTTTTTACATTTGTATCATGCAACAAACTTGCTGTCTGCATGTTTGAAAAGTCGTGAAACCTGTATTGTCTGATCCTTATGCCAGTTCCAGCTCGTTTTTGGATCTATCTTGAGACCAATTTTTGGCTGGCTGTTCTCAACGTTCGCCCGATCTCTTTAAAGGAAAAAACCATTAAAACTGAGCCGCAGACGAAGAAGACTCTTGGACCTAATTGCTCATTACTCTGTAACAAGTTTGTAACGAAGCGTTGCTAACAACTTCGGGGTAAGAGACCATAAACCTGCCTCTGCGTCAAGAAGCTCGATCTATATGGAATTTCATGTCCCTTGATTGAAAAAACAGGTTTCAGGTACATTGCCGCGTCTGTACTGTTGAAGATTGCGAACATAGGGATAAATAGATACAGTGATAATAACTGAGGAACACAGAAGAGGTCTTGTATCAGATTGACCCAAAAGGTATGAAACTTCAGCCTTCCATTGCATTAGACTCGAATGCAGATGGTTGGTTCATTAGAATTAGTATGTACAAAAGAAGACACGCAAGCAGTCGATCACATAGTTGAACAAACTCAATCTATTGAGAGAGAGACGCGAAGCCATTTCATAAAAGCCCGCGACCCTCGAACGACTGCAAATGGAGCAGGTGACTCTCAAAATTTTCTCATTTTTTTCCACATGATGTCGCTCCACGAATACTCAGGCTCAGTTTCGCTTTGATCAAGCACCACACAAGTGAATTTACTGCAGCTGAATCAATCACTCGATCCAAGCAACCATGGCACGTCATTCTGTCGACATTTACAACAATACTTCTACGCCTAATGCCGACGTTGTCTTCGATGACGCCAACAAGTCCACGGCGCTCCGGATCAAGCCCAACCGCATCCTTTATACAAGTGTGTTGCTTGCGTTGTTGCAACCGTTTCAAAGTGGATGGTCCACATCACAGCTCAATCTCTCTTCTTACAACGATACTGATGAATGCAATGCACGTCCCGTCGTACCTGGCACGTGTACGCTGTTTAGCGGGCATTCCAAGCTCGAGTGGACTTTAGCAGTAAATGCGTGGATCTTTGGTGCTATGATTGGTAGTTTACTATGCGGTCACTTCAGCGACGTGCTGGGCCGCAAGAAGCTGCTATTCTTCAACTGTTTTGTTATGATTGGTGGTGCCGTCATTCAGGCCGTTTCCTCCAGCATCTTGGTATTTTCCGTCGGCCGTGCGATTGCGGGAATTGCCTCAGGTGCTGCTACGGGCACCATCGGTGCTTACGTGAATGAACTGTCGCCGCCCCATCTTCGTAGCCACCTTGGTCTGGGACTACAGATCTCCGCCACCTTTGGTATCTTGGTGCCGGCCATTTGTTTCTTTTTCGTTGACAGTGGAGAAGGATGGCGCTTCATGGCCGGTTTCCCCGTTGTGCTGGGCGGTATCTTTATGCTACTGTCGCCTTCGCTGGCTGTAGAGAGCCCTTCCTGGCTTCTCATGAAAGGCCGTCGTGAAGAGGCCAGACAGGTCATCACGCGTTTGTATGGCGAGGAGCACATGCAGACGGCGCTCAACTGGCTCGAGCCCAAGAAGCAGCCAAACGCTTCGGAAGCCGGATTGTCTACGAGCGTGGAACCCGCCGAGTCGGTCTGGTCGTCCAAGTACCGCATGCAGTTCCTTGGTGCGCTCCTGCTGTCTTGCACGCAGCAGCTCTCAGGTATCAACGCCGTCTTCTACTACTCGGGCAGTATCTTTGCGGACGCCGGCATCTCGGACTCACGTGTTGGCACGCTTGTCATTGACTTTATTAACATTTGGCCGGCCTTATTCACTGGTGTCCTGGTATCGCGTTTTGGCAACCGCAAAATGATTCTGTGGGGTACCATTGGCATGATTGTTATGTCCATTGGCATGACTGTGGCGTTCCTTGTGGACGTATCTGTGCTTTCCATTGTCTTCACGGCGCTCTACGTTATCGTCTTTGGCGTCACACTTGGGCCGCTCGTGTGGGTTATGACGGCTGATATGTTTCCGGACTCGGTGCGTGCCAGCGCCTCATCCATTTGTATTGGTATCAACTGGTTGTGCAATCTCCTCGTCGGAACTGGTTATCCATACCTGGCTGATGCGCTTAAGGATTGGAGTTATGCACCATTCACGGTGTTACTCTTCATCTTTTACCTTCTATCGCTCAAGCTCGTGCCAGAGACGGCGGGCAAAACGAACGAGGAGATCCAGGCAGAATACGAGGAACGTCGTCATCGCTAAGTTGACATGCCATGGATGTTGAAATAGGAATTAAGACCGATGCATTAAGAAATACTATGTTAGTTTTGTTGATTAGAAGTGGTTTGCAGAAATGGCCTAAACTGATCCAGGACGTGCATTAGCTCACGTTTTTGGCTGGGTTCTGCTAGATGCTGAAGCAAATACGAAGAGCTGTAGAGCTGACGGACCACCTGAGTAGCCATCGCAAGAAGTTGTGTCTTGTGACTTTCGTGACAGACTCGAACGTACGCGAAGAGGTGTTGAAGTACTAGAAGTAAACAGCGAAAACCACTTGCAGCAATGGTTCCTTTGGAAAGAGTGACAAAAAGAGTCAGCAAATTGTCTTGGAGTGTAGTAAATCTTTCCAGCAGGTACCGGGCAAACAAATGAACATCGTCACCTGACGCGGCTTCATTTTGGTCGATTGCAACGAGTACCGTGCGCTTGGTTTCACTCAAAAAGGCTTCGAGCGCTTCACTTACCAAGACCTGAACAGCTTCTTCAACATGAGCAAAATACCTCGGTTGACAAACTTGTTCCAACACAAGTGAAAGGCTGCGCGTTTGCAGGCCTGAGTACGGATCAAAGTAGCTTGAAATAGCCGCATGAACCTTCTTGATAAGCACATTACGAATTTGATAGAGGATTGGGCCATCGATGTTGCCTCCATTTTGGCCTTCATTTGTTAATTGAGGTAGATGCTGATGTAATACTCGAAACCAAGCCAATTGGTCAAGCGACCAAGATTCACCCTGCTCTGTTTGTGCGTCTGCCGCTCCCAGTGGATCCCAATAAAGCATTTCTGCTTGCACATATGGGGCGAAAAGTTTTTCTTGAGCTAATTCACAGTACACGTCCTTGTACACTTCTGGAAATTTTGCCTTCCACTCTTGGAATCGTCCATATACGCGCTCAAGCGAGTTAATTTCATCTATTGCATCAGCAAACAAATCTTCTTGTGCATGGTGTGGATCTGCCATGTAGGAATCGGTAAAGTGCTGTTGATATTTCTGCGTACGAAAAGCATGATCAAAGTTTTGACGAGACAACAAAGCTGTATCGTCTTCGCTAACGTGCAGGTCCAACTCATCCAGGCCAAAGATATTGTCCAGCTGTAGTTTCCCAGACACTAGATAGTATTTCACCTCCTGGACAACACCATGTTGCTCTTCATGTTGTCTATCTTTCACCCGTCGAGCGCGATCTTGGACTATTTTCTCCTCGATTGCTGTAATGACTGGTACTTTTGCACGTAAACAGAAGCTCAAGCTCTTCACAAAATCTTCCATCTCTCCAAAATACTCAAACCTCTCACTGCTTACAAGAAGGTCTTCTTGCTGCTGCTTTAGTGCTGTATCGATAGAAGCAGTCTCGGATTCAAGCCGAGCTAGCTCACGACTAGCACGTTCATTTTCAAACGACGTCGACTCGACACTTTTCTCCAATTTTCCAAGTACACTTTCTAGCGACACCGGTTTCATGTTTCTTCTTATCGGATAAGTGGGCAGACCATCACGTGCCCCACTGACATTTGGCTCTAAGGGCTGCGGTACACGATGTCCACCACGACGCATGAGCTCTTCTTCCCATTTCCTACTGTGTTCATCCTCTTCATCCTCTCGATCCGACATCTCTTCCACAACTTCTGTCTTCTTGAAAATACTCGGACCTTCCGAGTAGACTCCAAATGTCACGCGGTTTTTCATACAAACCGATTGTTTCTTTCCTTCTCGACCAAGAGAAATAAATTCTTCTTCTCTTTCTTCTTGTTCTTCTTCTTTGTGTTCTTGTTCCTCCACAATTTTCTTTCTGGTTTTGTCATTTTCTCCTTCCACATTGATCACGTCTGTTTTACTAGCCAACAACACACTCTGTTCACTTCTTAGAGCTGCTAACATCTCAATCGAGTATAATCCATGAGACATTGTCTCGATCTCTACATTTTCAACACTAGAAGCCACAAGATTCGGTCGTATTTTTCTCGTTTTCTTTGTCTTCTTCCCTTCTACGTCATCATCAAAGCTCAACAGCAATCCCGTCTCTTCAGTCTTTAAACTAGTACCAGTCGTATCTTTATTATTACTTCCACTTGATTGGATCCTCATGCTCTTAGAATGAAACGTCATGACGCTCTTGACACTTCGAGACCGATTGCGACGTTGCTGCTGTAGTACATGAAGGTCATTCTCAGCCGTCTGAGACGCGTTTGTCGCCGGAATTTCAGTGGAAAGGATAGAAAAACCATCTGCAGACGCACTAACATCAATACTACCACTTTCGAGCTCCACCTCGCGACGTTTACGACCACTAACTTTCTTCTTCTTGCTTCGAAACATCCTACCAGTCAATTGAATCGATTTACGTCGTATATAAGAGCGTAAGAGCATTTTGTTGTGTAAAAACAGTTGTAGCACATACCCTTGTATATCCGATATACTGTACCCATATCAAAAATTATACGACTCCCCGTCATAATACAATCAATCTCTCTATTAGAACGTACGTCAACGACCTATGGATTCACTTAAGAGCATGTTCTTTAGTGGCAATGGCGATTCATCAAGACCCAAGGTATGTACATATAATGACTTGGATTTTGTATTTCTTCTCCTTGTATGATTCATCTCTTTAACTGTATTATATTACAGGCTGTCAAGTGGCTAGGGATGAAGAAACACACGACCACTGGAACGAGTGATGAAATGTTTATGAATACTGAGGCTACTAAACAAGTACTAGAGCCATTAAATGAGACGCTTATTAATCTTGTCTCAATCTTTGGAGCAGCAAGACAAGGCAAATCGTTCCTTATGAATCTATTGGCTGATCAACAGGATTTATTCAAGATTTCAAATTTACGTGAGCCCTGTACGCAGGGCATTGACCTATCCGGCCATTTTGTACCACTCAGTCGATTTAGCAGCTTTAATGACTGTCCATCTATTCGTTCAAAAGCTAGTAAAGATATTCACATTGGATTTGTTGATGCTGAAGGACAGGGGGATCGAGACATTACGTACGACTCGAGACTCGTATCGCCCGTACTACTTGCATCTAAAGTCGTAATTTTTAATTGGAAAGATAGTTTACAAGCAGATCGTATGCTTAATTTACTCGCAGTGCTTGCACGAGCAGCTCAGGGCATTGAACTGCCGGATGGAGCAAACACAAAAGTATTTGGACACTTGCATTTGTAGGTATTTATTGTGTCATGGAGATAGTGCAAAGAAGAGATTGTATCTATTGGTGGGCTCTTTAATTGATGGTACGCTGTATGCGGTCTTTGTTTTTCTGTATGCAGGGTGTTTCGAGATTGGAGTTTTGTGAACTCGACGCCAGAAGAAGTGTATCGAGATTTATTCCAGAAGGAAAAGGGACGAAGTGAGGAAGTGAATGTGCGCAACCTAGCTCGCATAAATCTGATCGACGCCTTTGAGTCGATCAACATTTGGCTATTCCCGGCGCCTGTTGCCAATACCGCGAACTTAAGAGACAAGATCCGTTTTGATCAACTGCAGCAACCATTTCAGAACAAGCTACGTGAATTGCGCAAGTGTTTGTCAAGCCAGCTGCAACGTCCTACAAAGTTCTACCAGCGACCGTTGACAGCAAAGTATCTATCGCAGATTATGCCAGCATTGGTGGATACGTTGAACAGTGATCAAGTGATTATGCCCGAGTCGATCTATTCGTCGATGGTACGTGCAGAGGCTCAGGCAGCAAAGCAAAAGTGCGAAAAGGATATCTCAGCGTACTGTGAAGCTGCTGGACTAGAAGAGATTATTTCTAGCGACGAGTTTGATAAAATGCTGCACAATGATGTCGAGGTGATTGTTCAGGAAGCCGATGAAAAAATGAGCAGTTTTCCGATTGCAGTACGCAAGGAGATTCAAGCATCTCTTCGTGCTTTTGCCGAAAAAGAAATTACTATTGCACTTCATGCAAACAGCGAAAAGGTTACAGCGCTACTTTCAAAGCAAGTGGATATTGCTTTTCAAACATTAAAAAGAGAGTGCCAAGTTATCGAGAAAACTAAGCTTCCGATGAAGAACGCACTCTTACGACAGGGATGCACGGAGCTACTCAATCGTGAAGTGGCGCGCATCAACGCACTTCCTTTGGGTCTACAGGGAAGGCGTGGAGTAGAAGTCGAGTGTGACCGCTTGCGGCAGACGGCGAGCCTTATCTTTGACAGATTGGAGGTGGCAAACGACAAGGCTATTCAGCACTATACCACGGCTTTGAATGATATGGTGCGTGCAGCAAAAGCGCAAATGAGCTCTGTGTTGCATGATAACCTTGATAGACGGTTTGCAGAACAACATCCCGTGACAGTGACAAAGCTGCAAGGCGATATGGATATCCTGTATTCTAAGATAATGAGAGAGGTGGTGCAGCAAGCTAATAACGTAAGTGAATTTAGTGTTTCAGACGTTAGCTCTGATCTTGAGCACTACAAAGCACAGCTAGCAGACGAGATGAATCGACGCTATATGATAGAAATGCGACAGATTTTGAATGAGGTCAGCTATGCGGCACGCGAGAACCTGGGGAAGCAAATTACGTACCATCTTGACGGGAAATTGCCGATGCTGGAGGAAGAGATCAAGGCTGCCATTGATAGTGCTGTTGCGCACGTGAAGGGCACCATGGCCGACAAGCTCCAAGGGTGGACGATACTGAAGAGCGACCTTGAAGCAAAGAGCTTGGAGCTGGAGAAACTTGGAGATGACGTAGGTGGAAACCTGACTGAACTAGAGCTATTGTTTGTTATTGTTTTAGCTCGTAACAACTCACGCTGATGTTTTATGACAGTTTGCAGATAAGTACCTGTATCGCAACCAGCAACTAGAGAAAGATGCTGGTGTACGCAAGGAAACGGAGCAGTACGAGAAGTTGCGGGTTAATGTGACAAAGGCATTCGAGGAAAAGCTTAAGGAGGTAGGGTTTCCAACCACCGAAGATGAGATCGATTCGTTATTTCGCTCGGTCCTACAAGATCATGCTGCCAAGTTTTTGTCAAGTATAGTGGATCGTGAAACGACGAAGTTCACTGCAAAGGGTCTGCGCGAAATTCTTACAAGCGATTGCAAGCCAGCTGTGGACAACCAGAAGATGCTCAATCGGTGAGCGACTTCTGTTCGTGGATTTTTCATCTGGAGCTAGTTTTAACTTTGATGCTGTTTGTCCTTTAGACTTGCGGTTGAAAAGAAGGAAGCGTTGGCTACAGCCGAAAAGGAAAGGCGTATGCGCAAGCGCGAGCGTCTTGCTGCAGAACAGAAAGAGGCAGAAATCAATCGCCTTAAAAGCAACCACTCAAAGTGGCTTGGCGAAAAGGATAACGAGTCGAAACGGCTTCGTGACAAGCTGCAAGTAGAGGAGCGCAAAGCCCGTGAACTGCAGCAGCGTGTGGAAGAAATGAAGCTACAGTCGATTACTATGGAAAGACAGAACCAGGTTGAACAAAGCGAGTCGATGGAGAAGGCCCGTCGCGAGACGATGGCGAAAGAGGAAGAGGCAATGCGACTGAAACATGAGTTGGATGAAATGAAGCGTAAGGCTTTGGAAGTTGAAGCTCAGAAGCGTCAGCTTGAGGTACAGGTCACGTCTGAGGCGAAGAAGAGAGATGAAGCTGAAGAGCTGAAACGGCAGCTGGAGGATATGAAGTACACAATTGCGCAAAAAGAGCAAGAACGTGCAAGCATGGAGCTGCAGATTCAACGAGAGCAGGCTTCACGTGAGAATGCGGAAATCGCTGCATACCAAGCAGCAAAAGCAGCCGAAGTAGCAGCCCGAGCCGCGATTGAAGCAGGGCGACACCAAGGATCTGCAACCCTTGCAAAAACGGAGGAAACTGGACGTAAGAGACCATTACCAATAAGTGCATCAGACGACGTGGAGATGGAAGACGCGTCTCACATGCGCACGCGCACCGCTGGCCATGATGCCGGTGAGTGTTATGTATCTCAGTTTCTAGCATCTAATACTGTGCTGATTGCGTATTAATTTTGTTTGCAGCCGCCGATTCGTCACCAGTTGCCAAAAAGCCACGCGGACCAAACAAGGCGAGATCGATTCGCACCCCAGGAAGCAAGCAAAAAATGTCGCTAGCTGAGGCGCGGAAGGCCGCTCAAGAAGAGGTTGAAAAACGGATCCAGGAGCGTGCCAAACTACTTTCAGCGTCGAAAAAGAAGAAATAAGGTGATTCGTGCAAAGCGCATCGAAGATATGCAGTCTAATGGAGTGGTGAAGAGCAGTTTATTCCTTACTGTCGCAATATCTCCATTTGAATCATGATGCGACAGCTTGAACGAGAAACTTACGCTGCATTCTGTAAGTTTAAAGTCTGCGCAGATGAAGAAAAGCATTGGCAAAGAGCAACAAACTACTTGTCAGTAGAGCATGCTGCAGAAGTTCAGGAAATGAGTCAAATTCCAACAGTATTCGATTGAGGTGATGCACAAAGCACTAGTAAGAAAGCTTTGATGTAAATTCCATCACGCTTTCGTTGAAGTCTATCGACTAGAAATCCGTCAAGTTTTCAGAGTCAGCTGTAAGCTAACCAAGTATTGGATATTGGGAGACTTGTTGCACTACATTGGCTCATCACTTAACATCATGCTGCTCGCCATTCCGTGCATTTGTTTGCTCCATCAGGGCGTGATAACTAGCATTGTGGAAAGCCCATTTGCCCAAGAATGTCGTTAGGTCCTCAGGTAGAAAGAACTAAAGAATACTTAATCTCTTTGAGACATCATGTCTTGAATGGAAAGCTTGACACCTTTGAATAGCAAAAACTTGTCGAACATGCGAGTCACGATGCTTGCGAGAACGAACCAAAACTGCAAGATTGAGACCAGCTTTGGCTTGAGTATACGTCTCTTATCTGAATGGTAGAAGAGATGTTGAGCTAGTTTGAGTTACATCTCCACAAAACGATATCCTTGCTCTATCCCCTTCAATCGGTACAACTATCTGCCTCATGAACAACAAGCTCGGCGCAGCACGTTCTTTGCTGAAACTGGCAATCGTTGCTGTCAATTTCAGCATCATCATGACAACAGGTTATGAGCTCAAGGTTACGGGGTTCAAGACCAACGTTTTTCCACGAATTGATAAGTTTACGACCTAGGACGATTTGAGTGGTATAAATTGGGAGGAGATATTGCTGTCTTGTTGTTTTCGTATTGTTCTCGTGTGTATTATGGATGAAGATAAAGTGGGTGTGGAAGCTTTGCTTGAATATGTCAAGTGCCTGGAAGGAAGGCTAGAGGCGATGGAAGAGGAGCGACCACAAGAGTCAGCTCCTAGTACCTCGCCTGACTCACAGAAAGGCTTTGAAAACGGCAGTGTTTTCAGCGAAACAATCAAGAATAATGGTTCGTTTGGAGGGAAGATGACACTTATGGTTTTAAGTAATGATAACGGCATTGAACGAGAAGGTGCACGGCGTGCACAGAGTGGAAATGGACAGCAGGAACGAGTCCAAGGAATGGCAGGTGCTTTTGCTCCAAAAGGAAATCCTGCAGGAAATCAGATGCGTATGGGTGGGAATTTAAAAATTCCGAAACTAACCCTACAGAACTTTACCGGTGCAGAAATATATCGCGGTCTTTGGAGCAGCTTTCAGACAGTGGGTCTACGTTCATAGAAGCGCTTGAGGTGGCGCAGTTGTTGTCTGGTTTTGCTTGGACAGAACGTTTTAAGGTGAACAAGCTTGGTGAACATTTAGACGGAGTGGCAGCAAATTACTTTCAGGCAAATATTGCAACATGGGGAGGGAGAAGAAGAATTTTGTATTGTCTACTCCCGAAAATGGAAGTAGAAATATGGCATTTTCGAATCAGAATTTATTATGCGATGATGACACTTGGGTGATTGACAGCGGTGCAAGCCGGCATCTCGTGTCAAGTGAAGAGCTTTTGGAGAATGCAAAAGATTGCAGTGACGATGAGGGCCTGTTGCTACCGGATGGTGCAATATTAAAGGTGACAAAGGTACCGGCATTTATTAAGTCCATAACGCATTAGAACACTAACCGGTTCCTAGTGTGAGCAGATACAAGGGTACGTGCGGTGTGGTTTTCCTACAAATACATGCATGGGCTTTGTCTACTACACTTTGCATTTCATCGTTAGCGACATTAGCAAAGAAGAATGTCTGTAACAGAGCGTCAACATCAGTACGATAAAACCTCCTGTAACGTATCGTATGAAACATCAAATAAGAAGCAGGTGCAGTAGGAATTGGCAGCGTGTCACGCACGCACTCTATTGTCATCAATTCCACCGAGCAAAGGCACTTTTCCAGTGTTCCGCCACCGAGAATGGTGTCTACATCGCAGGCAAACCGAAAAGCAGCAAACGAACAAGTTGAGCAGTTTGAAAACAATGAAACAGACTCGTGCCCGCTCCTTGGTGAAGACGAAATGCCCCGCAATGGTGCTCAGCCTCATCGGATCCGAAACGTGCGACGTATTGATAACGGTTTTCTCAGCCCCAAGCGCAGTCTAGTGCAGCGGATTTGTAGTCGTAAGAACCGGTTTGTTCAGCGCGTACTCGTAGCATGTCGCCTAGCTGATCGGTCGAAAGACCTCATGTTTAAGGAGGAGCAGAGAAGCACCAACATAGCTCTTGAGAGGCTCACAAACATTCGCAGCAGCTTCTTTGCCAACTCGCAAAGCATTGTTGGTAAGTTGAATGATATCCCGTGGACAGGTGTCGACAAATTACCGTATTGTTGTTGTGTGATGTCCATTCCAGGCTTATCAACTGCTATTTGTTGCTTCACTGGCAACTCAGCACGCTTTTACAGTGGTTCACAAGAAGTACTGACCCACGTCGATGTAGGAGGGTCGAAAATCCATGAATGCTCGCTTGTCTTTAGTGTAAGCCGTTCTACTCTTCTCGCAATGAGCAGCAATGCCAGCTTATAACTTGATGCGAATTGTTTGGTGACGATATAGGGCCAAGTAGAAGAACTTGTTCTCACTAGGATCGACCATCGACTTGCCGAGCTGAAGCACATCCACTCGCTAATTGAGGAGCGAGCAAAGCTCGTACTTGACGTCGAATACGCCAAGCGAACGGTGAGCGTAATGTACATCGCATGGCAAACTACAATAATAGTACTGACACGAGTTCTTGATGACAGTTGGCTGTAGAGCAACAGAAAGGGGACGTCAACCGTATTGCAGAGCGCGAGCAAGCGGTACGTCTGTACCACAATGTCACTCGATCAATGGCTGTTGACTTGACTTGTGTTGTTCTTACGACAGCTTCAAAATGCCCAACTCGAGTGCGAGCGGACAACACGATTCATCACGGAGCAGCTGAAGTCTGTCCGCCCCAATCAAGATATGGACGTGTTTGGGCTGCTCCAAGAGGTACCATGATCTTTGTCAACGCCAAGCTTTGCGCATGCATCAATTCCTGACGCTCTTGTATGTATTCTTGTACGCGGAGAAGTACGCACACCTCGTTGCGCAGTTTTTCAAGCGTGGTGTTTCCTTGGTTGGTGGCACGAAATGACGAACAGACCTGTAACCCCTTGCGTAAACCACGAGAGACTGAAGCAAGCAAGCTACACCAACATCATCGTTGCTAATGGCTTGAAATCATCCAAAGCTAATAAAGATGCACTTGTGAGCGTGCCTTACGTCCGTATTGTTTTTTTCATTATGAGGGATTGAGCATATCGAGCTGCTGATCTCGTCCTGCAAGAAGCAAATCCAGACACTGGGTCTACTTCCCCAACTAGTCTCTACGATTTGCGCACAACTTCCACCTGTTAACGCTATGTATTGATCATCATTCGACTCACTTTCCTTCGTAAGCATTGACTTGATCACGACTTAGAGCACAAGAACGATCAGTATCAGTTTATCCTTTGTATTGTAAGCAGATAGAACACGTGACAGGTCCCATCCTGCTATTCTTCACGACGGTAGTTTGACACAAACAGTTGGCGGCTTGCAAACGCACTAACGAGAGACAGAATTAAGCACGCGAACGACGTGGACACTGCTACTTTTCCATCGACAGACCAGGATAGAAACTTTTTGACAAAGAACTCGCGTGGACGCTTGATTCCTCTCGAGTAATAATAACAACTCAAAGGTCCTAGCCATGTCCTCCATGTTTCCCATAGTCGAGGAGTCGTACCGTGTTAAAATCACGGACGACATGGAGCGTGACTTGCGCTTTTTGGGGCAGTCACGTCTAGATGCATTGACGTCGCCTTTTGCTATGAAGCTGTTCAAGGAAAAGAGCGGACTTCAGCTCTACGAGTTGTGCGAAAAGGAATTCTATACAATGAAGGCAGTGACCACAGTGAACGCACCACTTCAGGAAGTTATGCACATGCTTAGGATGGACACTACTGCTCAACTGCGCGAAACAATGAAGGAGATTTTTGGTACGCTCTTTCTTGACGGTGTCGTGCTATACAACAAGCCAAATTTAACTACCCGGTCAAATGAAAGCATGTCGGTGAGCTGGGCAGCGCTACAAGCGTCCAAGCCCAACCTTCCACATCGTGACTATGTGTTTTTGCGATACGGCGACATTTTTGAAAGGTGCCTAGAGCATGGCAATATGTATCAGGATAATGGGTCAGGTTTGTACATTGGTGCCTCCATCTGGGAGTCCATTAAACTCGATGGCTGCGAGCCCTTGCCACCTTCACAGAACGTGGTGAGACTGCGTCTGCGTCGTTCGGGTTTTGTTGTGGAGGAAACTGGACAGAAAGGCGCGCTAAGAATCTCCATGTTCTTGTCTGAGAGCCATCCGGGTCGCGATGCAGTGTCCTCACTTACACGCTCATGGATGATGAAGGTTGTGAGCTGTGTTGTGCAGACATCAAACGTCCTATTGACTCGTGCGCTGGGTTCGAAGAACCTGCTTACAAAAGGCGAGTTCCAAAAGAACGGACGGAACTGCTACATGTGTCTAAAGGCATTCACCGTATTTCATCGCAAACACCACTGCCGAGTGTGCGGTGATGTTGTATGCAGTGGCTGCTCGGATATGAAGACGCTGCACCAGCTCAGTGGGAACAAAGAAGTGCGTCTGTGCAGTAATTGCTGCATTACCAGCACTACGTCTGTTTTGCCCTCACACAGCGGCTCCGATTCCATGTGTTTGTCACAAAGTAATAGCAGTTGTCAAAGCTTGCTGAGCATCTCAAACTCGTTCAACGGCTGCAATTTGGCATCAAGCAATGTTGCTATCTCTGGTAGCGTAACGAACGTGTTGGATTCATCAAACGAGACTGCTTGCTTAAAGACACACTCATTGGAGCATGACGGATCTTTTGACGGTCAACGCTCTACTGACAGTCCAGTGCTGAACTCGACCAATGAGTTTAACCAAGATGGCAACAATTCGCCCGTCGAGGAAGAGTTTAACACGATATCTGAGTTTTCTGATATCAGTGAATTCCATTGGACTGAAGAAGTACCCGGACCGAGTGTTGATCTTGCTCAAATTATGACAGAGCTCACAGTGCGTGCAAACACGCCTTTCAGCTACGCCTTGCAATACAGCAGCCGACAAAAGTGGCCAAAGGCTCCGATTCCATTGAATGAAGCAGCTCGACTTAAAAAGGTGCGTGAGCTGCAGTTGGCTGATCCGGGCAAGCAATTCCAGGAGATGTGTGAGTACTCTACCGCTGAGTTGGGTTGCCAAATTGCAACAATCAGCTTTATAGGGGACAAGAGCGGATTCCTTATGGCCAAAGTTGGGTTGGAAAAGCGTGAGCTACCGCGCAACGTGCTGATGGACGCCCATGCTATCATGTCAACAGAGCCCACCGTAATTCTAGACGCCACCGAGGACCTGCGTTTTGTAAACAACCCCTTCGTGACTAACGGTCGTGTGCGTTTTTTTGCGGGATTCCCCATGGTCACGTCGGACGGCTATGTCGTAGGTTCCTTTAATGTGGCTGATCCGTTTGCACGTGAGCTGTTGTCCGGAGACAAGTTCCTGTTTCTGCGTAACCTAGCAGATGTAATTATCCGTAGCATTGAGCAGAACACACTCATGAGCATAGCAGTACAGAGGAATGGTGGCAACGTACACCACATTAAGTCTTGTGTCCATGCTCCAGCACCACCAGGGTCACATATTGCTGATAAAGAGCTCACGATGCAGGAGTTAATGTGCACTGCTTACACGACAGAGTGTCAAGTCCGTATGCAAGAATGAATCCACTTTCCAAGTGAGTGCGGTCATTTCGACAGGAGTGCATATCTATCTATCACTGATATATAGGTTAACTAACGTTATTGTCTTGACCGGATCAATCCTTCCTTCATTTTTTCCTGTCTTCAAATGTATCCATTGCTCTATTGAATCTACATTCATCATCACTCAGTACAAACAATCTTCATCCATACAAACATTCAGTCATGGCATCTCTTAAAAAAAACACTTTGTAGATGATATAAAACTTCATTGACAAAATGATAAAAGTTGGTACTTAAAACTCCTTTTCTTGCTTCTTGTCATAAAAACCTCATCTTTTTTCTCCTTACAGTTCATCTTCACCATCATCCACACCAGCATAAAACTTATCAAGTGCTTGATCAATGGAATCCACAACCGGTGCAGGCGTACGCAATGCTTGACCATGTTCTAGTAACTTGATTAAATGTACCTTTTGCTTCCATTGCATAAGTGTCTCCTCTAGTTCCATATTAGCTTTTGTAATAAGCATATCAACAACACGTGGATCTTTAACAGCTGCGTGTTGACGAAATAGCGCTTGAATAGCTAAACGCGCATCGGATGGTTCCATTGAAATGTCATATAACGTCAATACACGCGGTATTTGCTTGGTAATATAGCGATATAACGTCACTGATGGGCTAGACGTAGACGCTGCCACTGCTTTCTCCGTCGCAACACGAAGAGCCATTAGAGTCGAGATGGTGCAATTATTAATGTACACCTTGCAACGTTTTGAGCCACACAGCTCGATTCCCTCTCCTTTAGCAATTTATATAATTTATGTAAATCTGCTGTGTGAATCTGTCAAATCTGATAAGGCCTGGTTTATGAATTAAATTATACAGGGTCTTAAGTTCGTCAGTGTTACTTCACAACGTCACGTTTTGCATAGACTAAAAAGACTTACGTAGTGCATACAAGTTACTAACTGTTGTAGTTAATGACTAAGCTTCATCCTCACTAGATTTCCGTATCGACGTCGCAACTGTTCGTCTTCATATCACTCACTTTCACAATTATTCACTAAATGGCTACATTTTCTGCTTAGTTGTATCACAAAATCATCGTGAGAAATCGCAAACAATACGGTTGGAATCTGCTATCTCTGCATCCAGAGCTTCTTCCTGCATTGGTTCCTCCTTTCTCCACTACTACATATATTAAGAAACGAAGGTAAAAAAAGGAGAAAGGTAGAGAATGACACGAGCTCAGTGTGTTTTGTGTGCAGTAATTTTCTACCATCCAAACACGCACATTCAATAGCGCCATTGTCTTGCTTCATGGACTTTGTAACTCACGTTAACTCACCCTTTTAGATAAAAAATTGCAAGTCATTAGTCTATCAAGACTTGCAATATGCATACATTAAAGCTTCAAGTGGCTAGTCAGTCAGTCAGTTAGTAAGTCACACACAGCGGGAAGACGCTTAGCATTTAGACTCGCCAGCTGGTCTCTTGTCGCCGTTACGTGCGTGTTGCCTTGTCGGTCGCACTCCTCCTACCTGTTTATCAGCATAGCTATAATTCCCTTTATCTCTCTATATTATCATAAACTATCATACAATTTTGGTATCATTTGACCAACACATGAACTCGATTCGATTGTTTTATCTAGCTTTCGATGAGATTTAGTACGTTGATATTTATCTACTTTCACAGGTTCTTGTGTCTACACGTGCTACAAATCGACAAGCACTTATCCGACAGTTATTGGCACTATTCACTCAGTCTCTCTCTCGCTCTGTAGAGCCCAGTCAAGTCGTATTATCCTCCTCCTTACTCACACACTTCTTCTTCTTCTTCTTCTTCTTCTTTCTAATGTTTAATAAGAATAACACGTTAAATGGAAGTAAAATCATCAGTACATCCTCTAGTGGATCAGGCTCTCGAGTATTTGCGGAACAAGTATCTCGACAGTATGAAGTGCCACGTGCTATGACAAAAGAACGTGTCAAAGAGCTTGCTACAATTGGTGAACGTCGAGCAAATCAATTAATTCGATGGATTATAGATGATGATCAAGGCATTAGTGGCTCAATAGCTGCTAATGCAGTCTTACGTCAACAAAAAGAGAATTTTACAGTCTATGAAATGCATGATGATGTCGATGACTTATTAGTCATGAAAGGTGTTGTACGATTACAAAATACAACATGTGATGAAGTACTGGCGTTACTATCAGGTCGTACGGCTGCTGAAGTCGATGCGTTCTTGCAGGATTTATTGGGTGCACAATACGCAGCTGGACAAGCATTACACTATACAGAAGTTAGTACGGACGCAGGGAATGCACCGGAATCAGCACTTGAGCTGAATTCACCACTTGCACCACAAACACCAAGAGGATCGAAACCTGAAACGTCATCGCTCATGATACAATGGATGGCACTTAATGATGTGCATCCACAAGCGCCACTTCGAGAGTTTTTCTTTATGCGCTTCAATCAGCGATATAGCAATCGAAACAGCGCCAACAATTCTTCACTTGGAGGTAGTGCATCGTATGGTGTTTCGGTATTAGAGTCCCTCGAACTGCCAAGGTGCGGTCCTATCTTTTCGCAGACTCATATGCAGCGTCAGGCACTGCACAAGTGCGGTTTTGTGGTCGAGGCGTCCGAGGAAAAGAACTCTAACACTACGCGCGTGTCTTTTTTCATTTCGGCACCTTACCGTGCGCATTCACTCGAGCAGGACCGAGCATGGCTATTGCGTCTTGCAGGATGCGTACGGCTAGTGCCAAGTGCTCTTGTGAACCGCCGCATTCGCCGTAACCAATTACGTGATCGTCGGAGCTGGCACTTTCGGGACACTTGTTCAGTGTGTAGCGGTGACTTTTCCATGTTCACACGCCGCGCTCATCACTGCCGCATTTGCGGTTCTGCTGTGTGCTCCAAGTGCTCGGCTATTCGAAAGGAAACGCAGCGCTCCAAGTTTTCAGGAAGTACGCGTGTGTGCATGGCGTGCTTGAATGGCGACCAGAATGGACTGAATGGACTAACAGGATCTTCTAGCACCTGCGAAACTAGCGACGTTGGCCGGACAAGCGCTGGCAACGGAGCATCGATTCGTGACAGTGACGGGGAGTGCTTTGGGTGCTCGACACACGTCACGCTGGAGGAAGTCGATGCTGGATCAGGAGTTGAGTCAACGCTTGCAGAAAACTTTTTTGGCAGTCCGAGCAACACGTCTAGCAGTGGTTTCAGCCAAGGTGGTGAAGTTGATGGTGACGTGTACACTAACACACCTTTTGACTACGAATTGACATTCACGAAAGGAAATCCTTGGCCGGATGCTCCTTTGACGACGACGGAGAAAGAGCGCATCAAGATCATTCAAAGACTGAACCTGTCTCAGGATTTCGCTAATACCGTGCTCCGCGATCTGTTGGATTTGGCGTGTACGACCGTCAACTGTCCAGTAGCAGCTCTATCTGTTGTGACAAAATCTACGAGTTTATTCGTTACCACGATTGGTCTTGTGGGTGACCAAGTACCGCGCGACATTGGCGTAGATGCGCATGCACTTATGTCCCAGGAACCTCTAGTAATTCTGGACTGCCGAAAGGATATTCGATTTGCAAAGAACCCGTTGGCGTTGTCAATGCATGTGCAGTTCTTTTTGGGTGTCCCGATCTTTGTGAAAGATTCGGGTGTGGTCGTTGGCGCTATGTGCATCGCCGATACGAAGGCTCGCAACAAAGTTAAGGGTTCGGACCTGCGTGCGCTACAGCTTATTGCATCACGCATTATCGACAAGATGGATGCGCAAAACAATGAAGCGATCGAGAAGATTACGGATGGCGTGAGGCTTTTGTAAGCTAATATGCCTTACAAGTGCCTGTTCTTGCATGCACGTACTTCGTTTACATAGAACTCTAGAAAGTGTGGGTTGAATATTGCACGTCTAGTTTCCAAGCTCACGTGCCGAGCTCACGTGCCGAGCTCACGTGCCGAGCTCACGTGCCGATAGTTTGCCCGAGATAAGTATGGCGAAAGTATTTGCATGAAAATATGCACTATTTTAGAACGTGCACAAGTTGACACGATGGGGTTCATATCACCACATTTCTTTTTGTTTACAGCAATTTTTTCGTCCATGTTGAGTACTAGCGGTGCCGCTTGGTTTTCTTCTTCTTCTTCTGCTTTCAAAAGCTGACGTATGTCGCCGAAGCTGTCGCTTTCTGCGGACACCGCAATAGTCAGACTCATCGCTGAAATCTGTGTCGTCTTCTTCTATACTGTCGTTATCGTCCTCCTCTTCGCTTTCTGAAATACTGCTGTGCCAGCTATCTTCTTCATCTATCAAAAGAGCAGTGACAGGCTTCCGACGAGCTCGTTGTTTACCCAGTGCAGCAGCTGATGGCTTATTTCTTACATTACAAACAGGCTGTCTAGCCTTTTTCGTAGCAGGTATTGTGTGCCCTTGAAGGTTTACGCCTGCCGCATCCAGCAAGAACTTGACGCAGTATTTCTGTAAATCCTCCACTAGACCGCCGATGAAACAGTCCCAGCCATTATAGGTAACCGCATTGGAAAACACAAGAATTACGTGAGCCTGAAATGCAAATTAGCGCGTCAGTGGGTAACGAATACATACATCACTTATAAAAGCACCCGCACTTACGAAGTAGTCGCGAAAGCTTTTGTACTCGTTCAGTTTGTCTTGTATCGTTCCAAAATCCATTGGATGCGCAATTATCTGAGAATACTGTGGGGCCACATTATCGGTGACAGGCGAGGCAAATATATCCGTTTTGTCAGCATCGGTAAGGGCCTCGTGGAACACTTGCAGCACGGCTCTTAGATCCTCGACACATGCCTCCTCTATTGCTTCACGTTGTGAGCTAGTGTATTTATCCATCAGGGTTGAGTAGGTCAAAAGCTCCTGGTCAGAGTTTTTGCGCTGTCGCTTTCGTGCGGATGCACCTCCGCGAACACTACCACTTAATGGCGTTGTTATCACTCGAGTTGTGCGTCGAACTCGAGGTGGCAGAAGCTGCGGTTCTCTTCTTTCACGATTCCGAAGCTGCCTCGGGCTATTAGAAATTGTAACAACATTTTCCCCCACATCACTTGTCGTAGATTGTTCTTCGCTAAATACGTTGTCGATGATTGCTTCGCCACTTTGCTCCTCTATGTGATCCGTCTGTACTCCAACTGCATCACCATCCTTTGTCTCCTCACTGCTGCATGAACGATGATGAGATCTCGCTTGCAACGAAGCAGCATCCACATTACTAATAGCAGAAGGAGTCGCGGGAGGATGAGACACAGCACGAGCATCGACCTGATTAACATCAAGTGCATCCGAATCGCTAAATATTTCCTCCGATGCTGCTGAAGTCAACAAACCAATTTCCAGTAGTTCTAACTGCGTGTCCTCTGGGTCTTCATTAAAACTTGTCAAAAAATCGTCTGGGGGATACGAGTAAACCACGTTGGCTAGCTCTCCGCCAGACTCTCCACCATTAGCATCAAGCAATAAGTGCGGAAAATGACGTTGCGCCTGCGTCAAAAGAGCGGAGAAGAGGCTTCGCGAATTTTGTGAGATCGGGCTTGATGGAATGTTGTACGTCTCGCAATTAATACTCAGCAGCTTTACATCTGCTAAAAACGCCTCCACTTGACGATAAAAGCCATACCGTAGTCGCTGCTGGATCTTTGTCAAATCGATTGGATTGGCAACAGATATCGGGTAGTCCATAAAGGTTTCTTCATCGACGGGATACATGAAGTCGCGTGAAATTGACAGTGTCAACACCTGGTCCATTTCCTGTAAAAGCGCCTCACATTTATCGCCGATAATACTTCGTGAGAAGTAGAGCCGCGTCGAGCGTCTACGAAGAGAAAGTTCACGTTTCTCCCGTCGCTCTTCAGGTGACAATGACTCAATTTCCCATGGACATACGGCACATGTATCATCGTCTGGGTCATCCCAGTCAACCATGACGCATTCCCAAGGCGAGACTTCTCCCAAGCTACTTGATAGAAACGGCTTCCGAAGAATATTTTTTATGGTCCCGTATGACATTTTTGCTTCAATCTCAAGGCCGTGTTGATTCAGCTGTACAAACGGCATCTGAATACGATCACCAATGCACCAGTTGCCACATACCCCATTTTCGTAGACATGATCGAGCACGAGAAAATTTGCCACATCGTTAGAGTGGTACATAATCTTAAAGTTGAAGCGTACAGATGGCTCGCTTGCTGCGGGCAACAACTCTTGATCAACGCTCGTAAATTCTGCAAAAGGGGATGACTCTGGGTTGAACAAGTCTGTTGCACCAGAATCTGGATCGTCTTTAGTTTCTTCTTCGTCTTCTTGCTCTTCGTGGTCTCTACCAGGACGAACAGCTGATGTTGGCACAGCAAGGACCGCCAGCATAAGCTCACACTTGATAGTGTCACACCTCGCGTGCTCTTCTGCGGTTGGAAACACATATTTTACATCGCCAACGCGACACTTAACTGCATAGAATTTGGACAGTTGCGCAAAGTATCTTGGGTGCGGTATTCCCCCGTAATGTAAGTATCCAGGATGTCCCTCTGGCAGGTACACCACATAATCACCAACTTGTGGAACATACTGATGAATCGATCGAAGATTTACTAGTTGCAACCACTCGCGATGAAATTTAAGACCGAAGCGTTTAGAAGCAGGTTCAATGATAGCTCCTCCATCTTCCGCTACAAGTTGATTATTTTCCTCTTGATCATATCGTTGCGCGCGCCGAGATTGGTGATCTGGGCAGAAGAAATGCATTTGATCCACTGACCATCCAAAATTGATCGCACATTTCCAATGATAAGAGTTTCGACATGCGGCAATAGTGCAACCAATTGTTGGACCACGCTTGTTGCATGCAACACAGACTAGAGAGCGTCCGCGACGAATCTCCCTGGTCACATTGTACCAGTTGCCGTCTCGATTGAAACAAAGCGGAGAGGCAATAGCGCATTGATCATGCACAAATACCCTTTGAGCGCCGTAAATCAATGGGTGCACACCCATACCGTCTCCGGGTAACTTAAGCATTACATCGTCGTCTCCAACACCACAAAATGCACATGGAATCAATGCGTCGTCTCCATTTTCTGAGGGAACTGGTGCCGCGCCAAGCTGAGCTCTTTTCGCTTGAAGCATTTGAGTATAGGTGACACTCTGATCGAATCGATCTAGCTGGTTGTCACCCATAATAATACCATCATTTGACTCCACAATAACCTCATCTTGGCCACCATGATGGCTCATCCCTCTTTCAGCATCAAAACCATCCGTACGCTCATCAGACGCCTCATCATTTCCCTCTTCTGCGTCACTATCTAGCACAAATCTGGAGCGAGATCTCACTGCATTTCTTCGGGCCCGCAACTGCCGAGGAGTGTCGTCCTGTTCGTGCTCTTCCTCGCTATCTGACCGTAGCCTCCGACCACCCCGAGACGAAGACCGAGCACGTAGCGGCTCCCTTTGTCGCGTGCTGCGAAGCAGCCTCCGCCTTGAGTTTGCTGGAGATATAAGAGTTCTTTCATTTTCGCTAAGCAAATCGTCGTCCGGGTCAAATTCGTCCTCATCTTCCTCTTCCTCTTCTTCTTCAGCAGCACGTCGTGGTGTTGGTACCTGAAAGTCTTCATCGCTTCGATCATCCTCACTAGAAATTTCTATCTCTAACACTGATGTATCGCGCTCTTCAGCAGGCGTCTCACGTCGACGTCGTGGGTCTGCGTATCTTCTAGATCCAGGACCGCGACGCCGAAGATCTGACAACATCAGTGGGGCACCGTTCAATCTGTATGAGGCTCTAGCCGGTGCCATGGCATCAGCAACAAATTCTCCCTGTGTCTGCACAGACTTCTTCTCGTCACTCTTAACAACTGCTAGCGGGAATGAGTGGGCATCCTCCTCAATTTCAGGCTCAAGGCGCACTGCGCATCGAATTTCCGATTCTTTGGCCTGCTGAATTCGCAATCTTCGATTCACCTCGTACTGTTCAGAAGAGACCAATGTATTGGTTAACAGATGAGGTGGCTGGTGTGGATACTGGACCAGCGAGGCATCCATTAGAGGACCCGAATCCATTAAGCTCGGCAATTCACCAGTATCCCTATCTCGCACGTTGTAGTACCCATCAGTAACAATCATTACGTAGTCATGTAGGAAGTACTGCTGTACAGGCGTCGCTGCGTACTGCTCTCCAGATCCTGTACCAAAAATATGCAGTCGACCAATCTGATCCGTGAAGCAAAAGCCATTGCCATTCGGTGTAAAACCGCCATCGAGATTGGACAGCGGCTTTGAGTCCGGTGACATATTCGTAAAGGACTTCAACATTCTACCCGTGGATATGTCCCACAAAAACACTCGTCCATCGTATCCTGCCGTGACTATGATGCGCCAATCCGTTGGATGCGCACTTAGAGCAAAAGCAGCATTCACATGCCCGTACTTTTTTTCTTTGTCAACCGCACCCAACGTCATCAGCAGTTTACCACTTTCCGGGTCCCAGACTCGTATCCTCTGTTCCCAAGTTGGGTCCACGGACTCTGAGTTAAGTTTGACACTATGAAGTGTAATGAGTCGCTTATCGTCGTGTGTCCATGCAACCATGTCTACAACGGGGATAGCTTTTTTTCGACCACGAACCCCGTAGAAAGCTGAAATGTCATCGTGCTCGACTGGTGAATCTTTTGCAAAGAGAATAGCCCCCCTCCACGCATTTATACTTTCGCTTCCATTTCCACACCCGCGCAGCGCTGTCTTTAATAGACGCAGTTACAATCCGGTCGCCCCGATGATTGTAAACAATACTCGACACTGGGCCTTGATGCCCTTTCAACAATGCAATTGCCTCGATACTAGGAACGGCGTCATCGGATAGAGATAGAGAAGGCAGGTCATGCTGTACCTGTGGAGGTTGCAGTTGTCGAGGCAACGTCTCTCGCTGCAACGCTTCTGCAACAGTTGGAAGTAGCACCTCTAGACCAGTCTGAGGTTGCGTTAGCATCAGGGGTTGCAATGGAGACAATCCAGAAGTCACAGGCGCTATTGAGGGTACCACGTCTCGAAAAGATTCGGCTGAAGCTGCCGATGAGGCGACATTGCTCACCTGACTTAACGGCTGTTGTATCAATGAATTCTGCAAGCTCGGAGCTAGCGCACTGAAGGGTGGAATTGCAACAAAGGATTGCTGATCGCTTCGCAATCCGTTTGCGCTACGCTGCTGCTCTTGCACCCTTGCTTCCTGTGGTTCATCTGTAGGCTGAAATCGTGGTATAACTGCAGGTGCATCGGGTGCTGAAACCATCGATAAATCCCACACACGTGCTGTTCCATCGTGGCCACCAGAGGCAACAAAATCTCCGCATCGGCTAAAGGTAATGCAGTGTACTTTGCACGAACGGACTCCCTCTCGGCGAGCATGCTTCATCGCGTAGATAGGGTGCAAACTCAGCATATACGCATTTAGCGAATACAAGCGTCGTGCAGTCTCAATCTTTGATTCTGGTCGATCCACGGGTGGAATCTCTGGCACTTTGTAGCAAAAACACCGCCCGTCGTCCGACGCCGTGACAATAATATTTCTGCTCGGATGAAATCTAACTGCATTCACGACACTAGAATGTCCAACCAAAACAGCAACAGGGGCACCCGTACTTATTTCCCACACTCGCACAGTCTTATCGTCGGAAGATGAGGCCAGGAGAATGTTTGAATGATTCACTGCCAAATCTGTAATATTACCCACATGTCCTCGTAACGTGAACAACAAATCTCCTGTTTCCAGTGACCAGATCTTCACAAGTCTGTATAGGTGCAACAAATAACAAGTTAGACGCTTGTCTCATCACAGAATAGTACTTGGAGTCGAGCGAGAGCACTACCTGTCATCAGATCCGGTAATCACGACCTTGCCCAATTTATCATACGCAAGACAGTATGCCTGAATCTGTAGATGTCCACTCAGCGTTTTCAACCTCCTTATCCGGCTGTACACATACGCTGGTGGGAGCTGTGTATCCCGCTGTGAGCTTACCTCTCTTCGTCGCAACAACGAGGCCTGATTGCGTCCATTTCGCGCCGTCGTTTGAAATAGTCCACAGCATTTAGCACGGTCCATCAACATACAAATCTGTTTCTCCGCCACTCTGTGCTCCTGTCGTAAGTGAATAAGCTGCTTCAAGGCGCGCACATCGGCTGCCAACGTCGTTACTTTATCCTGGTCCATTCCTGCAGCTTGACCTACCAACGCTAGCTGCAGCTCCAAGGGTAGCTCTTCCACGCTTGTCGCAGACGTGTACTTGCGATACCGCTCATATTTTTGAATCACCTTTTCCACAACGTTTAACGTCTTGCTCACTTGTCTCCTTGTAATAAACTGGCTTACAATATCCTTTGCCAATTTCTTGCTCTCGTCGAGTGACAACACCAGCGATCTCCTCACTCTTGCCTTAAGTAACAAACTATTGTTTTGCTTACTACTAATCAATGCACTGTTTGTCTTCATATCCACGTCCTTCTCGCTATGAAGTCTCGGAAATAACGTTGCTGCTTCTTGCAGGAGTTGCATCAAATGACTGGCTGAAATATCTCGATGACGTAATCTGTAATCCTCGTACGTGGCTGTATGAGGCTTGCCCGTCCAGTCCACTCCGCTCTTAAGTAACTCGTGCTCAACCAGCTCCTGAATCAACATATCCGCCGCCTTGTGGCACACCGAGTGACGTTTCAGAAAGTCTGCAATAAGGAAATAGACTTCACTCTCATCTAATGCACGTGGTGGTTGTTCCTGCTCTTTATCTGTCACTTTTTTTTTGCTCTCTTGCTCTTCAACTGAGTGCTCTACAAGTGTACGACCATCATTCTGAAAACCTGGTAGTATCTCTTGAGAGCTCGCATCGCGCCAAGTGAGATGACTATCAGCTGCACTAACAAGGCGCTCATCTAACCTTCTTTCCGGTATACTGTTTACTACTTCATCGTCCATGCTGTGCGTTTGGACTGCTCGGACAGAGCAGTCACGTTCGCGTCCCTTTCGTCGTCTATTTTATCCGGTCCCCCCGTGTTTTTTAATAATTCTTCTGAAGTAACGCAAGTTACAAAATAAGCACCAATCATAAGAGAGCAGACAAAAAAGGATACGAAAGGTTACACCTTATTACAAAACAAATGATACTATCATTCACGTACACTATTTTTCAGAGGGTATATTTTGATAGCCAGTATTAATCACGGAATGTTGCGAGCTCAAGTTCATCGAGACGCAGACATTGAGATACAGGAAGACATTATTACGACGATTGAAGCTCCATTATCATCGATTACTAATCATCAAAAAAAAGAGGAAATACTAGCTCGAAAAGAAGAAGAATTTCTATGGTTATTGGTCTTGGCAGCTGTGGCCGAATGCGTAACCACGTGTTTCATGCCAAGGTATACTGTGCACAATTGGAAGTTAAGTGTTGATGGTACGGCATTAAATTGGATCGGATCATTCTTAGATGGATTATCATGTGGATATGAAGAGTTTATGGTGAATGATCGAGAGATGTCGCTTGCCTCGTTGCAGTTCCGATCCGCGTTTTTAGGGTACGAGACAAGGAGTTTGTTGTGCCACAAAGATACTTTGGTCTGCAATGTGTCTAAATGTGTGCGGAGATTTTCTTACAATGAGCTTGCTTTCTTAGGGTCTTTACGTCATATTCGTTCATGATTGACCATGCCGGAGATTTGAGCAATAGTAGCTTTGCAGCGGGACCACTATATGTCTGTGCGTCGATTGGAGGAGGCTGTGGGTGCTTCTACTTAGGTAAACAAGCGGCAACGGCTCTGTGGACGCACCCGGTGGCTGCTAAGGTGAGTCAAATGTTAGGTACTGTCAAGAATAAACCGACATTGCTGGTGAGTTTGATCACTTTTGTTGGTGTGACGATGCTGAGAGCAGCACTAGGAGCACATGGATTCGTTCGGTACGTGAAGGTGTCGTCCAATATGACTACCAGGAGAATACTTAATGATGCGGACTTGGACATTGTAGGGACCCGAACGACCCACATTTTATCGGACCACTGCACGTAGCAGACGGCGAAGAGCTGATGCTTGGAATGTTAATGTCGTGCAGTGCCGTATTACTATCAAACTACATCTGCGAGTTCTTCCCGCGACAACCGTCGCAATTGCGCACTGCTAGATCAATTAGTGGCGGTCCTTTCATCGATTGGGGTTGTCTTTGTTGCAACCTTCTAGCTTCAGTCCTTGCGGGGTTTACGTACCAGCTGAGCAGAATTTCACAGATAGGAGTGACGAACAACCTCCTCGCGCTCAAATTTGTGAGCTCTTTCTGTGGATCCTTGTCAGCATTTTCAGGGGCAGTAAGCATCATTTCGGTAAATAATTACGGTATCTCTAGAGTTTGTGATGCGGAATCTAACGGCACTTCTTTTACAACCTTTTGTAGCGGCTATGGCTTGCTGGCAATCGGCATTCTGCAATGTGGAACCTTTCCTTACAGCTGCTTGTGGGGCTAGTATGTGTACCGTACCTATACAAACATGACGCTACATAAGAGTTCAAAGCAAGGTGGATTAAGCTTGAGAATGTAACAAAATATGTTTGTCGACCAAGTTGACGTATGGAGTTCATACTGAAGCCTCTTCTACGCTAATGCTGAACCTTTCCACTATATATGCGAGAAGGAAGAGGTGATCTGTTGTTTCTACGTCTGATAGCAAAGTAACTTGAACTTGAAATGGCCGTGATGGATCCAGCGGACAAGTGTCAGTGCTATGAATGATCATCTGAAATCGTACGATATTTTCTGACAGGCGGCGTTCACAATGCTTATGACGGATGTGGCGTAAGTCTTTTATTCGCTATATATTGTTTGTGTATTATACATAGATGAAAAAACTGAGCGAGTGTTTACTACCTACAGGCAACAAAACAAAAATTAAATACCTTTCAATTGAATATATTCCACAATATGATGTTAAAACTGCTTATAAAATATGAAAACCATCCTGTATTCGACTTTCGAATATTCTCACTCATACATTTTCCTAGTCAAGTACACTGCAAAGCCGTTAGTCCATTCACTTTTTCTTCTTCTTCTTCTTCTTCTTCTTGAAAACAGTCTCCCTAATGTCTGGTACTCGTATCTACGTTGGTAATTTACCAATGGATATTCGTACACGTGAAGTGGAAGATATTTTTTATAAATATGGACGCATTCGTGATATTGATGTTAAATTTCCATCACGTCCACCAGCTTTTGCTTTTGTTGATTTTGAGGATGTACGTGATGCTGAAGACGCTATTCGAGGTCGGGATGGGTATGAATATGATGGTGCAAGGTTACGTGTTGAATTTGCTAATGGTGGACGTCGTGAATCTGGTCGAGAAGCATCAAGCCGTGGATCGACTCGCTACCCACGTAATATTCGTGGAACGGGTGATTTTACTGTTGAAGTATCAAATTTACCGCCTCGTGTATCATGGCAGGATCTTAAGGATTTTATGCGGAAAGCTGGTGATGTGGTATTCACTGAAGTTGATGGACGTGGTGGTGGTGTTGTTGAGTACAGCAATAAGCGTGATATGAAATATGCAGTGGAGAAGTTGGATGATACGGAATATCGTGGCCGCAGTGAGAATTCGTACGTGCGTGTGCGGATGGTAGGCAGTCGTGGTCGGAGCAACAGTAGAAGTAAAAGCCCAAGCAGATCGCGCAGTCGTAGCAACATGCGACGCTCTGGTAAGAAACGTAGCCGCAGTCGTAGTGAGGACAAGGACGGAGGAGGAGAGAAAAAGACGAAACGCAGCCAAACGCCCGAAAAGGAGGCGGTAAAGGAGGATGAAGCTGAAAAGGACGACGAAAATGGTAAGGAAGCCGAAATTACTGAGTCTACTTGTGCTATTGACAAGGAGGAAGAGACTGAGCCAACAGAAGTGGAAGTGGAAAGGAAGGACGACGAGTCTACAAAGGACGACGGACCTACGAAGGACGACGAGTCTATGAAAGACGGCATGCTTATGAAGGATGACGAGCCGAAGAAGGAAGACGAACTTACGGCAGAAACGGCAGCGGACAAGGACGAGTAGAACAGCTCGACGGACATGGAGGTGGGACTAGAAGCTAATGCAGTTTGAGAACGAACCTTGATTGAGGGACAAGTGCTTACTGCGGAACAGCCTGGGCTTGCCATGGCGTGCGCGTGCGTGAGTCTGGTTGTTGCTGCAATAGTCGGTGTTCTCTTACCGTGTGCCATGTGTACTCCTCCCTTCTGTTCTTGTATGTTGTATACGCGAGAAAATATGCATAGTAGTTTTGGTTTTTATCTTCATTGTTCGAGTGGCTGGTGGCTTGGCTTTTCGCTCAAATCCGCGATTTCGGCTGGCAATACTGGACACAGATTGGCGTGTACAGCGGAGCGAAGGACAACGGTGCTTTGGTGTGGATGGCGTGAAGATGAAGAACGTGGGCAACAGTTCGTCAGACATAGTCAAGAGTGGGAAGACGTCGTCTTGTTAGAGTTTGATGCTCCCCTAGCTGGTTGAGCGTAAGACAAAATCAAAACTTACTTTCTTTTGCACAAAAGTCGACTGCTTCACACGCACAATCGTTCTTAGTCTTGTCCTAGCACGATGGGCAGTCGAATAGGTGATTTTGAGCGCACGACCTCCTCAAGACCCTCGCCGTTGTACGACAGAGACGGCAGGATTTCACAGATGACATCAGGTGCACTAGCCTCGAAGGTCGCACCTGCGTTAAGCAACCAACGTTTACATTGATCTGAGAGTAGTTGGCACGCAGTATTAGGCGAGTCGGAAGCTGCGCCAGGCGCGTTCTTCACTGGAGCAAACTCATCTTCACGCGCGACACCAAGCACTTTCATACTCTTGGAAAGTGGAAAGACGTCAAAGATAAAGGTTTCAAGCTTGATGCCTGTGTTGCTCGTTGGGATGATTATGGCAGTGCCTTCATCATTCACATACGGAATCTTCTTTCTTGCCACGTGATATTCAGCGTCGATCCAGTTGCAGCAGCGCTGAAGGAAGTCCAGTCTGAAGAAGTGGTTGCAAATATTGGCGGCTCCAAAGCTGAGCTTGCCGGTCGAAGGGTCCACCTGTTCCGATGCAGCCTGGTCAAGCTCTGAGTACTCTACCACGCAATATGTGCCATTACGTTTGGCCACTACACCCACGCTCTCATCAGAACGACTCTTCCACACGACCTTGTTTGCGCAGTCAGCGTCCTGGTCTATGCAGTAGCCGATGAAGACTGGATCCGCAACCTTGCAGAGTGCATTGTCCACCGAAAATACATGTAAATACTGCACATTGTGCTCGCCCAGAAGGCTAAGCAGTCCATTGCGTTTTATGGCTGAGTAGATGCCACCATTGCCATCCGAGGCCCGCGCTAGCCGACTCGCCGTCTCGAGAATCAGCTTACCGTTCTCAGTAAAGCAGGGAAGTGTTCCCTGACAAAAACAGTGAAGTTGGTCCCTTGAGAGTCCGAAAAAGCTGTTCTCGCGAAAGAAAGACACCGTTGCTTCGTGGTTCATCTCGCTAGTCATTATGAGTAACGGAATCTTTGGTGGCTCGGCTGGTTTAAAACGAGCTTCTGCCAGCATTTGCACCTTAATCACTCGCTGCGCAAAAATCTCAAAAAGTGACTTTCCGGACGGAAGACCGATGTTATACATGCCCTTAGGACCAGCGAAGCCCAGGCGTGTGCCTTGGCCACCACCCAGTATCAGGGCGCCTACCATACCTTTCGAAACTGCCTCAAGACCGAGATCATGCCAATTTGTCCTTACCTCTGGCGCAGTTTCACTCAGCTGATGCACTACTCCTTCCTCAAGTGGTAACAGCTGGTCAACTATCTTCTTTTCGACGTTGTCAGCCTTAGTGGATCGCTCAAACAAATCGACAATTTGCAGCAGATCGAGTTCTCTAAGGGCCTCAACCAGCTCGCAAGCATCCTGAGCATTTACTCGGCCTGCATCGACGAAACGAAAGACATGGCCCTGCCCCGCTTTGTCAAATACTCGTCGAATAGAAGGTGGAATGGAGTTAGCGCTTGCCATAAATTTCGAGCTTTCCAGTCGGATGATGTCGCGAGGAAGGCCGTCCATCAAAGGTTTTATGTAAGCTTCCAATCCTTCACCACTGTATGAAACCAGGGGCGAAATTTCAATTTGCCGAGCCTTTTCCAGTTTTTCATGAACAAAGCTTTTGATTTCCTCTGCAGTAGAAGTTACAGTGGCCGCTGCAAGAAGCCAGGCTTTCCCTTCTGTGTGCATCATGCGAAGGGCACTGTCGGGTGAATCAATAGGGTCTCCAGAAGGATTCTTGACCGGCGCAAATTCGGACTCACGAGGAACAGAGAGAACCGCCATCCGCGATGACAATGGGAAGACGTCAAAAATAAAGGACTCGAGCTTGATCCCTGAGTTACTTGTGGGAGTGTAAGTTGCTCCCGTATCGTCCACCATTGAGATTTTCTTGTGAGCTACGTGATACGTAAGACTCAAATTTGGGAGCACTACGTCTACCAAGAAATCACTACAGACAAAGCTTAGCGTCGTGTGAAGCAAAACTAAGAATTATCCCTGCAAGAACGTACATTGTGAAAAAGTGATTGCAAATATTGGCCGATCCAAAAGCCAACTTGCCTGTGCGAGGGTCCACACGCTCAGACATTTCACGATCGATTTCCGAGTACTCGATCACACAAAAGCGGTCATTCCTCTTGGCCACAACGCCGACACGTTCATCGGGCTGCGCCTTCCATACCACCTTGTTGCCACAGTCTGCTTGCTTGTCGATGCAGTACCCAATGAAAGTTGGGTCGGCCACTTTGCATAACGCATTGTCCACCGAAAAGACATGCAAGTATTTCACACCACACGCCTGCAGTCTGGCAAGCGCTCCACTTGACTTCATTGCTTTGTAAATGCCACCATTACCATCTGGTGCTGTCGCCAACTTGTGTGCATTCTCCAAAATAAGCTTTCCATCCATTGTAAAGCATGGCAAAATACCTTGAGGGAAAAAAAAACATTTGCGACTCTTTCAAGCCAAAAAACTTGTGCTTTTTGAAGAACTCTATAGTCGTATCATGATTCATCCTGCTCGTCATCACGTAAAATGGAATTTGAATCTCCTGTCGTAATCTTGTCGAAAATTTGTCTCCAGCTAAAACTTGCAGAGCCACAATTCTTTCTGCAAAAAGCTGAAATAAACTCTTCTCTGACGGTAGACCAATGTCGTACATACCCTTAGGACCTGCAAAACCCAGTCGGGTACCTTGACCCCCACTCAATACCAGAGCAGCAACTTGTCCTCGACTAATACTTTCCAGGCCTAGATTCAACCAATGCTGCTTGTCTTGTATCGAGCATTGCTCTAATCGATCATAGCTCCTAAGGGGTTCAATCGTCCTTGTCTCAGCAATTGTCCCTTGTGTTGAAGCTTGGAAAATGGTTTGCAGGAACTCTAGATCAAGAGCTTCAAGCTACAATCATTTCAATACAGCACAAGTAGTCGAAGGTTATTCAATCTTGATATATGTATGATTATAACTTGATCATACCTCCTTTGCAAACTCCCGTGCCTCTAATGGCGAAAGGTTGTCCGCATCATCAAACTGTCAACAGAATTTTCAATGAGATTAATTTCATCATAGAAGGCAGGAATGAAAAAAATGAAAGAAAAAACTTGTTTTCACCATGAGCACGTGACCTTGGTCGGCTGCACGCAATTTGAGCGCCAGCTCCTTGGGGACGTAAGGCATAGCGATTGTTTCGAAATGATTGTGCGTATTAGACCTCGAACTTAAACCCGTTTAATTACCACTCCAACTCTGAAAACAAGCATAAGTGACATTACATAGAAAACAAAGTAACAGTCAAGATGCTCGGAATCGTTCCTGCTTCCTTCCACCTTTCGTACGACCGCCTAAAAATGCGTCTTCCTGCCATGTGCTACAACAAGTTGGCTTTGAGCAACGAAATATACGGGTTGAAAGCGGCAGGTAAATCGTGACCACCAGAATGAAAACCTAGGGTCATTTTTAAATAGCAATTAATACGATTACACATGGAAGCTCAAGTCCATCGTGTCGCAACTAATAGATTCATCTAGTTTTTCTTGTCTCGCTCGAGGAAATTTCTGTGTCACTTGCAAAAGCGCATCCAGCGAAGGATTGGAAGCATACATAAAACCTTTGATGGACGGCCTTCCTCGCGACATCATCCGACTGGAAAGCTCGAAATTTATGACAAGCGCTAACTCCATTCCACCTTCTATTCGACGAGTATGTGACAAAGCGGGGCAGGGCCATGTCTTTCGTTTCGTCAATGCAGGCCGAGTAAATGCTCAGGATGCTTGCGAGCTGGTTGAGACCCTTAGAGAACTCGATCTGCTGCAAATTGTCGATTTGTTTGAGCGATCCACTAAGGCTGACAACGTCGAAAAGAAGATAGTTGACCAGCTGTTACCACTTGAGGAAGGAGTAGTGCATCAGCTGAGAGAAACTGCGCCAGAGGTAAGGACAAATTGGCATGATCTCGGTCTTGAGGCAGTTTCGAAAGGTATGGTAGGCGCCCTGATACTGGGTGGCGGCCAAGGCACACGCCTGGGCTCCGCTGATTGAGATTGTCTTGTGAGCTACGTGATACGTAAGACTCAAATTTGGGAGCACTACGTCTACCAAGAAATCACTACAGACAAAGCTTAGCGTCGTGTGAAGCAAAACTAAGAATTATCCCTGCAAGAACGTACATTGTGAAAAAGTGATTGCAAATATTGGCCGATCCAAAAGCCAACTTGCCTGTGCGAGGGTCCACACGCTCAGACATTTCACGATCGATTTCCGAGTACTCGATCACACAAAAGCGGTCGTTCCTCTTGGCCACAACGCCGACACAAAGCTATCGATTTTCTCTGCAGTAGAAGTTCCAGTGTCCGCTGCAAGAAGCCAAGCTTTTCCTTCTGTGTGCATCATGCAAAGGGCACTGTCGGGAGAATCAACTAGATTTTCTGAAGGATCTTGACCGGCGCAAATTCGGGCTCACGAGGAACAAAGAGGACCGCCATCGGCGATGAAATGGGAAGACGTCAAAATGAAAGGCTTGAGCTTGATCCATGAGTCGCTCGTGGTCGCTGAATATTACGAGACCAGGAAGAAGATTCCGTACGTGAATGATGAAGGCACTGCCATAATCATTCCAACGAGCAACACAGGCATCAAGCTTGAAACCTTTATCTTTGACGTCTTTCCACTTTCCAAGAGTATGAAAGCGCTTGGTGTCGCGCGTGAAGATGAGTTTGCTCCAGTGAAGAACGCGCCTGGCGCAGCTTCCGACTCGCCTAATACTGCGTGCCAACTACGCTCAGATCAATGTAAACGTTGGTTGCTTAACGCAGGTGCGACCTTCGTGATGTTCCTATACACGTTGCACCAGGTATCGGGCTTGATTGCCACGACGTAGTTGCTGTTCTCCGTAACCTTTCGAAAGCCATGCGACTCCAGTCGTCTAGTGTTAGCACAAAGGACATAGCCTGAGTCTCGCTGGGCTGCAGCTAATCTTTTTGAGCTTCTTTAGCATCTTTACTTTTCAAACAACGAAGATAGTACGGCAGGATTACGTTTGCGAAATCATACCGTTGCTGTTTCACGGCGCGAAAAGAAGAACAGTCTCCGAGCAACTCAAGATAAGATGTAGTCGTGTACATTTAGCTAAACCACCCAATACATTTTGGCCAAGCAGGAGGAGAGTTATGCCCATTGACGAAGAAAGTTGGGATCGGTCACAGCAATCTCTATGAGTTTCTTGTAGCTGCTTCGACACCAGATGTTACAAAGAATACATTATCGACTTTATTGCGTTCAAGCCCATAAGATGTGCCCATTTACGAGATAAAGCCACGGGGATACTATCGGTACATGTTCAGACAAATGTTAATGAGACGTACGATTTTGCAGTAGTTGCCTGAATGGCTAGAGCTATATTGGTTTGCGCTTTGGTTGTTGCTTGTTCTTAAAATTAAACATAGAAAACACGGAGCGTCAACGCTGCTTCCAATGATGCAGCCGCCTTAGAAGCTTTGTTTTGAGAGCAATATCTTCGACAAAAAAACGGACCGCTCGAAGGTTTCGGAATCAACGGTGACCCACTCTAACGATGACTTCATGCTAGACATACAACGATCTCCTTTTTTCTGCAGGCCTGGCAGCAGCTCAAAAGTTGATGATTACAATTCATTTGCTTGCCGCACATTGATAGAAAGGCACCAACCGTTACTACCTGATGCCTGGTTTACTGAAGCCAGCATCTTAACTTTGTAAAAAATTGTTACAAAATGAAGTTTCATCGCCACCTTCAATCGCTTTGCAGCGCGTCACGTCTCTTCTGAACGTGCAGTTCACAACAAAAAGACAAGCCGTATCGCGCCACATCGAATGCATATGAAGCTGATTCTGACCGCGCCCACGTCATATCCTACCTTCCTGCCTGGGATGGCCGATGCAGCACTGATCGGATTCTGATGGCGCAGCAGCATCATGTTGCCACCATGATACATGACTGCAACTACAAACTTCGCCATTGTCACAAATATGTAAAGCTGGGCTCCTCACTTTGGCGACAAAACGAAGTTTCGGCCCAAGATATGTTCGTGTCCATCCATGAGTTGTCAAAAGCCCGTGCTGTATGTTGCAAAGGCTGGTTTGCTTGGGCTATGCTAAATGTGAGGTTTCAAGTGTTGTAACCTTTGGCTTGTAATTCTTCAAACGTCCCTGTTAAATCGTAATACTGACCGACAGAGCTGCCTTTGGATTGTATCATCTTGCTTGCTAGCTGTTAGAACGATAAAAATGAGTATGACCTTGACTTTGGCTGCCATCTCAGCCTAGAAGTGATGCATCACACCCTCACCTTCTGCAAAACTCCGATTATTAGCCCTGGCAAATTCAAGCTGTCAATCACCTCAAAGCTACGTCGTCGCAGCAGCATTACGGAGTAAGCCCATGTATTCAGCATGTGTTCTTGCGGCTACGAAGTCCTTCGGGGAACTGCTGGACGCTGGAAATTTCGTCAAGATGGCGAAAGGTATGGAACAGCTTGGGCATAACGCAGAATGAAAAAGCCACTGTACATTTCGTCGCGGCAAACATTACATAGAACAGTGCAGTACTGGTGACTAATCTTGGAATGCAGCAGCTGGTGAATTCCGCGTAGGCGATCGTGGTACTTATAACGAGTCATACTGAGACGAAGCTTACAACATAATGCAAGAGAAACCTTAATAGGGGAATAAAGCTAGCTAGAATAATTGATATCATATAATGCTTATTGTAGCTAGCTATATTCTTTATGAAGGTTTCTTCACTGATTCGAAATTGATATGATCTTTTTATCTTAGAGCGCTGGAATAGACAACATAAGAGCTACTCATTTTTAGCTTTATTCTTACTATACTTTGTAACTCGCTATGTTTTATCTAACTCCGCACTCGAAAACTCCTCAATTTACTTTTCGATTGCAAAAATCAATCTAATATCAAAATGACAGTTCCTATGCTCTCATGGGTAAATATGGTACTTTACTTTCTGCAGCTCGTCGTGAATAAGTTATCAGCACGTAGTATTGGACCCATATCACGACGCTATGAGACACTCATCACGCCGGCGCCTTATGCCTTTAGCATCTGGAGCTTCATCTACGTGTTCGTGGCCGTGACAGTCGTCGTGGACTGCTTCTGGCCCTCTCTCTCCTTCTACTCAAATGCCCCGAACGCCAGTGTACTGCGCTCACTATTTGCTATTTCGTGTCTTATGAACATGGCATGGATCGTCTTCTTTACCAATGAGCACGTGAACGTGGCCACGGTAACGATTGTGGTGCTGTGGCTTTCGCTTTTCGCCCTCTACGCGCACGTTGTGACTGACCGTCGTGACAACGGATTCAACTTCAAGCGTTATATATGCAGTGAGCTAGGCATTGTCATCTACTTTGCTTGGACCTGCGTGGCTACACTTATCAGCTTTGCTGTTACAGCTCAGTACATTGCCAATGACTACCTGTCGCTCACTTCGTACGTGACGCTACTGTCAGTACTGTTGGTGGCAACGCTGTCCGCCGTCATCTACGAAGGTGACCTGGCGTTTGGTGTTGTGGCTATCTGGGCACTGGTTGGTCTTGCAGCCAAAAGCACGGCACTGGAGCCGCGCGTCGAGATCGTCGCGATGAACATTCGCGCTTGCGCCACACAGAGCGCCGCTGTCGTTACTGCTTTCATCGTGATCGTGATTGCGCACAAGTTACTGGCCTCCAAGACGTGAGATCATATAAACGCATTGGCTTATGTGATGGGGATTGCTAACTTTTTGAGTGTTATGTCGTTTGTCTCTCTCCTGACCTGCAATAGGCATTTTCAGCCGGTGCAATTGGGTGCTCCACTGTTCGACGACAAGACATTGCAGAACTTGGACTACGGCACGACTACAAACGTTTAATGTTCTGCTTTATAGCTGCATAAACGGATGTAGATTTATAGTTATCAATGACTGTACTTGCCCTCCTCAATTAAATATTGCGAATGCTTAAAGCAATATAACTAACTACAACCAGTGCTTCAGAATAAAAGGAAGACTTAAAGGAACACAAAGTAGATAATAGGTTAAACGGGGTTACACAAAGGTGTATAATTTACATACACACTTACCACACCTAAATTAGTCGTACCTAAGGTACACAGGGTCGCAACCACGTGGTCACTATACTTATTTAAAGTATAGTGACTATGCATGTTTGGCCAGTAAATAGTGACTAGCACTAAGTATAGAGTAGGTACTTCTATATTTAGTGCTAGAAGATAAACATAAATAAATTATTTTTTTTGCCTGCTCTAAATAGCATTACTGCTAGAGCGTTCTATTCCTTATTGGAATTGTATCTTTAATACTAGTCTCTTGGATACGTGGTTGCTTGCAACCAAAAGGCATAAGCTTGTCAAGCTAGCCTTGGGAAGGCTAAAGAATCCTAAGACATATAAGCTCTTTGAGCTTGTCTTCCTCTGCACGTAGCGTATAAGTAGCTTGGCTACAGTAGCTCGGCTACAGTAGCTCGGCTACAGTATGCCACCAGCTACAACACAATCCTACGTGAAATTTTGTTTGTGGCTGTCGATTAGTAGCAAGCAATATGCATGCGTAAAATAACACCTGTTGACCCCAGCAGTTTACACATTCTCCATCTAAAACAGCATTCGCGTGCTCTGCATGACTTTACTGATCACTAACGTATCGTATCCCGGACTTGTCACTGTACGGCTTGGCTTCTTAGTTTAGCACGGCATATGTGCAAGAGCTGAGAACTCTCATTGCTGCCACAGTCATAGACCCTTTGCCTGAGGCAGTGACCGTCACGGTCTTTATGGAAGGCCCTCGAGTGGGCTTTGCCAGAACGGAAGTCTTCCGGGTAAACTCGTCCTCATTCGAGGAAGCTGTTGGAGTGGGATGAAATGCCGAGACCAACCTTAAGGCCAAGCCACACTTTGCTAGGCCTGCCACTTATAGCTAACTACTCATCTGATGGGTCTGTCTGTACCCATGGACTGCGGTCAAGTGGAGGATGAAGAAAGCTGAGCTTCATGATGCGGAGCAGCAAATTGCGCGCAGATGTTATATCTACAGGAGCACAGACCATGTGATGGAAAAATGCCCTGCAGGAAAGGCATATTTGGTCTCGAAGGGCCGATGCCCCATGAGTAAGCCCTTTGGTTTGCCGCAGTGAAAACGGCGAAACCCAGTAGGCGTCTTAGCTATTTCAATTCACTATTTTTATAATTGGGGCACCCTACTGGGGAAGAATTAAGTTCTTGAGCTTTTAGGAGGTAGAAGTAAACAGGGCCCAGCACCAAAGAGATCCGAACTCTCAATAATGGAACGAGAATGCAAGCTAGGCTTGCTAGTCGTCGAAGGGAAGATTAAGAGCTATGATAAGCCATGGATCATTTTGATCGATTCGGGGGCATCGGGAAATCATGTGCGCCGTGCCATTGTGAAAGATAGTCAGCAGTATGCTGAAGCGCTTGTAGCGCGTGAAAGTGAAAAAGTCACAATTCGCTTGCGACGGATATGCGTATTACGGTACCCAAAGTCCTGATGTACTTAAATGTAAGTTCTTGGACTTTAACAGCATGGAACGCTGTTTGGTCTTAGACCTGGATGTGAGGTATGACCTCATCCTAAATATGGCATGGCTAGAACGTCATAAGCCATGGATTGATTGGAGGTCGAAGACCTTAGGCGCAACGCGCAATGCGCCTGGTGGGGCTATGGAGAGTCATGAACCCACCTCTGCTAGAAAGCAAAAGCGCTTTTGGCGCAGATATTGGACCGAGTCGGTCAATATGTTGGATGTCGGGTTATCCGACTTTGTAGACACTGTAAGTGTCGAGGACAATAGTCCTGGGCGAGGCCCAGTGACTGTCGATAGTGTGGTTGAGAACCCACTAGATGGCACATATGACATGTGTCATGAGAATGATGTTACATCATTAAACACCGTGTGATGGCATTGGTGGCTGCAAGTCAAGATGTCAGGACACCAGTCCGAGTGACATGGGTGACGAGGTACTGAACATGGAGGGTCGGGTGAAGTCACAAATGGATGTTGTCTTTAAAGACAACAAGGTGCAAGCACCTAGTGACGAGGTAATGGTCCAAGAGGGTTGGGTAAAGTCAAAAATGACGGTTGTCTTTGAGGACAATGAGGTGCGATTACCTCAGACAAGGCATTGACTTGACATGGTGGGGTTTAGTCAGTAAACGACGTGGTCTTTGACCTTGAGGTGTGTATACCTGTAGACGCTAATGCGTCGGATGCTATGAGCATCATGAGTAGCTATGATAATATCGTGAGTGACGGTGATAGCGAACAGATATATACACTCGTCGATGGTTTGACTGGGAATGTTGAAGAGCCAGTAGCTCTTTCAGCTATACCCGCAGTAAGATCTCTGTTATAGTGGGAGACGAGTTGTGCTTTGCCGAGTTTAGTAGTGCCTTACAGGCAGGCGACATCGCCGTAGTGGTCGTTATACGACCTGGGAGGAGTTAAACTCCTCATCGCTTTTGGATAAAGCAGTTCTTGAGGATACCAAGAAGGCGCTGAATGCGCGTAGAGGACCGCAGATCCTGAAGGACCCTTCAAATCCTTGTTTTCCTTTGTTGAAGGAATATGGAGATGTTGTATCCAAAGAATATCCTACGAGGTTATCTTTGGATCGAGGTGTACGTCATGAGATAGACTTGGTTCTAGGAACCAAATACTGCGTGACTCGAGTGGCCGCTGCCACGAGAACAATGTGAAGTCATTGACGAGTTGTTTCGTGCGAAGCACGCATCTGGCATGGTACGTGAGAGTAAGTCTCCTCACTCTACGCCCACGTAATGTGTGAAGAAGCTTAATGGGAAGTGGCGAATAGTGCATGCTTACAATAAGCTGAATGCAGCCTGTACCCCGGCTCAAACACCGATTTATCGCAAGGATGTTCTTCAAAACAATATGGTGGGATGTACAATGTACAGTAACCTCGACTTAGTTGATGGATATTACTAACTGCTCATGCAAGCTAGTGATATCCCTCTGACAGCGGTCAGTACTCCAAGAGGTATGCTCTGGGAGTGATTAGCGATGCCCCAAGGGCTTTCTAACGCACCTGCAACGTTTAATCGTCTGGTGACGCAGTTGTTTCGGCCCCATAGGGCGTATGCACAGACATACTTTGACAATATATTTTTTCGTCCATAGTCGAGCCGAAAATGGCAAGCCTGGTGTGGAGAATCACATCGAGCACGTGCGAGCTGTGCTCGGTTGCATGAGGATGCAAAAGTTGTATGCCAATATTGACAAATGCATCTTCGGTGCGGAAAAGATTTCCGTTTTGGGATGCTTCATTGGGAAGAGAGGAATCCGGACAGACCCTGTTAAGGTCAAAGCCATAGTGGATTGGCCGGTTCCGAGAAACCAGAAGGACCTCCGCAAGTGTTTGGGTTTGGCAAATTACTTGCACCAAGTATAGCCACAACTATGCGGAAGTGGCTCGGCCATTGTCCAATCTCCTTAAAATGGATGTGGAATGGCGTTGGAACACCGAGCACCACGAGGCTTTTGAAGCCATTAAGGAGAGTCTCATTCAGGCGCCAATTCTGGTTTTGCCTGATCCTGATCGTCCTTTTACCGTCGTGTGTGACGCTTCGGACCTTTGCCATTGGCAGGGAACTTTTGCAAGCCGACTCTGAGGGTCGAGAACGCGTCATCGCGTTTAAGTCTCGTCAGCTGAAAGCTGCAGAGAAGAACTATCCAGTTCATGACAAGGAGCTACTTGCGATGAAGTATGCCCTTGTTAAGTTCAGGGTACACCTGTTGGGCTCAAAGCCGTTTGTGATCTATACCGATCATGCGTCATTACGCACAGCGACACAGTCGCCTCATCTCTCGCAGAGAATGGCTCGTTGGCTCTCCTTTTTCGCGGAGTATAACCTCAAGGTGAAGTATAAGCCGGGAAAACAGAATGTTTTGGCTGACGCATTATCGCGTAGAACTGACTATGAGCTTGCTCATCTCACTGTTGCGAGTTGGTCAGTAGCGGATCGTATCCGTGTGGCGTATGCACGCGAAAAGGCATGTGTTGCCATTCTGCAGGCGCTGGGTGCTGCAGAGTTTGAAAACTCTAAGGTGAAGCTGTCACCACGTAATCGTGCGAGATGACATCGTTATGCACAAACGATGGTCTGTTGTACTATACTACAGGGTCGTATGACCAGCCTCGAGTTGTGGTGCCTCATGATGAGGACCTCAAGTATCAGATACTTTATGAGGCTCATAATACCCCTTGGTGGTCATTTAGGTCGTGAGAAAACCTACAGCTCGGTGAGCATCCATTATGTGGCCCAAATTGTACAATGGGTTGGTACCTACGTACGCACGTGTGAAACGTGTCAAAGGGTAAAGAACTCGCCTAATATGGATGCGCCTTTAGCGAGTATGCCTGTACCCTTGGGGTTGTGGCAGTCCATTAGTATGGACTTTGTGTTTGGCCTACCGCGTGATGCGGAAGGCAACACTGAGATTGTGGTCTTTGTTGACCGACTGAGCAAGATGGCTCATTTAGCGGCAGCTCCAGACTCCATTGATTGAGAATAAACAGCTAAGCTGTTCATGGATCGTGTGTTTAGATAACACGGATTGCCTGTGGCAATCGTTTCGGATAGAGACCCCTTTTACGTGTAAGTTTTGGACGTCTGTCTTTAAAGTGCTGGGCACTCGACTGGACATTTCCACGGCGGTTCATCCGCAGACTGATGGTCAGAATGAACGCGTCAACCGCGTTGTTGGCGATATGCTTCGCAGTGTTTGTGCTGAAACACCCAAGCAATGGAGCACAATGCTTCCTCTGGTAGAGCTTGCTTTGAACAACGCGGTACATGCCTCGACAGGCTTCACCCCATTCTATGTGAATGGTTTAGTCAACCCTCGCGTTCCGTTAACACTACCCTCTGCCACATCAGAGCGTAGTGGGGGGAGAGATAGCCAAAGGCTTGGCTGATATAAGCCTTGTTGCGATTCGCAAGAAGTTGGAAGCGTTTCTGTCAACGTGTTTTGACGTATTACGTCGCGTCAAAGCCGCTATGGCTGAAAGCCAGGATGTTCAGAAGGAACAAGAAGACGCCAAAGGCAGAAAGAACGATTAAGAGTTCAAAGTGGGTGATTTGTTTTTATTAAATGCTAGGAATTTACCTACTCGTGCTGTTTCTGCGGTATATAAAACCACATTATGTCCAGGCTTTATTGGACCTTTTAAGGTTATAAGCAATAAAGGCTTAGCTCATACTCTGAACCTTCCCAAGAAAGATGCAAGCACACCCTGTGTTCTATGTGGGTTTGTTATAGCCATATCTCAACCCTGCCTCGATGAACTTGGAGGGGTTGTCCCCATATCTCCGACAGAAGGAGGCGGGTAGTACGTTACCAGAGGTGCATATGAACGCTGTGGGCGTAGCAGGAGGTCAAGCTGACACCGAATCACGTCTTGAGAACGCTCTATCGCCGCTATGCGATCCGAGGTCTCAAAGCAATAACGCTCAAAGGACCGACGTTGTCGATCGACACGGTCATCAAGCGATGACAGGTGAGACCTCACCGATGCAAGGGTATCACGTTCCAGGAGCGTCAAGCGACGGTCGATCTCAGAGAGATCAGAGGTCAATGGTTCATCGACCTCCTCCGACGCCGACTTATTGACTGGGTCATCAACAGTTCCACGTGGAACGCCTCTTAGCTCGGTGTCGTCACCAGGGTCATACCCAATACTTGGTGAAGTGGAGGGGTTACCCCCAGTCGTACGACTCGTGGGAGTATGAAGTACCCCTCCGGCAGGATTGCCCTGACGCCGTTGACGCTTTTGACCAGGACGGTCAGAAGCGACGACAGCTGTCGTCGGACGCTTCCTAGCACTAGGTGCTGTGGAAGTAGGTTCAGTAGGCTGGCTTCGCCTCTGACCTTCAGAAGAAGCCAATGTCGGTACATCACTCGAGTGAGAGGTACGGGCAACAGCTTCAAAAGCTTGCTCCTCACAAGTCTTGGACCTGTATGTGGAAGGTAATTGACGTTTCGCTTTGAGCTTAGCAAAGTTAAAACGTAGGCAACGTTCTAACCAAATGTCTTGCGCTTTAGCGCTTAAGCGCAAGTTTGACAAATTTGAGAGCTTACATGCTCGTTCTACCCAACGAGTGAACTGGTGATCATCTTGTGCAAATGTTTCACCTGGTGCAAGCACCACTGGTATGCCATTTAGTGGGTGCACGGGCACCCCACGTGACTGTCGTGACAGTAGCTCTTGATACAATTTCACCGTAAACCCCTGGGGAGTAAGGAGCCGCTTACGAAGATCAAGACTATCTGCATCCCCTCAGGCCGTACGGGCATGGGGCTCAATGCATAGAGGCTCGCAAAGATTGCGATGCAGCTCGTCGAGCTTCCTCATTGGGGTCCCGAGCCACGAACCCATAATCACGACGTGAAAAGGTTTGTTGGGTCGTGCCAAGGCGGCCGCTCGGGCCTCGTCATCAAGTTGACGACGCTGTGCAGCGTCAAGAGGATTGATTACCTCTTCGTCAGTACCCTTTTGCGAGGGAAGTGGTGGCGCTTGGCGCAATGGGGTTGCCTCCTTTTGCGGGAGAAGACACAGAATGGGATCGAGTCCCTCGTTTGGTGAGCGCGATGATCTTGGGGTATTTTGACCTGAAGGAGACTCGGCACCGCTACCCCTAGAGGCAACGTCACCGTCATTGTCCCCAAAGATGTCGCGGCGCATTGCATCATCCTTAAAGCAAGCGCTATAGGGACAAGTGCTTTATAAAGCAAGTGTTCGTGAACACTGTAATGCTTAAAAGCAAGTGCTAGGCACCTTGTGGTGCGAAAGCAAGCGTTCGTGAACACACAAAAGGTATTAATACCAAAGTGCTTGGCACGTAGCGCTTATAAGCAAGTGTCGTAACACTTAATGCTTTAGCGTGAGTGCGATGCACTGTATGCTGAAAGAGCGAATGTCGTAACACAAGGATGCTTATAAAGTGTGTGTGCAATGCATGGGTGCTCAAAGAGCAAGTGTCAGAACATTGACGCTTTGTTTGCAAGTGCAAGCACTTATTGCAAGGCAAGCAAAATGAGAAGAAAATGAAATCGATGCCTTCAATCATGTGCGAAATTCGTGGGTACGTCGGTACCCACGGATTGGTGGGGGAGGGTGTAACGGGGTTACACGAAAGTGTGTATTTTTTACATACACATCTGCCACACCAATGTGGTGTGGCTGTACCTTGGGTACAAAAGTAGGTGATGTGACCGTACCTGAAGTACGAAGGGTCGCATCGTGGCCGAGAGCCACGTGGTCACTATACTTATTTAAAGTATAGTGACTATGCATGTTAGCATAATAATAACAGGCTATAGAGCCAGTAAATAGTGACTAGCACTAAGTATAGAGTAAGTGCTTCTATATTTAGTGATAGAAGATAAACATAAATATAAATCAGTCTCAAACCTGCTCTATAAGCCTTACAGCTTGAGCGTTCTATTCCTTTAGAAGGAATCTGTATCTTTGATACTAGTCTCTTTGAGACACGGTTACAATAACCGATAGGCACAAGCTTACGAGCTAGCCTAGGAGGGGTTAAACACCCTAAGACCTAGAAGCTCTTTGAGCTTGTCTTCCTCTGCACATAGTGCATAAGTAGCTTTGCTACAGTAGTCTGACTACTTCTTCTGCACATAGTGCATCTGCACATGGTGCATAAGTAGCGTAGCTACAGTAGCTCGGCTACATTTAGGGAAAATTGCTGGTTCCTAGAACAAAGAGACTTTCTCAGTTTGAGTTTTTATCTAGCTTTTGCCACTAGCAGCCCCGCTGCACTAATACAACAATGCGTCTCAGATGAAGTTGTTCACTTTGTTAAGAACGTGATGACCAATTTTTTTAGTGTTGTTGAATCTAAACACGTTACTTAGAGTATTCTAAAGGGTTTTAAATGTCAATATAGCGTAGCCTCATATAGAAAAGGCGACGATTTGACTATCATGATAAGCTCAAAAATGTTTTGTTTAGCTACTTGTTACAGCTCAGAAAATACTGCAATATTTGCTGTCTTAAAAGGTGATCCTAATTCTGAGATAAAGATAAAAAGCAAGATGACATTGTAGCCTAAATTTCCTCTCACACACTTTGTGTATTTTCCAACCAATTCTCAAAACCCATTTGTTTGAAAATGATTTAATTTACGGCTTAAGGATGGTGTATTCAAATGATGGGAGCAAATAATCTTAACCTTCACTCTTGAATTTGTCAAGCATGTGGCAACGTAGCAGCAAGGCGTTAAGCCAACGTCTGATGCTGAATGAGGAAGTATCAGAGGCATTGTATGGCCGCATAAAGAAGCCCGTGGTAGCACTTGAGTCTACTATCATTTCGCATGGAATGCCATTTCCACAAAATTTGGAGATGGCAACGCACGTGGAAGCAATTGTACGTTCTCACGGCGCATGTCCTGCCACTGTGTGTATCGCCGATGGATCAATAAAGGTGGGACTGGTGGAGAAAGATCTGACCCAGTTGGCAAAGCTAGGCACCAGTGTCAAGAAGTGCTCAACAAGAGACATTGTGGCGACAGTAATGGACAAAACACTCGTAGGTGCGACTACTGTCTCAAGTACAATGTGAGTTCAACTTGTTGGTGATGTGTCTCATCATTTCAAACGCTCAATTGATGTTGTCGCTCTTTGTGCAGGCGTATTTCACATGCAGCTGGGATCAAAGTATTTGTAACAGGAGGCATTGGAGGCGTGCATCGTTTCTGTCAAGAGACAATGGGTATGTCACTGAAGCCAATGTAGTTACATGTAAAAACTTTATTTGTGATTTAAAGTCTTAGCTAACATCTTTTTCATGTAATGTAGATATATCGACGGACTTGATGGAGATATCGCGAACACCCGTGGCGGTAGTGTGCGCCGGTATCAAGTCCATTCTAGACATCCCACGCACGTTAGAGTTTCTAGAGACTCATGTAAGGCTAAAAGAAACAACGGGCGCCGAAGATATGTACTGCTATGTCTGTCTTTTCTTGTATGACACGATGCTGTAATATGTTAGAGCGTGCCTGTGATTGGATACAAGACAAACCAGTTTCCTGCTTTCTTTACGCAAGATAGCGGCGAGAAAGCGCATTTGTGCCGGGATACACCTCAGGAGATTGCACGTCTGATTCATGAAAGTGAAGCGCTAGGGCTGCCAAATGGACATATTATTGCCGTTCCCAATCCAAAACCTATGCCTTCTGAGCTTATCAATGAAGCTATTGAGGTGAGCACCTAGTTTTGCATCGCTAGATTCCCGGTGGTGAGTGATAAGTTCTAACCTATATAGGTATATTATACAATTGATTTGGTTTTCTACTAGCTTGGCCTCAAGGAAGTAGCTGAACAGGATATTCACGGCCAGGCCGTCACGCCTTACTTGCTGAAGCGCGTGAACGAAATCACACAGGGCGCGTCTCTTTTGTCGAATATCGATTTAGTTAATAACAACGCAACTGTCGGCAGCCAGGTACGTACTTTAGTAAGACTTTGTGGTACACCGTTGTTACTGTTCATAATTGGACGCTGCAGATTGCTTGTGCGTTATTTGATTTAGAGAGTGGCTTCTTGGGAAAGTACGCCGCAACTGAAGGAGGCGTTGTTTACTCCATGCCGGACGAAAAGGTGTGAACCTGTTTGCATTTACGCAGCCGCCAGAGGTAGTAACAACTTGATTTGACGTACAGACTTTTTCGTCGGTGAGGTCAAGCAATGGTAAACGCGTTCTCGTTGTCGGTGGTCTTGTTCTCGACATCATTAGTTTTTCTACGTCGCCTCTTATTCGTTGTACCTCCAACATTGGTAAAATCAAGCAGTTTAGTGGAGGTGAGCAACTATGTATCATTCGGATTTCTTCGTTGCTCATGCTGGCTTCCTTCGTCATGTTTGCTAGGTGTCGGAAGGAATATTGCTGAATGTCTTTGCCGTCTTCGGCTGGACCCTTTGCTCGTGTCGTCGGTGGGCAATGATACTTCGGGCTCCATTCTTTTGGAAAATTTAAAAAATCTTGGTATGGATACTAGTGGTATTACAGTGTCAGATAAGCATTCTACGGCTATCTACTCTGCTGTTTTGAATTCCAGTGGAGACATGGATGCTGCAATTGCTGATATGAGTGCACTTGAGTCGATTGTAAGTGATCAATGCTAGCGTACTGTTTCTGATTACAGCAGTCGAATGTTCTGATGTGTCGATGCAAAATTAGGCAAGCCAGGACATTTCTGATGAGGTGATCGGCAACGCATTGCTTGTAATTGCGGACGGCAATTTAACCCCAGCTTGTATAAGAGATCTCTTCAAGAGAAGTGCTCGCCTTGGCGTCGGCACTTGGTTTGAACCAACATCTGTGCAAAAAGCGCTCCGTGTTCTTGATGGAGACGTTATATCATTCGTGCAGTATATGTCACCGAACGCTGACGAGCTTCACGCGATTAGCACGGCTCTTTGCCAGAAGCGCGAAGAAACAGATATTTGCATTGACACGGGATCACAAGAACGTTGTGCCATCATTAACGAATCGGACGAAATTACCTTAGAGGAAATGGCTTGGCTGAAGGAAGACCTTTTCACAGGTATGAATGCGTAATTGCAATTAAACTGAGCCAAATTGGTTGATGACTAGCGCTTCTGATGGTTTAAACAGCCTTGCTTGCCATGGCAAACGGTGATATCAAAAGGCCTAGGCACATTTTGGTCACGCTAGGCAGGCATGGGGTCCTGGTCGCTTCTGTTAATATGTGTATGCATGACCTGCGGGAGGTTTTGGATAGTTATGACTTTCCCTCTGAAATTTGGGGCATGCACCATCTGCACGGTCACTCGATCATAATGGTGCATCTACCCGGCGTGGAAGTCTGTGTCGAGAATTGCACCGGAGCCGGTACGGGGTAGCTGCAATTTCTTTGTGCTTGCTACAGCTTTTGACAGTAAAACCAACTTTGATCGTATTATTTACAGGTGACAGCCTGGTTGGAGGGACGGTGTACGGCTTGCTGGAAGGACACGATATTTTCCAGAGTTGCCATATGGGCATGATCGCTGCCCGACAAAGCCTTTCGTCTGAGCATGCCATCAGTCCAGCCTTGGCACCTCATGTTTTGCACTCTAAATTTTGACGGACATGATGGATTTAAAGCAAGAATGTGATACTGAACTCGACATGAGTATAAAATCTTATAAATGACAGCACCAGATTGACAAGTAGGTTCATTTTCATGAATGCTAGTGCAGTGTTCATTGCTGTTGTTAATGAGTGTACCGCAACTCCACTTTCCACTTCGTTCTATTGTTGTTGAAAATCCTTCGCAAATACGCCAATTAGTCGCAGCACCTCTTTCTGCAACCCGCTATTTTTCTTCGCAACGAACGCCTGCACAGCACCTTGTTCGCTGGCATCGCTGAGCGTCGTGGTCAAACTACACGAGATCTAGAGAACAAGCCATCAGCAAAATCGTCCATGTTTCAACAAAAAGCGTGACACAATGATCATTCAACACATCCAGCTATCGTACCTCATAGTCCTCGTCATTCGAGATGTCGTTCATTTCGTACAAGCCCTTGCATATACTTCCACCGCTAACCGAGACTTCAAAGGGCAGTTTGAAATTGAAGTCAAACAAATACCGCTTCTTGCCTCGCACGACGCAAATACTAGCATCACCCATGATCTTCTCCGGCGCCTTCAAAGTTGCCTGCATATTGTCTTCCATATAACGTGCACCCGTAAAAACCTCGCTCCACTTTTCCTGCGCCCATTTGGTCACTACACGCTCTTCAAAAGTGCCAGCTGTGTTCCACGCAGACCCATCATGTTGCGCTGATGTTGCCTACAATAGCCATATTCACAATATGTCAATAAACACACGCCACTCTCTACTGATCAATTCTCAGCCTCCTCACCACTACACGCTTTGTCTCAATCTTCTGAGGGGCAATGTCACCAATTAGATTTTTCTCCTCCTTTGACAATTCTCGATGAAAATATGGTAGTCCATTCTTATATCCCCGCATATCTTTTGGTAGGTCTGGTTCATCATCTACCACAACCGACGTGTCATTGCCTTTTTTGACCTTGTTACTACTCGACGTCGTCGACTTTTTCTTCATTGAATAAGAGCTCGATGGTGACGAAGTGGAACTTGATGATTTCTTCATGGGTCTTGAATCTGATTTCTTGGAAACCTCCGGCTTCTTGCACGTGCGCTTATGGAATTGCCAGTCACTTGCCTGACACTTGCGCGCACAATAGACAACCTTCTTACATACGCTACACTTGAGTTTGGCCCCATTTTTACTGCAATTACGGCATCTTGAATAATCATCTACAGCAGACGATACTTTCGCTGCAGTTGTTTCCTTGTCTTCATCCTCTGAGTCAGTGCTACCAATGTCTTTGAAACGTGAGTAATCATTTACATCGACTTTCACCTCTTTTGTACGCTCAATGAAAGAATTAACGTCACAATTCTCATTATTCGTCGCAAGTGGAAAAGGATTCGAGCCTATATCAAAATTTGCAGCACTTGTAGGAGGTACGGACGTCATTGGAGCTACTCAACTACTTGCGCTTTAATTTCGTATTCACGTGTGTAATTCCTTTTTCGTTCAGGCATTGATCGAATTTTCTCGATAATCAAGCAATTCTTCGTGAATTAAGGAGATGGGGTGTATTTTATCCAAATTTCAAACACCATTTTGTCATACTGTTGTGCTGATATTTCATTCAGTGTGATCGAAAATATTCGCACTAAATTATTTACTTGAATAAATAATAAGTATAAACCTTGGAGCGAATGGAAACAATTATCACACCTCAGTCATCAATAAATTATTGCAATATACCCTATACTGACATCAACAATCAATAACTTATTGCAATCTACGTATATTGCAACAAGTTATTGATCACAGCAACCATCTTGCTTATCAGAAAGTTCAAACACTAAATGTGTGGTGTCCTGCATGACGAAACAGGCTTACACGTATTTACCCATTTGCATGGTAGCTAGTCAGCAGCAATCAAAATATATCTTGCTCACTTGCAGCAATGCTAGCAAATTGTACGGTAAACTTGGGCCGCCTCCAATATCCACGTACGATTCACGTACCAATAGAAAACCCGCGTGCAAGTCAACTACCAACTGCTACATTGGCATACCAGTTTCTCGCCTTCGATATGAAACGCGCTTTCCAAAATTATCCTGGCGCGGACAATACGTTATTTGATAAGGACTTGTACTATTGCCTAGTTCTGGTGGAGCTATTGCTTATGATATGCACAGTAATAACGAAACGGCAGCTTTGCATTACGTGGGCAAGAAGGCGGTATCCCTTTGATGTTAGTAGAATTAACTTTCAATCAGAGATATATCAGTGGTGGTGAACATGTTGATTCCAAGGACCTCGTCCACAGTGATCTTGACACGGGAGGACAACTACGTCGTGGCAATCAAGCCCGATGCCTGTGCAACGTGTATACGAACATCACGAACCCGCTTTGTTCGGTGTTCAAGATTGATACCATACGTGACAATTTGTTCTTTCTCATCCAAATGTTGCTACCACGGCCCATCCCGTTGTTACTGACTCCATCAGTGGTCTCAGCACGGCAAAAAAAGGACCAGGAATTGCTCAGGCAGCAAGCTGAGAAAACTGTCCCAGACTTCACCACGTGCGTACTGAGCTTCGATACTGTATCCTAAACAACACCACGTGCGTACTGACGATTTTGAAATCAGATTGTGATCTGTAGTTTGGAACCTGTCTTTTGTAATATTATTTCATTCTAATGCATCTCAAATATTAATTCTGAAGGTTACTTATGGCTTTGTGCATCTGAAATAACAGCAGTTTCAACAGCTGTTAATGACATGTCACATCTACTGCCTACTTAATGCAGTACGTACAGCTAGCGACAAATAGACGTCGTGACGATTTATGCGGTTTGCAGAAACAGGCAAGATACGGGTCAAATAGTCAGATAAAGCACCAGCTTCATATTCCACCATACCAGGATATTCAGACACGTATTGTGCCTATTGATAATGCATTTAATTTGTTTGAACTAAGCTCTTTCTTTTATTGTAATTTTTTGTGCAACCCACTTGCCTAAGGATGTAATTGCACATGATGTGCTAGATTGTGGTCTGAAAAGCACGTTGGATAGGGTCCTATCCGCATTGCAACAGCTATGTGCCATTCTACGATCAGCAGGATTAGACATGAGCAGTTCCTATGATGTTATCATGATGGGATCTAGTCTATCCAGAGTATTTGCTTTACAAGATTGGATGGGATTCTATCGACCACGTACGATTGACATCATGCGTTCCCGCCTCCCGACAAGGCACAAGTTATTCATAGCTCACTTCTCAATCTTCGCACCACCCCGCACTACATCCGAAAAGATAGTCTCAACGCGAACGTTAACGACAAGCAATGGTCAAACTGTTTCTACGCGCGGCAGCCGCTGTTCTGTCGCTCAGCACAGTCGTGGCTACAAGTATTTCTCTTTCTCCTGAGGAGATAGCGCTGGATGCAAGGGCTCAATCCATCGTCGATAGTTTCACGGTGGAGCAAGTAGTCGGTCAAATGACGCAGCTTGACATCAGCACCGTCGTAGACAAAACGACTCATGTCCTCAACGAAACCGCGTTGCGAGCATTTGCGAAGCAGTACGTTGGCTCCTTCCTTAACACTATTTGGGAAAAACCTATAGATGGCAAGTATGGCTGGACTGTCACGGAATGGCGTGACCTCATCACTCGTATCCAGAACATTACTATGAAAGAGAACTGTGGTCATCCAATGATCTACGGTCTTGACTCGGTGCACGGTGCCAACTACGTCGAAGGAGCCGTGATCTTTCCTCAACAGATCAACAGTGCCGCGAGTTTCAACCCCGATCTGGTCTACAAAACCGGACAAATTACAGCTCAGGACACCCTAGCTGCTGGAATTCCATGGATTTTTGCACCAATTCTAGACATCGCGCAAAATCCGCTTTGGGCTCGTAACTACGAGACGTTTGGTGAGGATCCCCACTTGACGTCGGTGATGGGAGACGCTATCGTGCGAGGGCTCCAAAGCAACAATCAAACCGCTGCCTGCATAAAACACTTCATCGCATACTCCAAAACCGCCACGGGCCATGATCGCCAAAACGTCGACATAGGCGACTTTGATCTTCTCAACTACTTCATGCCTCCGTTCAAGGCAGCCATAGATGCTGGTGCCTTGTCAATGATGGAAAATTACATTTCAATCAACGGTGAACCAGTGATTGCAAACTCTCGCATACTGAAGGACTTGCTTCGAAATGACCTTAAATTCACTGGTTTCCTCGTTTCCGACTGGGCCGAGATCAATAACCTGAAGGATTTTCACCGCATTGTCAACAACTACGAGGATGCTGTGGCCTTGTCGTTAAAGCAGACATCGCTCGACATGAGCATGGTGCCTAACGACTCGAAGTTCATTGACTACGCGCTGAGCATGCTGAAGAAGCACCCAGAACTTGAAAGCCGACTGCGCGAGTCTGCCAAGCGTATTGTAAAGACAAAGCTGAAGCTGGGTCTTTACAAAAATCCTGTTCCCGGTATGGATCTCGTCTCGATGGTGGGCAATGACGATAGCAAAACTGCTGCACTGAACATGGCTCGCGAATCTATCGTACTCCTACAGAATAATGACAGTGTTCTCCCGCTGCCCAAAGATGCTTCCGTCTTCCTTACTGGCCACTCTGCTGACGATGTTGGTAATCAATGCGGTGGATGGACGAAGTTTTGGCAAGGATTGTCGGGTAACGATATGTTTGCAAACGGGATCAGCGTTCACCAGGGTTTTGAAAAATTGGTTGGCAACGGCTCCTACACTTACCATAACGAATTGTTCGCAAACGGCTCGCTGTCGGACGCAGCTCTAAATAAAGCCGTAGAGCTTGCCAAAAAGCATAAGTACACGGTTGTTGTTATCGGTGAATCACCTTACACTGAAAAGCCGGGAGACATTAATGACTTGGCGCTGCCTGAAGGCCAGATAAACTACGTCAGGGCTCTGAGTCAAACCGGCACGATAGTGATCACTGTTTTGTTCCAAGGCCGTCCGCGTCTGCTTGGCTCGATCCCTGTCGACTCAATGGCCGTCATTAACGGCATGCTTCCCGGTGAGCTCGGCGGCCAAGCGATGGCTGAGATTATCTTCGGTGATGTAAACCCGAGCGGCAGATTGCCAATCACGTACCCGAAGGACCCTGCAAACGTTGCCATCCCATACAACCGCCGCACGTCAACTCGCTGTCCCGATGGTCCCTGCCAGATGCAATGGAATTTTGGGTCGGGTCTCAGCTACACGCAGTTCAATTACTCCAATGTAACCTTCGATACCACCAATATTACCAATGCGGCCGGCACAGTCACTCCAACGGTGACCGTCACGAATGTGGGTACTCGTGCTGGCAAAGAGACAGTCATGCTGTTTGTAAACCAACCGTATCGCTTACTCTCGGTGCCAGAAGCGAAGCAATTGAAGAAATTCAAGAAGATTGAGCTGCAGGCCGGTGAGTCTATGAAGGTTTCATTCACGCTGACAGTTGATGATTTGAGCGTGTACGTCCCACAGATTGGCAAGGGTCTGCTGCGAGCGTTTGAGAACACCAGGTATGCTGTAGCCATCAAGCCAGAAACGGTCTGCTATGTCTACGACAGCGAACCGTTGGGCGGGTTGTGCGGCGAATTCAACGTCGACACCGGCGGTGGTCCAGCTACCATCAACTACGCGCAGCTTCCTTAAACCAAGAATTAGCAATTCTCTCAATACAGATTCAGCCCTTGTGGCTTTTCCTGTTTCATTTAATTTGTCGATGTTATCAAAGACAAATACGCCCCAACGTATGAGCCTGTTACCAACGTCTTGGTGTTTGTACAAGCATCTTGTACACTGTTAGTCATCAATAATTGATGTTATGTCTATACCACCTTGATCCATTAATACGTTCTCAATGAGCTCCTGGCTAGCCGTGATGTTGCCCGCCACGGTTCCCAACATGAAGTCTGTTAGTGCACGCACAGCTGCAGGGTCATATACTGTATGACTCTCCTTCTCCGGCGACACCAGTGAGCATAATTGCAGGAGTGAAAATTCATGATATGGCGTGGATACCTGCGCTTTTTTAGTGAGAGCGTATCCTTGATGACGAAAACCAAGACCCCTAACACGCTGATCGTCAAACTCGAGCGGAACGACACTCGCTATCCAGATAACGATCTCGCGGTCGTCTTCCACATATCGTCGCAGTACCTGCTTTGCATGAAAATCTGCACGTGCGTTGTCGGCAAAAAACTCCTTTGCAAAGTCTTCAATGATCGTATCCGGTGCATCTGGTGTCGCCAAGCGCTGTATAAAATCGGAAATCACTGTCAGATACGCGCAAAATACAGTAACAATATCAAACATGCTCTTACCCTTGCCACCTTTCCTTCGTACATGTTACCGCGATGTTTCTCTGCTCCCTTAAAGTGGTCCCACACCGCTTGTGCCGTTGCGTGCATGCCAAAAGGCATGACTTTGTTTGCATAGATATCGAGGTACATGTGGTCAGCGCCTTCGCGCATCCGAGCGTCGCGATGCGTGATCTCGCTCGTTGCCATTCCATTCACAGCAAACACAGTGTCCACCTCCCGATACGCTCTATCCAAATGCGCCAGCAAGTCCTTAAAGTCATTCACATCAGCGCGCAAGTCCAATGTGCGTCCCTGAGAATACTTGGATTGCTTCGTCTGTGACAAGCTCGAGCACTCGATAATCTGCATCGTAAATACACATACACTCGATCAAAATACCTAAGCCTTTCTCCATTGTCATTCCGTTTCAAAGTTTCCCAACCTGTTGTTTTAATCGCTTCTGTAGCAAACTCTCCAACCCCTTTGCCATCTTAATCTGATTCTCGAAAATAAGTTTAAGTCGAACGTTCTCTCGCTCGACTTTCTCCCTCCTTCTGCGTTGACGACACGCCAGTTCCTTCCATACTGTTGGTATCTGAACTGTCTGTTGCGTAGACACAGTCTCTTGTTTCTCGCTATCACGACCACTAGCGTTCGTTTGCGCTCTTGGATGGAGCTTAAGCGCTCTCAATTCCAGCTCCATCTGCTTTACCTTTTCCCTAAGGTAAGCTAGCTCAATCTTCCGCTCGTTTCTGGCTTTGTTCGGATCACCTCTAGTCACAGACTTCTTTGGTCCAGTCGTCTTTTTCCTATTCTTAATAATCGGCTTTCTCTTTTGTCCTGGCATGGGTAGACCATATTCAAGTCTAATAGGTACCTCATTCAATAGCTGTAATGATGGAGAAGACGGAGATGTGATGTTAGTGTTTCTCACAGTTTCCATGGACACAAGGTTTTCACCCCCTAAGGTTAATTCGAGTGGTGTGCTATTGGATGATAAGAGCTCAATGTCAGAGACTGACGAGGACATTGTAGACGACGACATAGTAGTAGTAGCTGAAGAGGCACCATTTGTAGCAGGGGATGACGTAAATACAGAAGTATCAATTGAGTACTGCTCCACAAACGACAGTGCTGCCTCAAAAGCGCGCATGGCGTCGTCATTTTCAAGAAATGCCATACTAACTTAATGAAAATGCTTTGAAATGGAACGATATAAGAAGAAAATAGTTCTATTCAATATATTAATGGGCATTGAGTAGGTTTGTCGTGAAGTAGTACTTCTGATTCCATACGAATGATAATCAGATAGGGTTGAAAAAGAGATAAAAGTTGCTACTGTCTAGTCTTAATACTACTACTATAAGCACGTCTGTTGTTTTGCTTACAATAATATCTTGCGCTTTCTTTGATACAAATATTTATTCTAAACTTTGAATTCAGAAAATGTCATAGCAATTTTTGGTGTGAAAATGAAAGACCTGTTTACAAGAAAAGTATTGATCATAAAGATCGATATTGACAACTAGTAACTAGAAATATATGAATAGTACAAAAAGTGAGTCGTTCATTCGATATGAATATGTTGAAATACTTGATGCAAGTAAGTATCGGAAGTAAAGTAAATGGAAATTTGATCCTATGTTCACCATTTATTTGCTACCTCAAAGCCTATCCTTGAAGTCGATCCTGGCGCAAGTGGCGTATCTTTCACTTGACTTGAAGCTGCAATGACGACCTTGTAATGTATTTATCTTTGGGTAATCAAGCTTTGTGTATTGGAAGTGTTTTACAATGTCGTTCTTCATATAAGTTGCATACTGACAACCATTAATAATAGTTCAAACATTGCGAAACAATGCGTTGACGAACGTAGGTAAAGCGATTTCCAAATGAGTTCATTGACGACGCGGTACACGTCACTATAAACCACAGCTGTATGTGGTAGCTTGTTCTTCTCGTTATCTCTCTCGTAGATGCCGTGTTTTTTTTCAATGGATAATAAAAGCTGGTTGCGTCGATTGCGAGTTCGACGACGAAGTTTGAGTAGAAACTGTTGAGATTTCGTGATGGCGCGTTGTCAAACAGAGACGAAAACTTTTTCGCTGTAGCTCGTCGACAAAAGATAGCGCAGTAGTTTCGCACGCATGGGCGTCGTCAACCTTCAGGTCTCTCCAGTTGTGATGTACAAAACAACTGTGTAGAACGATTTGCCAATGCAGCAGCATTACAGACACCGGTGGCCGTCGCGCTGAGTCTCATTATCACGTGCTCGCAATGTTGCTCGAGATCCCTCCACGATCGACTTGCCTTCTTCCAGTAAGACAGTATTGCTGCGAGAACCTGCCGGCATCATCTTTAGGCAAAAAATTTGTGTCTGCTTGGTCAACAAGTTGATGCACAGCTTGTGCTCTGCACGGCACATACTTTGGTACAATGGCTCTGTCTCGCTCCAATGTGCACACACTCATAGCTGCAACGTCATTTAGTGCCTTATTCAGCTAACTATACATACTGTACGAGGACGTCATGATTCCTCGCCGTCGTAGCTGTTTGTCAACAAGAGCGTTCTCAATGCAGTCTTGATGAGCTTGCATCTTCTGCGCTGCAGTGACAATGAGGAAGTTGGTGACCGCGCGCACAGTTTCAGGTCCATACGTGGCCACCGCTTCCGGTTCCAGTGAGATCAGCGAGACGCACTGCAGCTGAGAGATCTCGTGCTCCGGGGTCGATGCAGATGACCGCTTTGTCACGGCATAGCCGCGAAGATGGTAAGTGAGTCCACGCAGCATCTTATGCTTGATTTCGACAGGCTCAGCCACGGAAACCCAGATAACGATGTCGCGGTCAGGCTCCATATAGCGACGTACAAGTTGCTGCACCTTGATGTCTGCTCGGGCATTTTTGGCGTGCATCTCCTTCGTGAACTCTTCGATGATCGTGTACGGGTCGCTGAGGCTCTGATGACGACGTCCATTGCAACAAACCAAAAATGTTAGAGCAATTTTCACGACACCAATAATCTAAGCATCACAACCTTTGCTGTTTTCTCGTAGATATTGCCATTTCCAAGGTGCTTTTCACTTCCCTTAAAGTGATCCCAAACAGCTTCAGTCGCAGCGCGTAGTCCAAAAGGCAACACCTTGTTCGAGAACGCTTCGAGGTATTTGCCGTCAACACCTTCGCGAAGATGTACGTCTACAGGAGTAAGCACCATGTTTGCCAGACCGTTGGAAGCAAAGACAGCATCCACTTCTTCACGTGCAGTCTCAAGATGTCGAAACAAAAGCGGAAAATCTCCTGCACCACCACGTCGAGAGATCAGCATGCGGGCAAAATGCTGGTTAGCGGAGCCAAAGTCGACGAAAGAAGAGCAATCACTTGTCTTGGCCAAAGCATACACACTAGATATTAGTACACACTTTCCTTTCATGTCAAAACAACAAGGACGCACCAATTGCCCAGCTCGCTTTCGCACCAAGTTTCGCATACAAGTGGACGCCTTTTGCTGATGCTGTACGGCAAGTTTCAAGCGAGCATTTTCACGCTCAGCCTCTTTTAGTCGTCGTTGCTGTCGCACAGCAATTTCTCCCCACACCTTTGGGATCCGACATGCGGAATCCGTTGCATCGAAAGGTTTCTCTGCTACGAACTGAGTGCCAGTAGGTGTTTGTCTGTTCTTTTGACTTTGTAAAACCTGCAGATCGAGTTGAAGCGTCTCAATTCTTTCATGGAGATAAGCAATCTCTAGTCTGCTATTTTTGCTCATTCCATTGGCATCTTCGTAGATACCAGCCTTTCGTAGTAACTTCTTCCGCTCTTTGTTCTCCGTTCGTCGTCTCAACACCGTTTGATTCGAAGCTCCCACCATGTGATTCGTAGTCGGAGCTGCAATAGCTGAAAACGCAGACGTCATTCCGTGAGCTCCGACTGATGTTTCAACTCCGGTGATGATGTTAACTGTTGGTTTCGAGGTCCATTCATTTTCTTCACGCAACGTCATGGCAGTCGGCTTTAGTGCTGCCACATCTTCCATCTCTTTGTCCTTTCCATCCTCATCATCATCCAGCATACATTCATCTACGAATGACAACGTCACTTGAAAAGCTCGAGCGTCCTCGTCTTCCAGAGCCAATGTCATGATGGCAAACCCAGTTTCCGAACTGATGGGTTTGCGTATTGGCTGTCTCGAGTATAGTCCAGACTATGTATGGCACGCGTCTATACTTTGTCGTAGCCGCTGGACTCTTAACATGATGTCAATGTAATTAGAATATGCAAGAGGGTAAACGTGATCACTCATACGATCAAGTCACACTGGCCATTCAAATAAATCTTTGCTTCTATTCCTGCTTTCTAACACTAGCTGCCTGCCTGGCCATTTAAATAGCTGTGAATGCGAGAATGTTCAATGCAATCTTGGTATCTTTTGCATCTTCATAGCTACGCTTACGAGGAGAAAGTTTGTGAGAGCTCAGATAGCATCAGCGTCTAGTCGTGCCTCCATCTCTTTGTTGAAGAAATAGCGAGCACAGGTTTCACTGCTCGCTATTGCAGCAGTGAAACCTGTCGAGGAGGAGATTGCTTCCTAACGGTCTAGATTTGTGCTTTGTATCGTAACCCTTCGGCTTGGTGTCAGCTTACAAGATAGTCATAATGGCGAATGATACCGTCATGGTGAGGGTGGTGCATGTGATACAAGTCTACCTGCTTTACTCTTACGTCTGCATGGGCACTGTTTCCAGTGTATTCTCTTTATCAAGTCTACGCAAGAAAATCGCGTAGAATAGATAACCCACACATCCTGAAGAGTACAGCGTTATCACATATAGCTGACAGCCTTCCGCAGTCTACCTATACTATCGTTACGAATAAACACTGCTATTGCCTGTACACTTTTCTCCTTTCCAAATGTATTCACGCTTAGTTTTACGACATGTTGTAGCCTGAACGGTACTGTTTGTTTCAAACAAGAGCTTTACATCCTATCCTTCCTACTCTGTTTTATACTTACTGCTATTGCTCATTGTCCTTCATGCTGTCTATTAGCCATTCAGTACATAAACGTCATCTTTAGATCTCAATGAACTTTGTCCGTCCGAGTAGTAAAAAAGTCGTTGAATTTCGAAAATATCTCCATGATTGCAAATTTTCAACATTGTTAGCGGAATTGAAATGGCTGCAACGCTTTTGACAGCGTTGCCCATACTTTTTCCTCAGACATTGATGTGGTCCACGTGATATGGTCACTCCAATGTTTTTTGTAATTTTTAACTCATGGGCTTTGCGCACTCACTCGAGGTGCTGTGCGCGCTTCTACGGCTTTATACTACGATTTCAAGCAGCACTAGAACATCATCATCCTTTCTTTTAGGTGAAACCCATCCTCATCTGCAGCAGCGTCTACAGCAAACGCTTCGTGCTGTAGCTCTTACGATCTTTGGCACTGTCTGTCTTTCTCTGTTGCTACTGTGTCTCCTACCAGTGCTTTCTCCGTTTAAAACTTCCTCATTGACTGGATTTTTACTGGTTCTTGGACTTCTATGGACAGTGACTGTTAGTCAATTAACGCTAAGATACGCATTACTGCCTACGTCGCGTCATATGAAGGCCGAGCCGGTTGTCAGGCCCCCCGGGAGGCTTCAAACTGCCGTCTGCGCCGTGCTAGACATTGTAGCTCGTATGCATCAGCAGCCACAGCTTTTAGTGCTATTTCTTCTTTGTGTAATTCACTCGTACATCTGGAAGCTTGTGCTGTACTATGGGATGGCGTCCAGCGCTCAAGTTGCTGAGAACTTTGGATTGTTCGCTATAGCTGGTGGTTTTGTGTCTTTTGTGTCATTTGTGATGGTTGAAAAAAGTCTGGGAGAAGATCCATTCGTCTTGGACCCGCATGCGGCTTTTGTGAAAGCCATGCAGAGAGATGTGGTGCGTGCAGTACGTCGTGGAGTGTTGGTCAACGTCGTGGGACGTGTGCTGTGCTGGTTATTCTCTAGCAGCGAAGAACTGGGTGCCGATACAAGAGAAGCTGGGTTTCTTTCTTTGCATGCGTCGAGAACAGGATTCCAGCTTGCAAGCAGTGCGCTAGAGAACTTGGCCACTTTAAGTGCAGCTTCGGTGTTCCGTATACTGCTCTTTCGTGCAACGTACCAGATTGTGGATAGCGGCTACGGCACTAACAATCTATGGGACTCGCTTGTAGTTGTAAAAGTAAAGGATGGGGATGTTGCAGGAGCGCTTTTTGCGACTGAAGTTATTGTAGTTCCGCAAACTAGCACACCGCTTCATGAGCAATATTTGCAGGGTTTGCAGAAGCGAATGGATGCGGCTTTGAAGAAAATATCGGATAAGGAGACGGGCAAGGCCCCTGCAGATGCCGAGGACGTGGAAATTTTGGACAGTTTGTTCAAGTTCGAAAACTTGCTTGTTGGATGCAAGTTCAACACCGACGCACGAGATTTGCTTTTTGCTTCTCGAGATAGGTGGAATGCACTGTTTAACTCGACAACTGCGGTCATCGATGGGTTTACACTGATGTTGCGTTTGTTAGATACGCTGCAGGACAGAAAGAGCTCTATGGTAGACAGCTCTCCTACCGGCGCGTTGGCACTTGAGCAGTCTTTTGCTACGTTGCTACGCTTTGTAAACTCACAGCAAAACGCTCACCCGCTAATTCTGCTTCATCAGCACCCACACTTGGCAAACCTTTGCATTTCGTCTGACAGTGTGAAGTCAGCTATTCGATATTTTGTCGAGTCAAAGCTGCAGTTTGCGGCTCGTCGCTTTCTGATTGAAGAGGCCCGTCGGCGTGTATTTCAGCGTGTGAAGGTTGTTCGCGCGGCGAATTCTCTGCTATGTCACCTTGTCAGTGTATCGCGTGCTGAGGACAAGCGCGGACATGTCCAGGTATATTTGTGCTGTCGTGTTTTTGATCATGCTTGAATGTGAAACTAATTGATTCATGCAATTTAGCACACTATCCCGGCTGTGCTTTCGTCACTCTTAGAGTGTCGCAATGCGTTGGAAGCATACATGGAGACTTGTCTAAAGGAGAGCAAGACAACTGATGTCTACGTGCAAGAAGCTAGGACCCTCGCAAAAGGTAAGCTGTCCAGTGTCTGGGCAGCAGCCATCTTGGTTTGCTGACTTGATTACTTCTACGTGTCCACAGGAATCGACAATGGTATTTATCGCATCACAGAGGTATTTCAAGCCGAGTTGTCCTTATTTGCGTTTCCTTCGAACGTCGAAACGGCACTGACGGCGTACCGCGAGCTTTGATGCTAAGAGAATAGTGGTGATGACTGACGACTTGATAATTCAACGGCGCGATCGGTTTCCATTGTATGGTTGGTTTGTCAAGGCTAGCTGCCAATTTATTGGTTTTGAAAGTCAAATTTACATTTTGTTAAAGCTTCGTCAAAATCAATCATTGCAATGCACTGCGTCAACCAAGCAAGAGCCACGTCAATATATGTATATCATCGGGAAAGACCTGACGCAGCCAAGCTTGCGTACCTGTTCATCTTCTGGTGCATCGGAAGGTATCCGTTGCATGGAATGAATAGCTGCAGCCTCGCACAGCGCGATCACCGATGCAGCATTACAACCGTCTGTTTTTTTGACAAGTCTAGTGAGATCGACGTCTTGACTCCAAGGCATTTTATTACGCTGAATTTCCAAAATAGCCTTACGCTCGCTGAGATTTGGAAGACCGACATACACCACGTTCTCAAAGCGACCTAGAAGAATAGTGTAAAGGAGACAATGAATCATTGTTGCACAATTGGTTCAGCACCAAAATCAAATCTCGCGCACCTGGTTGGAGAAATGCTGGATCGATGGCAGACAAGGAATTTGTTGCTGCGAGGACAAAAACTCGGCCAGTGACAATACTTGCCATTGCGGAAGACGCAACTGGTCCATCGTGTACTTCGCTGTCGTCAGATACCGCTTTCAATGCATCAAGCTCCATTAAGAGCTGAGAAATCATCCTCGACGTTGTTTGGCCAGCCGTCGATCGATTGCCAAAAAGTGACTGAAATTCGTCGATGAAGATCATGCATGGACTAAGTGCACGAGCCATGTCAAATGCGCGTGTGATGGCCTTTTCACTTTCACCAATCTCAGCCTTCATTAGATCGTTCGCGGCTAGGTTGAGAAAATTGCAACCGCTCGCTTTTGCGGTAGCTTTAGCTAGCATGGTCTTTCCAGTTCCAGGTGGGCCGTGCAACACGACACCTAGAGGCGGTGAGATACCCATCCGACGAAACACTTGTGGCTTTTCCAGCGGCCATACAACCATCTCAACTAGATTTTGCTTGACGCGCTCAAGACCGCCGATGTCGGTCCATGAGACATCTGGAACAGAAGAGCTCAATGTATCAGCACCATTACTATTGCTGGAAATTTCACGTGCAAAAGCAGTGATTTCAGATTCAAAGCTCTCTACATTGATGGACTCGTTATCTTTGCGTGACAAACGCATGCGAATGAGTTGAGCAGTGGAAGCGATATTGCTAGGCTTTTGACCATATCGAACAGCTAGCGACATGATAAATTCACGCCGAAGCATATTTGATGGTGGTAGCAATGATGCTAGCAGATTGACGGTCCATTCTTTGTCTGGGATCTATGCAACCACAATGTTAGATAGCTATTACATTACATTTGAGGAAAAATAACTTACATCAAGGAACAACTCTTCGGTGAACAGCTGCCGTACTTGGGAGTGCAATGCGTTAAGCACTGACACCGCTCCAACGACTACGACGCGAGCCAATTCAGATTTGTCTAATTGACAACACAACAAAAGTGTTAGTTCTTGCAAGAGCGTCAGCATGAGTAAGCAACCACTTACGAATACTCTCGAAGCAGTTTACGAGACGGCAAACTAGTTTATATTTGACTTCATCAAGAGTCATTGGAAACAGAAGTTCTAGATCTTCGATTAAAAGCACACACGGCTGGATGCGTAGTGCAGCCGAGAAGAAATCTTCCAGTCGCAGTTGCGGCGACGCTAACACTCCACCATCCACCACAAGCAAATTTACTTTCAATTCCTCCGCAATTTGGTGTACAAGCGTTGTCTTGCCAGCGCCGCTCAGTGCATGGAGCAAAAGTGAATGAGGGACAGCAAAAGCCATCTGCTCTCGATCATCTACCTGATTGTTGCACGACGTTGTCCGTAGTGCCATTGCTACCAGCTCACGAAAGCCACGAACATGATTCCCAACCGACTGATAACTTTGCTGTTCATGCGATAAAGGAGCTAACAAAGACGTAGCAGATGGAAAAATCAACACCAGCGTCTGGTCCAGCACAAGTCCACCATCAAACGTCACAACTTGGTCGTCTTGATCCTTACTACGTCCACGAAAATACGCTTTATAGTTCCATTGTCCATAATCCAATCCATCATCTTGTAGAACTATTGATCCAGCTTTTTCTGGTACAATTCGTCTTCGCAGTAAACTCTTGACAAATGGAAGTGGAAGCTTCGGCTGATTGTCATGACCAGGTGCCAAAGCTAAATACTGTACCACTCGGATATCCAGCGGCATAATAAAACGTAAATAAAATGTAGCGTTTGATGTCAAGATATTGCTACAAGAACTTGAATTACCATCGATATCGACGCTACATGACGGCCAATGGTCGATTCTGATACCTTCGTCACTCAGTTTTTCATCGATTTCCAATTGAAAAACACGTGCTTGATGCAAGTTACAGCATTGCAACGATATGTACGATCCCCATGTTGTATCCCAGCTCTTAAACGTCGTTAAAGACACATACGCTACGCTTGTGGCGCTGCCACATGCTGTTACTTTGACATTCACGAGCATTAAATATCAATTATTAGAAACAATGTACTAGTTGGTACTATAGGGGGTTACTGAAAACAAACTATACAGTGTATGTATTATAAAAGGTTATGGTCACGCAAGTACGTTGCCCCATTCACTGCCATCTCGTGTCTGCTATGACTTGGATCGTGCCGAAGATAGACGCCGTGACGCTGGGCGAGCTCAATGGCGAGCTCTATAGTGTATCTAGCCAGGATGCTTTACATATGAGTGAAGACTTTATTCTACGTGGAGGTCGTGTATTTAATCCTGCACGTGTGACGAGTACCAAGCCACGTCTGTTTGGCCAAGACGAATCATTGACTAATGAACAGGACGAGGAGATGAATTCAGGCGCTGTAAAGCTGCTGAAGCACGTACTGAAGATGACCAAGAGTTTTCTAATGGATGATGAATTGATATTGCTAAATAGAGTGCTAAATGTTGCTGAAGGCGCTGCCCAGAGGCTGTGGAAGGCTACAATTGAGGCAGAAGACGAGATCTTCGAAATGCTGGAAAAGAGCCAAGATCAGGACAATAAAGAGAGTATAATTGATATTAGCTGGCATTCAGTCGAGAATGTACTTGCTGTGGCGCAGAGGGATGGAGTTGTAGCGCTGTATCATGTCGAGAGTGCCACGTGGGACACTCGAGTACTTGAACATCCCAAGCAGATGGATATTGGCAGTATCGAGTGGGGAAAGTTCACGGGAAATACACTTGCAGTAGCGTGCAGAGCAGGGGTGTTTCTATGGAAAGTGTCGATGGAAGAGAAAGGTGGGTAGGTAGGTGAGAAAGTGGGTTGGTAGCAGGATAAGCTGACGTAAGTGATGATTTGAAGAGCCTGTGCTGCAGGAGATTCTCACACATCCTAGAAATGATGGTTTCAGTCAAGTGAGCTGGAATGCAGACGGTAGTATGCTTGCAGCGTTTGGGAAAGGGTCTTGTTCTTTGGTTGTGTTTGATGCCATTTTCCCGCGGAAGACAGAGCTGCAAAGCCCCTACAAGCTGACGTCGCTGTATTGGTCGCCTACGGGCGAGTATTTATTCGTTACAACAGAGTAAGTGCTCTTGCGATCTTTTTGATGCACCTTTTGTGTTCATGCTTGGTTGACGTGGCTAGGAACGGCGTGTCGTTGATGTGGGAGACTCTAACGTGGAAAAGAGAGACGTGGGAAATATCTGCATGGGTACGTTGTCCAACTACACTGTTTGGGAAACTCCGCATATACTGACATTAGTGATGACCGGTCGTGGCGTTGTTACAGGGCTGCGGATGGTCGAACAATGGACGGTGTCTGCTTGTGGCACTTTGCAATACCGCTCTCATGTATCCGTATATTTTCCAAGGCTGTCCTCCATCTATAGGCATGAAGCGGTGCTTTATCGAAGGTGAAAACTGCCAACTAACCCTTGAATCTTAAACTTAATGCTGACGTAGACGCACAAATTAGCTCACCAGCTCTTGACTTTTCTGGAAAGGAACTCTTTTCCCTGGACCGGAGTACCTCTGCGTATGTGTTCTCAATCAGACTTTTTTGGAATATCGTCGCTGGGCTGACGATGTATCTTCTTCTCTTGTTCATGTGCTCCTGTAGCATTGTCGGTGGGAAGGTTCAGAATATTGCATGGGACCCTAGCGGGTCCAAAATAGCTGTCACATATTGGAATGCAGCGATTAGTTCTCACAAAGCGGGGACATCGACGCTGGTGGCCATTTTTAGCGTTGTTTGGCAGCCGTTCCTGATATTTACTCGGAGGTTTGTATTTATAAAGCTTCTCACCCAGAAGTAAGCTAACTTCATCATTCATTCTAGTGGCTTGTTGCGTGGGCCTCCCAATGCCGGCGTGCCACGGAAGGTAGCGTTTGCCTCGAAGTTTAAGCATGGTGCTTTGCTGAGCATTGCTTGGAGCGGTGGGTTGATCTCATTTCATCCGTTCTATTTGCAAGATCCAAAGGCACCATAAAGTCAGTCTTTCGTTGCGTGGAATGGTTGAAGAGCTGTGAAATATAACAGACACAAACATGTTCATTTTGAAAACTCATTTCTCTTACTTAGCAAGTTTGCACAGCCGGCGCGGCATCGGGATTATGAGCACTTGGCTCATCTTAAGCTTTTTGTTAGTGGCACAGTGGCACAAGCGTGCGATTTAAAAACAAATTTAAGCTCGGCATCAACAGAATACCCGTGTAGCCGAGCTACTGTAGCCAAGCTGCTTATGCACTACGTGCAGAGGAAGACTAGCTCTAAAAGCTTATATGTCTCAAGGTTCTTAATTCTTTCCAAAGCTAGCTTCACAAGCTAATGCCTTTGGTTGCAAGCAACCGCGTCTCCTAGAGACTAGTATCAAAAATACTTAATTCCTCAGGAGGAATAGTACGCTCAAGCAGTGATGCTTATAGAGCAGTGTGAAACTGATTTATATGTATGTTTATCTTCTAACACTAAATATAGAAATCTATTCTATACTTAATGCTAGTCACTATTTACTGGCTCTATAGCCTGTTATTTTTATGCAAACATGCATAGTCACTATACTTAACTAAGTATAGTGGCTCTCTGTCACGATTTACCCTTCGTACCTTAGGTACGGTCACATCAACCTACCACAGTACCCAAGGTACAGTTACACCACAATGTTGTGGCAGGTGTGTATGTACAATACACACCTTTGTGTAACCCGTCACACCCTCCCCCCACCAATCCGTGGACCCGATGTACCCACGATTTTTCGAACATAATGGGAGGCATCGATTTCAATTTCTTCTCATTTTTGCTTGCCTCGCAATAAGTGCTTGCACTTGCGGACAAAGCTTTAGTATTCAACACTTGCTCCTTTAGCACCTGTGCTTTCCACTCACGCTTCCTAAGCATCCTAGTGTAACGACACATGCTCTTTGATCATACATTGCATTGCACTCACGTTAAAGCATTTAGTGTTACGACACTTGCTTATAAGCGTTAAATGCCAAGTACTTGGTATTAATACCCCTTTGTGCTTACGATTACTTGCTTTTACAGCACTAAATGCCTAGCACTTGCTTTTAAGCGTTACAGTGTTCATAACAATATCTTTCCAAGCACTTGTCCCTATTGCACTTGTTGCATCATGGATGCTGTAATAAGTCAAGACATCGTTGGGGACGATGACATTGACGTTGCTTCTAGGGGCATGCGGCAGTCATAGACTCTTGCAGACATAAAATCTGCGCACAAATTGCTACTCCGCAACATGGAGCTCCGCTTCTTCATCGTCCACTTGACTACAGTCCATGGAAGCAGACCCATCAGACGAGTAGTTATAAGTGGCGGACCTAGCTACCTTAAAGTTGGTCTCGGCATTTTTGGCCACTGCAACAGCTTCCGCGAATGAGGACGGGTTTATCCGGAAGACTTCCGTTCTGGCAACAGCCCTCTGTGCTGGAGTGGGTTATCAAATTGCGTATTGAGACCCCAAGCCACTCACTTGCCGGACTGCCGACTGTCAAAGGGGGTACCCCAATGCCGCGTATAGACCTTTCCTCAACTTGTGCACCTGTCCGCTGGCGGGTTGCACTCTTCGGAGGACTTGGTTGAGATGTGATGTCAACCTTGAGAGAGGTCAACGTTGGGGTGCCTAGAGTGGATATACTTCACTCTGTAGGCGGGTAGGTGGCCACTCGGTCGAAGGTGGACTTATAGCCAGATTCTTCAGGTAGGATTCTCAACACTGGCCTTTTCCTTACTTTTCCTTGATATCTCAAGGATGTTAACCGCCTGGCCTTTACCTGCTCCAAAACCACTTGGGTAGGGAGACCGCTGCTAATCGCGGGTCGATTGGGGGGTGCTACTAAGACGAAACCTCAGGCCAAATGTATCCTGCAGTTCTATTCGCACTTTGGCCTTACCACACAACTGTCTTCGACGGGGGGGGGACCAAAATGTATCCTATCCCGGAACAAGTGGGTAGACTTAGTAAGTACCTTGGAAGCACGACAGACGCGTGCTATGTAGATCGCAAATTGAGTAGTATTTAGTATAGTCCTATCTTCTAGCTCCTTTACTCTATCTTTACCCCCAAGACCTGGTTCTTGAATCTGCTTGGCTAAGGTATATCGACTGAGGGGCCTAGAGGCCGAGAGTCCATCGACCGAAGGGCCAAGGTCGATCGACCTAGGTCCGAGGTCAATTAATGAAGCACCAAGGTTGACTGTCAGGGACCGGGGACGAAAGTACATCGACCGAAGGGACAAGGTCTATCTTTATGAAAGACCGAGGTCGACCAATGATAGATCAGGGTCGACTTTGAAGGACCGGGGTCCACCTTGAGTAACCGCGGTCTATTAGGCTAATTGCGGCTTACTCCTTTGAATGGCGGCTAGCTAGCAGCATTCTTCTCATCCAACGATCGTTCCTCGTCCCCTTTAACGCCCCGTCTCTGTATTCCTTACTTAACTGTCGCATCTCCTTGGCAAGTCTCATTTTCTTTGACCCACTGGTACTCCGGCCTCCCAGTCCTTGAAACGCTTCACCACAGCCGCCCTCTGTACTCAGTCAACGGTACAGCCGCTATAACACGCGCATGTCTTCGTCTTCTGCATCCCGTAAGTACTCTTAGCTTGCTTGGTGTTTGATATCTGTTATCTGACTTAATGTGACCTTTAGCTGTTACTTCCTCTGGGGTAAGCCCACCACCTGAGAAGCCGGTCTTGGTCACTCCTGCACTTGCTACTAACCCAAAGGCCTAGGTTCGTTCCCTAATTCCGATCGGCACTTCTCTCCAGGCGCCAGGACCATGGGACCACCAGGTGTGAGCGCCTCGAAAGAGAGAGCTGCTAGACACCAACAACCTCTTGGTTTAGTTGCGAGAGAAACTCAAGCACGAGAGAGCGCTGGTGTAACATTTGCGGTGGCGAATGGACTACCGCCAGAGCCGATACATTTTTATGATGACGGAGTTGGAGCACGAGAATTACAGAACGAATCCATTTTTCGGGGGTCCCGTAGCTACTCCGGTGACTACTCCCACAGTGTCTCCTACACCGGTGTCAGGCAAGCGACCTCGGCGCCCATCGGCTTAGGCGACCGCCAAGGTCTACAAGGCTGCCAAGTTGAGTTCCACCAGCAATCCCGCTTCGTCAGCTTTCAAGTCGAGGACCTCCCGCGATTTGCTTTCGGCTCCTTCTCCTGAATTGGACGACGAATAGACTCTACCACGCTTCCGTCCCAAGCGTATCGAGCACAATCATGAATCTACCATCCGTTATCATCTGTAGCGCTCTCTTGTTGCCAACCTATTGAGCGTTGATTCTGGTGCAGGACCATCCGACATCACCCGGCCACATCACTCACTCCCATATGGCGATATATAGACTCTGCCACGCTGCCGTATCAAGCGTATCGAGCACAGTCATGAATCTATCATCCGTTATCATCTGTAGCGCTCTCTTGGTGCCAACCTATAGAGCGTTGATTCTGGTGCAAGACCATCCGACATCACCCGTCCACATCACTCACTCCCATCAGTCGATCTATAGACTCTACCACGCTGCCGTATCAAGCGTATCGAGCACAGTCATGAATCTACCATCCGTTATCATCTATAGCGCTCTCTTGGTGCCTACGTATTGAGCGTTGATTCTGGTGCAAGACCATCCGACATCACCCGTCCACATCACTCACTCCCATCATGGCGATCTATAGACTCTACCACGCTGCCGTATCAAGCGTATCGAGCACAATCATGAATCTACCATCCGTTATCGTCTGTAGCGCTCTCTTGGTGCCAACCTATTGAGCGTTGATTCTGGTGCAAGACCATCCGGACATCACCCGTCCACATCACTCACTCCCATATGGCGATCTATAGACTCTACCACGCTGCCGTATCAAGCGTATCGAGCACAGTCATGAATCTACCATCCGTTATCATCTGTAGCGCTCTCTTGGTGCCAACCTATTGAGCGTTGATTCTGGTGAAAGACCATCCGACATCACCCGTCCACATCACTCACTCCCATAAGGCGATATATAGACTCTACCACGCTGCCGTATCAAGCGTATCGAGCACAGTCATGAATCTATCATCCGTTATCATCTATAGCGCTCTCTTGGTGCCTACGTATTGAGCGTTGATTCTGGTGAAAGACCATCCGACATCACCCGTCCACATCACTCACTCCCATATGGCAATATATAGACTCTGCCACGCTGTCGTATCAAGCGTATCGAGCACAGTCATGAATCTACCATCCGTTATCGTCTGTAGCGCTCTCTTGTTGCCAACCTATTGAGCGTTGATTCTGGTGCAAGACCATCCGACATCACCCGTCCACATCACTCACTCCCATCAGTCGATCTATCGACTCTACCACGTGCCGTATCAAGCGTATCGAGCACAATCATGAATCTACCATCCGTTATCATCTGTAGCGCTCTCTTGTTGCCAACCTATTGAGCGTTGATTCTGGTGCAGGACCATCCGACATCACCCGTCCACATCACTCACTCCCATCAGTCGATCTATAGACTCTACCACGCTGCCGTATCAAGCGTATCGAGCACAATCATGAATCTACCATCCGTTATCATCTGTAGCGCTCTCTTGGTGCCAACCTATTGAGCGTTGATTCTGGTGCAGGACCATCCGACATCACCCGTCCACATCACTCACTCCCATCAGTCGATCTATAGACTCTACCACGCTGCCGTATCAAGCGTATCGAGCACAATCATGAATCTACCATCCGTTATCATCTGTAGCGCTCTCTTGGTGCCAACCTATTGAGCGTTGATTCTGGTGCAGGACCATCCGACATCACCCGGCCACATCACTCACTCCCATCAGTCGATCTATAGACTCTACCACGCTGCCGTATCAAGCGTATCGAGCACAGTCATGAATCTACCATCCGTTATCATCTGTAGCGCTCTCTTGGTGCCAACCTATTGAGCGTTGATTCTGGTGCAAGACCATCCGACATCACC